TGACCTCATTTTCATGGTTCATTGGTCAATGTTTAGTTTACTTGGTTAATGTTAAGTTTATGTGACAGTTGTAATAAAGCTTTATATTTAGGACTATCAACATAATATCAATGATTAGTAAAGAAGGCGAGACATTTCAGCGTGTGCACTCTTGTTGCTAATGTGTTTTGTCTATATGCCTGTTGGTGTTTCTATGATACATATGACGTGGCTCTGTGCTGATACATCCCGTTATTGTGTTACTGTAAAAACATTTTTGTATTCTTGCCTTTCATTTTTGCTAATGTGTTTTGTCTATATGCCTTTTTATGTTTCTATGATACATATATGATGTGGCTCTGTACTTATACATCTCGTCATTGTGTTATTGTACTATGGTAAATTTGTGTATTCTTGTTTTTAATTTTGGCTAATATGCTTGGTCTATATACAATTTTGTGCTTCCTTGTTACATATTTGTTTGTTTTAATATTGATTAAGATTATAACACAATGTTGACTGCTGTAGCCCTATTTTTGACATGTTTACCTATTATGTCTGTTTGTTTTGTTCATACATTGTTGTCAATATAATGGAATTTGATGTGACTGTCATAAAAGTGAGAGGTTTAGCTAGCTTTAAAACCAGGTTTAATCCACCATTTTCTACATAAGAAAATGCCTGTACCAAGTCGGGAATATAACAGTTGTTATCCATTCGTTTGATGTGTTTGAGCTTTTGATTTTGCCATTTGATTAGGGACTTTCCTTTTTGAATTTTCCTCAGAGTTCGGTATTTTTGTGATTTTACTTTTTTTTTATTATTTATTACATTGGTTGCAATGAATTACATTGATTTCCCAGTGAAATAAAAACTGATAATTTCACATGAGAAATAAACGTGGTTATTTCACTCCTCTGACGTCATACAACAATAGGCGTTGTCAAGACGTCGATAACGTCAGATCAAAACAAATTGTGAATGCGTAGAAAAAGATATAGTTCCTTACGTTTTCTACTTTAATTTCATTAAAAAGCCATTTGCCAATGTAATTAAAAGAATAACTAATCAAAGAATTCAAATATCGAAAAACATTCTACTCGTGACCGAATAACACTGAAATAATAATTATTAAAATAATAAAAAAAATATTTTAATGACTTTTATTTTTTGTGGAGACGACATTTCTTTGCAAGCATTACATAGTACTGTTGAAGAATTTCTAATCTATTTTACAGATTTGCAAAATTTCATGCAAAATGTATTTGAATTTACCATGCTCGGAGCTTCCTCGTAAGAATATATCTATGATCCCTAACTAAATTAATGATATGGAAATGAGATGACACAACAAAATAATTTATATCTAATGGTGATGTGAAGCATGACCAAGATTATATTCCTTTCAAATATGGTCAACACGTTTCACAAAATTTCACTTTTTCAAGTAACAGGATAACTTTCAGCTTGAGAATTTTCATTCACATGATGTCATGTCAAAATAAAGAAATATGAGCCATGATCATTCATTATTTTTTGTAGAAAATTATATTATTTCATTGTTTGCAATAAATTACCGTGATTTCCCAGTGAAATAAAAACCCATAGTTTCGCATGGGAAATAAACTGGATAATTTCACTCCTCTGACGTCACACAACAATATACAATTATGGTCCTTAGGAAAGGTGAATATCCAAAATTGTCAACCTTTAAAAGGTTATTTCCCTGAGGGCGAGTGTTTGCACTTGTTGAATATTTCTTTAAGTTTTATTTTTCAAATTGTCGTATATTTGACAAACTCCAAGTTAAAGAGAGTATTTTATTAAATCAGTATTTATTGAAATAGCTGGAATTTAACATTATACAAATACGAACAGACAGTCCATGACTGAAGTAACTATGATCATTTTCACTTAGAAATTAAATTTACATTGAATGTTACATTACAATTGCTAATCATGGGTGTAAATGGTATTTTTTCTCGAGAGGTTTAAGCACATTATCCATTAAGTTATTTGCTGGTTGTTTGCACAAGTTAGACATATTGACAGGTTGTGCTTCATGATCTGCGTTAACATTCACTGAAACACTGACAGTAGTTGGTTCTAAATTTTCAATCAGTGGTTCCATAAGTTGGTCAATTTGTTCTTGGGAGAGATTTATTTCTCCTTCAACTTCAATTTGTTCCTGTGAGAGGGTAACAACTTCAACCATCTCTTCGGCATTTATAACAGATTTGCATAGCGCACGGCTCATTTCAAATTTCCTTTTAGTTGTTACCTTTCCTGTATAATTTTTTATAGAAGTTTCAGATCTGTGCCCGGAAACACTCATTATGTCACGATCAGAAAACTTGTTAACATCTAAGACAGTAATGCTTGTTGCTCTTATGGAGTGGTTAGTAAACTCTTGATACAGACCAGCTTGTCTGGAGATTACTTTCATTAGGTTTGACAACATGTTTTTTCCTAACCCCTGGTTCATGTACCATATTTCTCTGGAGTCGTCGTAAGAATTCAGTGGACACTGCCACAAGTCATCTCTTTTTGAATTTTGCTTGGACAAGTACTTTTTGAAAGTTGCCACAGGACACAGAGGGTGACCTAAAAATAAAATTAAAATAAAGGTAAACACATCTGTTAGTTTCTCATGTTAATATAATTATAAATACATTCACTGTTATAAACTTGGGCATGCTCATATGACTCAAGTGATAATTTAAGCATTGAAGTTTTTTTTTTTATTTGGGATGTACCATTTTTATTGTGATCAATGTCTTTTCATGCAAGTTAACTGAACATTTCCTCTGATTTTTCATCAACTGAAAAACAATACAGAAAACAAATTCAAGCCATTTAAGTTCCAATAGCCTATTTGACAAGGGCAGTGTCTGCTCATACCCGCATCAAATTTTCCTTTTTTTTTTGTGTCATTTTGAAGATGCAACTTTTCTTTCTTTTTTTTATTTGTTAGAAACTTGCCGAACTTTTCTCTATATTTATTCCTTACCTGGTACTGCGTACATGCGACCTTCAGTAATGCAGCTATCTGAATTCTCCCTATGGTTCTTGTCAAGCTCATCATGGGCCTGGAAAACATACTCCCGTCCGCTGGCATCTGTTTGTATGGCAAAGGTGCTTTTATTCATTTCTCATAGGTTCTCTCGTCCTCGTCGACATAAGTGAAACATAATATCAAACCATACTTTGTGTAGGAGTCCTGCAGGGGTATCAACTTTCATGGCAACACTTCCATATAACTTTTGCAGGTCTTGTTGATCCAATGATGGGGTGTGGTCAATGCTCCCAAGTCCTTCCCATTTCAGTTGCACAGAAACGGCTTTAAATATATCATTTGCCCTTTTGAATCTAACATCTTTTATAATGTCAACATCCATTTCCTTAAGGAAATGCCTGGCTAGTCCGAATCTTAATCCCTTCAGAGCCGAAAGTTTGTAATGCGTACCATCTTTTTTTCTGATTAAACACTAGCTCAGTTGTTCTGGTGTATCAAATACCAAGTTTTCTCTTTCTGTCGATAACATGAATTGCATCAGACATGTCAAAGCTGCTTTGGTTGCTTTTTTGTGTTTTTAGCGTCTTTGTCACAAAGAAGTCTTTGTATATCGTCCTCTGAAGAGTTCCCAAACCGCTGGCTTGCCTTTTTGTTTACAAACGTTGATGACGTCATTCTTACGGGAAATAACTGGTTAAGAAACCAAGAGGCTGAAAAGGTTATTTGCCGGTGAATAAAAGGGTTATTCACCGATGGGTGTTAATTTTTAGGGTTATTCATCGCTGGGTGTTAATTTTTAGGGTTATTCGTGCTTCCTTGAATTTAAATGAAAATTAACTGAATTATTCCATGTCACGTGATAGTGTTTTATCCAATAGAATTGTTTATAATAATATGTAAGGTATAATAATAGGTGTTATCAAGACAGTGTTGATGACGTTACATCAAAACAAATTGTGAATGCGTAGAAAAAGATATAGTCCCTTGCATTTTCTATTTTATTTTTACATTAAAAAGCTCATTGTCAATGTAATTAAAAGAATAACTAGTCAAATAATTCAAATACCGAAAAATATTCAACTCGTGACCAAACAGCGCATTCGTGAATTAATGTGTTGTTCGGTCACTCGTTGAATATTTTTCTATATTTGAATTCTATATATTCCGTCAGTCCGTCAGTCCGTCCGTCAGTCCCATGAATATTTTCGTCGCATTTTTCTCAGGAACTACTTGACAAGGATTTCTGAAATTTGGTTTCAGGGTTTATATAAGTAAGTTACACCGTGTGATGCGTTATCAGATTCATCACTCAACAACTTCCTGTTAACCGAACACTTGTATTATTTTACACATGATAGCCAAGTTGAAAATTTTCGTCACATTTTTCTCAGGAACTGCTTGACAAGGAGTTCTGAAATTTGGTTTCATGGTTTATATAAGTAAGTTACACCGTGTGATGCGTTATCAGATTCATCACTTAACAACTTCCTGTTTACCGTACACTTGTATTATTTTACACATGATAGCCATGTTGAAAATTTTTCTCAGGAACTACTTGACAAGGATTTCTGAAATTTGGTTTCAGGGTTTATATAAGTCAGCTATACCGTGTGATGCGTTTTCAGATTCATCACTCAACAACTTCCTGTTTACGGAAATATTTCGGCGGGGGTATCATCAGTGAGCAGTAGCTCACAGTTTTACTTGTAATTTTTATTTTTTACATTTTTCAAAGCTTTTTTGTTATGCATTAGAATAGTTATAACAGTTCTGTAAAAAAAATTATTTGAATATTAAAACATTGAAATGGACATAGTTTTTTGCACATAGGTAAAGATACATGTGGATTTACATGGGGGTAAACTTGAACAGCCATAAATATATAAACCTGTGAGTTTGCACTAAGTTTACAAAGCAAAAGCAGCACGCCGTATTAGAATGTATATCAGCACATGAAATAGATCATATAGAATCAGAAATAACATTCTGTGTTGAATCATTTTAGGAAAAACAGAAAAGATTAACCTTGCTGGTGATGTAATACAACTACAGTAAGTGGCATCTTATTTGATCATATGATAATAGTATTTGACTTAATTATTAAATTCATATTAAAATAAAGATTCTACCAGTCCACCATGTCAGTTAAGATTTTCATAAATTCAAGATAGTAAAGTGAGGCTTACGTTGACCTATAGATGTTAATATCTATGTCATTTAGTCACTTGTGGAGAGTTGTCTCATTGGCAATCAAACCACATCTTCTTATTTTTATATCGACTGAGACATTTTAAATATTGAACATGGATAAATATTATAGTCAATAGGGTAAAGTCTATGAATCTATTTCTTGTATGATTTAATGAAAAATGCTGAATGCAATGTGCCAAATGGATAGGGCCATAAATTACAAATGACATTATAAATTATATTTTGTTTATCTAAATTTTTATCAAACTGGTCATAACCATGATTAATCCTCACAATTGTATGTACCCCTGGCACTACCCCACCCACTTGTAGTCCACACCCCCCCCCCCCCCCCCCCCCCCCCCCCCCCCCCCCCCCCCGGGTCAAATGTGCACGGACCGGACAAAGCCACAACATCACTTCTTCTCTGCCTCCCTGCAACCGCTTGATACAGTGGCCAAGTAGAATATAAAGTGATGTTGAATGTAAACATAAGTATTTTAATTAATACAAAGACAGGGTTGGGATATAACCACAATTCATTTTAAAGCATAGCTAAAATTTCAAATTGGCCAAGATTAATCATTAAAACAAATTTTGTAGAAATGAATAAGCGAAACGTTGGTTCTCCATAGTAAATAAACTACATGCAAGTAGTTGTCTGTGGAGCATACTAAACTAATTCAAACATACAAGCAATACAAAGTCAAACAAAATATAGACATTTAAAATAAATGAAAACATGAACAATATACATACATGTAATGCAAACAATATATAATTAGGGTGTGGTGGGTGGGAAAAAGAAAAAGCATATTTTGCAAACGAGGTTAATTTGATGCTGGCTGTTGCAAGCCAAAATTTGGAATACCAGGAAGATGCTGAGACCGAAATGGAGTCTGGGGATTCAACCTTTTTGATTGGCTCCTGTATTACTGCGAAATTTAAATAATGAAAACTGATTGGCTGATTACAATTCCAAGACATGACAAATTTGAAATTCTTGGCAATCTGATTGGTTGCTAAGATATACAGGCCCAACAAATCCGAAACAAGGTGCAGGAGTTAAGCAATATTCTAAATACGAAACTATGCAACACAATTTCCATTAATAATGTATTTACAATAAAATACTCCCTTTAATTCATTCAGAGTTAGAGAATCACATATTATTACATGACAGTTTTCATATTAGACATATTATCAGTCCTAGGTCATGATATCAGCCCAAGACACAAAGGCTTGAGTGCTGATTTTGACCATTGTACTTTATGTACTTTAATGATTAATTTTGATGTTAATGTCTTCTGTAGACTAGTCATTAAGAAGCCTGCTGGGATGAAAAAGTTTATAGTGTACCTGTCAGCCAAAGCTTGCTTTGAAGAAAGATGTGTTCCAGATGTCAAGATATTTGATGGAACAGAGATTCCTCAGCCTATCTGTGATTTGTATGCTGATTATAGTTTTAAAAGTATGAATAATACCAGTTGAACATCTTGTTTTTTGTCTGAAGAATACTTAAACCTGAGTTCAGCATAGTTCTTACATTCTATAAGTTTTATGAAGAAAAGAAACCTTCAGTCAACTGAGGTGGGACTCGGTGGCCGAGTGGTCTAAGTATTAATCATACAACTGTTTCACTAGCCTGAGGTTGTGATTTAAAATCCCGCGTGTGGCAGGTTTGCTTGACTCCAATCTTAATTAACAAGAAATGTCATTTTTGCTACCGTAGGTCGGTAGTTCTCTCCGATTACTCCGGATTCTTTCACCAGTATAAACTGACTGTCATGAAATAGCAAAATAGTGCTGATATCATATATTCCTGTCCATCCATTTGTCTGTCTGTGAATTGTAAACAGGTCACATGCAACCCAAGTATAAGTTATATATAGATTCTACCACTGCATCACGTGTGATACGATATTATCCAATCGAGACAGTTAAATTTTTAAATTTAAAATGCAAGGCTCGTAGAGCATTTTAAATATTTATGATTTAGCTGTCGAGAGTGGATAAATATCATAGTGCACGAGATTTGGTGGTGGAATCAGTTTCTCTAATGATTTTTAGACGATAGGCAGTCAATCTTAATCCTTCTCTTGGAACAACCTGCAAGAATATATGTTCTTTCTTTGTGACGTCATCAGGCATGGTCGCCTTTATTCGTGACCTCACAATAGGAATTTCAGAGGAAAACAAGAAAATTTGACATCATTATCGTATTTTGACCAACGAAGAACTGAGATCAAATGAACCAAATGTTGAATGAATAAAAACAATCAAAAGGTCAGGAAAAGGAAAAATCGAGTAAGAATTAGAGAAACGGTTTCTAGCAAACTTTTCCTGAGGATTCAGTAAAACAGTAAATCTTTTCAGGTAGTGATCAACTCTTTCCTCTTGGAAGAAATACACAAGTATAAACATTCTATGAATGATTTTCCTTTTTAACCGGATTTCCAAAGTATCTGTTATTAATTTTGTGATATATGGCAGGTGAGCAGTCGGGTTGGCGGCTGGGCAGGTGGCTGCCAAACAGTGTCCGTGCAATAACTGGAAAACGCTTTGACGAAATCTTTTAAAATTAGATATGTTGTTTCCTGTGACTAAAAGAAGATCAAGTTCGAATTTCACAATCATTCTTCATTTGACCATGCATATATTACAAAACAACAACTGTTTGAAAGTGTGTTTTTGGAAAGTTATTGGAGTGGCCACAAGATTCTATGGTTTAAAAAATATTATCTCATAAACAATCTGGTTTGCTGTCAATCTGACCGCCTTTTGTTATAAATAATTACTGAATAAACTAAATTGAATTGAAGAAGAATTACACTAGCGCATTTTGTGTATCAGAAATTCTATACATAACAATAAAAGTATGATTATCCCTAATCTATTGGTTTCATTAATTTTATATTCTTCAGAGTTTTCCCTTTCTGAATGGGCAAATCGTGTTGGGACAGATATTAAGAGCCAATTAAAGACAGAATTCCGTACACTTCTACTGGAACAGTTAGGGCTGGATGTTATGTTGAAAAACCCATCTTGTAACAGAAGTGATGTTATGTATAGCCCAGCTGTAAATGGTTGGAATAATGGTAAGTCATGTTTATGAAATTTATATATGTTGACGTATTAAGATATAATCAATAATACTATAACTTTCCTTCTATGAAATGCTTGAAAAGAAGGCAAATAAAAAAGTAAGTCATTATAGTTATGAATTTATAGTTCTGCAGGAGAACCATGATTACAGCAGCATTAATAATGATAATTTTCAGAATATTGAGCACTGTCTCCACCTGATATGTCAGGTTCTGTCTCCTAGTATATACATGATTATTTGAAAATTCAGAATGTTCAGCACTGTCTCCACTTTATCTGGCAGGTCATTTCTCCTGTTATAGGTCCGAGTACACAGTTATTTCGTAGTGCATTTCTTTTAGACAATAAATGGAAATAAAAAAAATCCCACCAGCGCTTTCTCAATAATATTTTTACAGTGTGTTGTACTACTTTTGGGACAAATTATATCAAAATTATAGAAAACTTCATCGGCTCTAACTCAAAATATGGATAATTTTATGTTAAGGGGGTCTTTAAATCTTTTGACAGCTTCCGAAATGCTAATTTTTAACCTTTTCCAGCTGGACCAAATCACTACTTTATTTTAAAAATTCATGAATCAAATTTTTTCACAATGTAAATTTATCCCCCTACTTGCTATTTGAGGCATAAAACATGAAGAAATAAATTTGGAAGGGGTATAAAAAAAATTGGCAAGTAACACACTGTCCACACTAGGGACTATATTCGTCGATAACTGTGTACTTGGACCTAATAGGATAGAAAAAGTTGACCAATCTTAATAAAATTTGGTATGACCTAAGCTTAATAAATTATGAGACTGCTTACAAAGTTTCATGGCAATAGGATATATATTATAGACAGTATGATAAATTCTATATTCAACATTGCGTGTTAAAAATTGACGTTAAAATTGAAAAATTTCAACTATCAACATTTGGGGCTTTAAAAATCAAAATATTGCCAAAAAATGCATTTTATATATCATGCATTAAAAGCAAAAGAATACTCATTTGATTTATCAAGCTTAGCATAATTAATCAAAAGTCAAATTTATATATATGAGCCTGTGCCTAAAAATGGGGGTTTTCCAATGAAGGGGGGGGGGGGGGGGGGGCTTACATGAAGATGTAATATTTTCCAGCAATTTCTAAATTTGTGAAGTTTTTTGGTTATAAACTATCCTTACATATGTATTTAATGTACTTTAAATGGAAAGAAAAATTACAAATAGCTTATCATATTAGTTTAAAAGGGTCTTAGGCCAAGTAAGACTGAAAATAATTTACAATTTAATGTTGTGTTTCTGTTGTGTCGTAGTTCTCTTATATTTGATGTGTTTCCCTCAGTTTTAGTTTGTAACCCGGATTTGTTTTTTTCTCACTCGATTTTATGAATTTCGAACAGCGGTATACTACTGTTGCCTTTATTTAGGGACAATTTAGGCCGTAGCACATATTTACATTAAAAAATGCATTCTGAAGCTATAGGAAATAAACATTTGTGTCTTTTTTATCATTTCTATACTCAGGTGACATGATACAATAAATCTGAGCACAAAAAGACTCTTGCATTCAACTTTTGTTGCAGACAGTATTGTCTGATACAAAGATTTTTTCACTTTTTAGTGAAAAACTTGCATGCAATTTTAGTCTCAACAGGCTTATATTTGAACCACTTGCTATCCTACAGAAGAAAAGTAAGATATTATGTGAAAAGGTACAAAAGACATTGTAAAGTGTTTTTTATACAAATTTAGTGAGGTCTTTATTATGGATTTCAACTTTTATGTACCAAGCTCCTCACATTTAACTTGATGCAAACAGGGCATTAGACGAGGGTCATTTATACAACACATTTTGCACATATTGTCTGAGATAATCTTCTTTTCTGTAGATTCAGAGTTCACAAATGAGTAAAACAACTGGATTAAAGCATAGCATAGACAACGAAAATCAAAGGACGATAACTGTGTACTCGGACCAACCCGATTATTTTAATATTTCAGAATGTTCCACACTGACTTCAGTCTACTGTCTTATACCTGATTATTGGAATATTCAGAATGTTTGCACTGACTTGACCTGATCAGTCTGGTCCAGTCTCCTGTAATATACCTGATTTTGTAATTTTCAGAATGTTCAACACTGACTCCCCCAGCTTTGACAGGCCCAGTCTCCTGTTATATTCCAGATTATTGTACTGGAATTGATTGCTGTCTTGACTTTGATTACCTAGATTTACACCTGAATTTCTACCTGTATGTTGACACCTGTAATTATGTCATCAGAGGTGGAATAGAAAAATATACCTTTGAATATCAGCTACTGGATTACCAGTGGGGTAAGTCTTACTCACTGACTAATTATTTGAATGAAAAGAATTTATGGTACTTATTCAAGAGGCTTGCCCTTCCACAATACAATGTATTACAAGTTTTTAGTTCAAAATTCAGAAGGTCTGGTTTTTATTTCTATTAGGAATAATTAATGACCATTAATTAATATTATAGTCATCTGACCTCCTTTTTCCCATACGATAGTCATCATACATACCCACCACTGTTACTATTAATAGAAGATTTGATGAAAAATTGAAAATTTTATAGTCAATCCTGTAGTGATCAAATTAATACCACACTTAGTGTAAATAGTTGTTTGTGACTACATAGTGAATTTTATACATTATCAAATGAATAATGATATTTCATACAAAATAGAAGTTTAAGTCTATATGAATTGTATGGTCTGGCCTGCAACAAACGTTGCAGAAAGCAAGACATAGGGATTACAATTCGGCGTCAGAGAAACAAAAGCTTTAATTATTTGTATAAAGGTTTATATTTCAGTGTGGAAGACTTGAATGCCTTATTCCTTGTATATATATGTGTTATATTTCGAAAAACTATAGTTTTTTAGTCATGTAAATTTCTCACTTATTGTGAATAATAGGGTAACTATATTTGTTATCTACGTTTTTGTGGTCAAGTCAGTTTTTCAGATACTATAAGCAATAGGTCAATTATATTTGGCTGGATTCATTTGACCTTGACCTTATTTTCTTGGTTCAAAAGTCAGTGAAATGTTTTCTTGGTTAAGTCCTTTTCTCAGATACTGCAACCAATAGGTTAACTTTATGTGATGTATGGAATGATTGTTATTAGCACATGTTTGTCTGGCAGGTTTCATCTGACCTTGACCTCATTTTCATGGTTCATTGGTTAGAGTTAAGTTTTCTTGGTTAGGTCTGTTTTTCGGATACTAAAAGCAATGTGTTATATATATATGGTGAATGGAATGATTTTGAGACATACTTGTCAAACTAATAGAGTTCATCAGACTTTTACTTCATTGTTGAACTTATGTAATACTAGTTATACCCCACGCAACGAGTTGCGAAGAGTATTATGTTTTTGACCCGTCCGTCCGTCTGTCAGTCCGTCAGTCCTGTTTCTTGTCATCGCAACTCCTCTCAAACCACACAACAGAATTTCACTAAACCTTTTTAGATAACAGGGACATACTATGAAGTTGTGCATATCGACAGGAAATTACGATTCAATTCTTTTTCTAGGAGTTACGCCCCTTTGAACTTATTTACTTTAATGTACTACTGCAACAGTTTGTCATCGCAACTCCTCTCAAACCACATAAAGGATTTCATGAAACCTTTTTAGATAATAAGGACATACTATGTAGATGTGCATATCGACAGGAAATTACGATTCAATTTTTTTTCCAGGAGTTACGTCCCTTTGAACTTATTTGCCCAATATACTACTGCAACCTTTTGTCATCGCAACTCCTCTCAAACCACACAACAGAATTTCATGAAACCTTTTCAGATAATAAGGACATAATACGTAGATGTGCATATCGACAGGAAATTACGATTCAATTTTTTTTCCAGGAGTTACGCCCCTTTGAACTTATTTGCCCAATATACTACTGCAACCTTTTGTCATCGCAACTCCTCTCAAACCAAACAACAGAATTTCATGAAACCTTTTCAGATAATAAGGACATACTACGTAGATGTGCATATCGACAGGAAATTACGATTCAATTTTTTTTCCAGGAGTTACGCCCCTTTGAACTTATTTGCCCAATATACTACTGCAACCTTTTGTCATTGCAACTCCTTTCAAACCACACAACAGAATTTCATGAAACTGTGTAGATAATAAGGACATACTATGTAGATGTGCATATTGACAGGAAATTACGATTCAATTTTTTTTTCTGATACAATTTTTTTTACTTACACTTATTTTATTTCTCCAATGACAATGTGGGGACGTGGGGTATGTGAGCGCGCTCACTAAGGTTCTTTCATTTTATAACTTTTTTGACCCTCTTGTTTTAAATAGATATAAATAGTATTGTTGTTTCTTTGATGATATACTACTTATTTTTAATTTTTCTTGCAAAATAGGTGAAGTAAAAGAAGAAAAATTAGTAGAAATAATCAGAATAAAGTAAGTATTGTAAGAATAAAGGTAGATATATTTTGATTTCATTGAAATAATAATTTGATTTATAATTGTACAGGGCTTACTGCATTTAGTGTTTTTCTGTAAAAGCTTACCAGTTGTAAATATTGATGTAATTGTTTTATTTTTAAAACTTACAGGATAAATCAAACTTTATTTTTGACTTCTTTTACATCAATCCCTTTTCATTTGAAATTTCATTTTTTTAAATTTTTATATACAAATAATGGATGTTCACCACATAGCCATTCTTGCTATTGCTTTTTGATGAAATAGATAAGTATCTTAGTTTAAGCAGTGATGAAATTACCAATGTTTCCAAGAATTTTGGATTTTTTTTTCTATTGTCCACCCTGTGCAGTGGTGCATTTGTTATAAAAATACCAGACGTCTGTGCATGTGTCTGTCCATCTCGTCTTGTAAGTGCTCTCACTTGTGCAATTCTTTCCAAATTTTTATGTAATTGATATCGAAGATTTATATCATCAATGTCCCAGGTGAGTTTGATAATCCGTGCCAATCATATAATGTTAAGGAGTTATGCCCCTGGAAGACATAAATGACATGGAAAATTGCTTTGAAAGCACTCAAGCCTATATATCGTAGAGGAGGATAATAAAATTTGTATCAAAGGTTAATATTAGCAATGTCAAGGAAGTTTTGAAATTCAGTGCTGATCAACTATTTTACAGTTTTTGGTGGGGTTCGTGTTGCTTAGTCTTTAGTTTTCTATGTTGTGTCATCTGTACTATTATTTGTCTGTTTGTCTTTTTATTTTTTGGCCATGACGTTGTCAGTTTGTTTTCGATCTATGAGTTTGACTGTCCCTCTGGTATCTTTCGTCCCTCTTTTACAGGAGTTATGTCCATTGGAAATGTAAATGCTATAGGAAATTGCACTGCAAGCTCTCTCAATCTTACATCTGTTGTCAGATGTTTATGAAATTTACATTTATATTGGCAACATCAGAAGCAATTGAAAATCAGTATCGATCTTCAATTTTTTAATGTGTTCTCTTGGCAATATAAATAGTAATGTAAAATTGCATTGTGAGTGGTCTCAAGCCTACATTTCTTTAAGGATTGTAATGTGATTTATATCAAAGGTTTATACCAGGAATGTTTTGGACAAGATTAAATAATCGATCAAGAAATTAGACAGAAATTATTGGGTCTATTTGAAATGTAACTTATATTAAACGTTGCATTACAACCACTCACACCTACATTTCTGGTCAGATTTTTATCAAATTCATATCAAAAGTTTATACCAGCAAGGTCTTGAAAGAATTTCATAATAAGAGCTGATCAATAATTTTTACAGCAGTTATGTTTTTGGTAGATATGCCCCTCGGAAATAGAAATTATATGGAAAAAAACATTGTTATCAATCTCATGCCTACATTTTTTTGTAGGATATTTATCTAAAAGTTTAACAGAGCAACCATTTTTTTTAGTTATTGACCTTTAACATAAAATATTTGCAAAGGTGTTGAACATTGGAACTCTGTTCTTGATTTAGAAAAATGTCTGCAGTTTTTACATTCTACAAACACGTCATCCACATTGGCTAACCAAATACATTGTAGGTATAAAATAGACAGACTAGAAGAACAAAAGAAACTAATAGTAGATGCTGAGTTGAAGATTTGTTTAGAGAAAGAAGACTGTAGTATAACAGTTAAACTATTTGATCAACAGCTCATTTCACAACCTCTATGTGACATGGAGATGGATGGACAACTGTTAGGTATGATTATTTAGCAATTATTCCATATTATTTAAAATTTTAAACTTTACTGGATTTTGCTGTGCACTTTTTTCCCTCCTTTCAGAAGATGATAAAATTAGCTAACAGTTGATATGGTCCACTCAGATACACAGTTTAAATCACCAATTATTGTCAGGTATCTATTGTCCATCTATTGTCCATGTCTATCAATACAGTTCACTTCAATTTTTACCTGTGGGAAAGTTCTCAAACCCAACTTTGTTTGTTTTGGCACCTTCTTGAGGAATGAAAAAGGTGCACAGCAAAATCCAGTTAAGTACTTAATTTCTAAAATATAAATGTATTTGAATTTTATTTATCTAGAGCATGCTATGCCTTAGCATTTTTCCAGATACTCCGGTTTGTCTGTACTCAGAGTAAATTTTGAGGTGAAAATGCACCCATTTTAGCCTAAGGGTTCACATGAACCTTAACAGTAAGTTTCTTGGTTTTTATGCCCCCGCAACTGAAAGTTTGGGGCATATTGTTTTACCCCTGTCCGTCCATCCCATTATAGGTATATAGTTATTTCAGATAACTCCTCCTACAGTTTGATGCTAGGAAGTTTTCACTTTGCTGGCTGTTTGTACATATATTGAAGGTGTGCAAGTGGTCAGAGTTTTGATTTTTATAAATATTTGCTCTTTTGGGAGATAGGTGAACTTTTTCATTTTTGGAGTATATACTTGCATAAGAGGTGCATAGCGTTTCCGGATAACTCCTCCTACAGTGAATCATAGACCTATGTGCTCCCATGCTCAACTTTGTGTATTTTAAAATAACACTTTGAATCTGCGGGGGCATGATTTGTGTCTCCCAGACACAATAATATCTCAAAGAAAGTCCTACATTGACTTTGTTATAATACAGTTACTTCAGAGTGGAGTGCGGGTGCATCACTTTGTCTAGTTTAATCGAAGATTCATGATCATATGTATTTGCCATCAACCTTTTAGTCTTGGGGCTAATAAGCTAATATAACATTGAATCTATAAAGGGGTCAATACTGAAACAGGCAGTATTAAAGTATTGAGAAATTTTTAGGGAGCCCAGAGGGGTGTTGAAATATTCATGGCTTTTTGAAAGGTGTCTTGAATTTAATTTCCTTAAAGGTGGGACTTGAAAAAAAGAAGAAAAATTCCAATTTTTTCTTCCAGGTTCCCTGAATGAAATAAAATGATCAGTCTCTTAGATCATAAGTATATTAATCAATATTCATTAAACTTTGATCTTTGTCTCGCATATGCAGTCTTTGTGCTCAACCACAGGCCCACCAGCCCAGGCTTGTAAAACTGTCGGGCTTGTGAAAATCATCTCCACAGGCCAATATAATCTAACTAAAATCTTCTCAAAATTCAGCTTCGGGCCTTTAGATTCAAAAGTCTATTGTAAAGACTGCATGTGTCGAAAGTCGCAGAATGCAAGACATAGGGATTACAATCCAGCGGCAGCGACGGCATAAACTATTTGTGTTATAAAGCTTTTATATTTCAGGAGGTAGAAGACCTGGATGCTTCATACCTTGTATGCAAATGCCTTATTTTCTTATATTAAAGTTTTCTGTCTCATATGTCTATTGCCATTTTCATGGTTCAGCAACTGCTTGAATATTTTTAGTCCCCTATCGACGAAGTTCCAGTTTGCACTCCTACCATCTGTCTGTCTCAGTGTCTGTCCAACCTTCAGTTTGGCAAATCAGTTTTCCACACTTTTTCCCTTCGTGCTTGAAGATATTGATTTGATATTTGGTATATAGTTTTATCATGACGAGTTACAGATTAAATTTGATTTATGTTCCAGTCTGATGATTTTGTGCAGAATTATGGTCCTTGGACTTTGAAAATTCACATAAGTAATCAGTTTTCCACACTTTTTTTCATCATGCTTGAAATTTGGTATATAGTTTACCATGACAAGTTACAGATCAAGCTCGAATTTTGTTCCCATCTGATGATTTTGTGCAGAGTTATGTTCTTTGGATTTAGAAAATTCAGGCAAGTAAACAGTTTTCCGCATTTTTTTTTCATTATACTTGAATATATTGATTTGGTTTTTGGTATATAGTTTTACAATGACAAGTTACAGATCAAATTTGAATTTTTTTGGTTTGAATGATTTTTTTGCAGCGTTAGGGTCCTCGGACTTTGAAAATTCATGCAAATAATCAGTTTTCCACACTTTTCATCATGCTTGAATATTATGATTTGATATTCATTATATAGTTTAACCATGTTAACACCAGGACAAGTTAAAGATCAAGTTCGTTGTTCCACTGTAATGAATTTTTAACTGGTATGGGACTATGTATTGCCATGCAATACTCTCAGAATGCTTGTTTTAGTTGTTTTGTCATTTTGAAATACTCCCTTATTATGAGTTATAGGGTAACTATATATGGTATATTGGATGCTTTCAAGGTCTGCATATACCCATCAGACATGGTTCACCTGACCTCAACCTCATTTCATGTATCAGTGATCAATGTAAAGTTTTGTGGACAAGTCTTTATTTTAGATACTATAAGCAATATGTCAACTATATTATGGTTCATTTGTCAATGTTAAGTTTTTGTGGTTTGGTCTGATTCTCAGATACTATAAGCAAAAAATTAGCTGTATTTGGTGTATGGAATTAATGTAAAGTCGGCCCGATTGGTTTCTCTGACCTTGACCTTTTTTTTTTGATTCATTGGACAATATTTTAATTTTTTCCTGTTTGGGCTCTATCTATGATACTATAAGCCATAGGGCCACTATATTTGGTATATATCATGGAATGATAGTTAGGTTAAGACATGTCTGTCTGGCAAGTTTTCAAGGTTTTGTCCATTTATCAAATACTGTAAGCCATTGGTCAACTATATTTGTTGTAAGGAAAGATTGTAAGGTGTACATGTCTGTCTGGTAAGGTTCATTAGACCTTGACCTCATTTTCATTGTTCATTAATGTAGTCATGTCCCTTTGGCTTACAGTATCTGAGAATATGCAATAGGCATACTTTATTTGGTCTATGGTATGAAATTTAATTTAATCAAGGAAAGCAGGCGAGACATTTCAGCATGTGCACTCTTGTCATTTTAGTTGCATTTTATTAAGTTAGTTACTTTTTAGTATAAATAAAGTTGCCTTCACAAAGAATTTTAATAATCCGACCTCGTACACCATATTGAAATTAAAAATATTTCACAGTGGCTAGCTTGACTGTTCCTGCATTTTTCTTTCTCTAAATATTGATACCCAAAAAAAAAAGAAACAATGGCCGTCTTTTCCCTCAGAGCTCCCAAGATCTTTGATTATATTGTCATGAAATGAAGAAACTTCTTTTTCATGACACCTTAGCAACATAGCACATTAGGCTAAAAAGTCATAGAATATGTTTTAATTTCTAGATATATCATTTACTGACTGGGTAACGAAGCAAGGAGAAAATATTGGCAAAACTTTAACCAGTGCTGTAACTAATAAATTACTGGACGAATTAGGTCTTACTAAGTTCATGAACTCAGTTCCCTGTGATAGATATGCTGGAATATTTGCTGACTCTGAAAATGGCTGGAATAGTAAAGGTAGGATACTTATGTCAAATGTAATAAATACTTTATAAAAATTTCTGAATTTACAGTTATTACTTTCTACTGGCATTTCATCAGTGTAATTTTGTAGTATGGACTTACACACATTGCTATTGAAGTGCATATGTATTTAAGTTTATGTTCAGTGACATTTGGATCACCATGACCTATATTAAAAATGTTAATAACTTTGGTTATGTTTTGCAGCTATATAAAAATAAGTGTATTATATAAATAATAATATAAATATAAATGTAAAAAGTAAAACAATTATTACTAGAAAAACAAACAGCCTGATTCATAATAATACAATAAACTAAAAAACAGATATGACAGACGGCAATTAAGGACTACCACTGAATTTTCAGGCTCCTGATATATAGAATATGGCTGGATAAAACATGTTTGTGAGCTCGCAATCCTACCCTAACCTGGGACAGTGATGTAACAGTAAAATATAAGAACAGATTGTAGAAACTAGTTGGAAAGGGCTTGATTTATCAGATTGTCAGAAAGCACAAAAAATAAACAAAAAAAATGTCAAAAGACACAAAGTATATATCGAAGAGTACTCACAATTACTAACATTTAGTGCAAAACCAATAACTATTGATTGAATCATGTTTCCACAATGAAATGTCTTGATATTTGGGAAACTTTTATTCTAATACAAACTTATAGTTGATATTAACATTTAACATAAAAATCAGTTATGGATTGCTGCATTTTAAGTTAAAGTGCTAAGCCCCAAGTAGTCCTAGGGAATATTTTATTTAAGCAAAAACAAAATGAAATGTGTTCTAAGTGTTTTCTTTTTAAGAAAAGTAGGGTTGGTATGTATGAACTTTTTGGGTAACTTTTTTGCGTGACTGAGGGGTTCACGCTTATATATTGGCGAGTTTTGGATGTGTCTATGAGCCACTTGATATCTCTTGGCCGGAAGTCGGAATAAAATTCTCGGGACGTCTCGAAAGTTTTCGATCATTTATACAGGTAGTTATCTACGTCTTTGATACGGTCCCTCTATGGCTATGCTACCACGTGACATTACACCATCAAAGTATTTGGAAAGTAAACACTAAGGCTAGGTTGCAGTCAATAAATCGTTTAAATATAAGAACCTTTTTGCCTTTTCACAACAAGTATTATGACAACGCAATTATATTTGTTTTAAAACGACCCCTGTACACTGTGTGTATCTAGGTCAATTATAACGTTGTATTGTGCATTGTCATGATAACATGTAAACTAATTATGTCTGAAGATTTAACCACGTGTGTATTTTCATCATAGACTAAGGAGGGAACATTCTGGTTTAAATGTGTATATTAGATCCGAAAACAGAAAGATAACATTATTATCAAAAGTATTCAATTTAATTAATTCAATAGAAATCAAAGAAATATATACAAAATATATACTGTATTTATGTTTCTGTAGAAACTAAATATTTAATTGAAGTCAGAATATTTTCAGAGTTGCAATTAAGAAATAAGTATTTATATGACAAGATACTCTGCTTTGGTATTTTTAAATATTCATTTGTAAATGAATGAATGAAACATGCATAATAATTAAATCTGAATAAATCCTTTCATCATACCGAAAAAATGTTGATAAACAATAATAATTATCAATAATTATATTTCTACGTTAATTATTTCCTACCGTTTTAGTAAGGTTTTATAAGTAATTGTTATTTATTTTTTTGTATTGTAATATATCCATAAAACGGAAAGTAAGATAAATTAATTAAATATTTAAATTTTAAACGGTCGTAAATAAAAATACTTGTGTGTTTTCAATTCACAAAGATTTTAAATCCTTGCAGCTCACAAAAAAACGTAATAATAATTTACAATAATCATAACAAAATTTAATTAAATACTATCATAATGTTAATTTTTTTGTACTGTTTTAGTATGGATTTATAAGTCTTTGCTTATATTTTGTATAGTAATCTATTCATATAGTGGAATGGTAGAATTTAAAAATAGATTCATTTAATTAATAAAAAGTCTGTCCGTAAATATTTGACGTTTGTTTTTATTGATACTACATGTATATATATTAAAAAGTTTCGGAAAAAAATACTAACAGGAACATATGTTTATTATAAAATTTCAATTCTATTTTTGTTTGTTTGTTTTAATAGTTTAACCTTATAACATCTACATATTTGTACTATGGTACGATTTTGAAAATTGTATTCACTGTGTTGCCCAACTATCCTACACGTCTTGATTCATTCACATTATAGATCACATTTCAAACGCACACTATCGGTTTGCGTTCTCAAAAATTCCAATAATGCTAATTTCACTAGTGAATGCGCATTTTCGTTTTTCTTATCTAAATTTAGGACACGGCTGTAAGAGATTGAAATGTGACTTTCATGCACGGTCATCATTACTTACGGTATTCTGACCTCGAGCTGTTTCTCCTTTGTTTCTTTTTTGAGTCACTGTCCTATAATAAACTTTGACCTTTTCGAAAAGCTAACTTAAGGATTGTCTACCCAAGGAATATTCCTTGACTTTGTAATTTATTTGGCCTTTTAACTTTTTTCAATCGAGTGTCACTGATGCTTTTTTGTAGACTGGCGTCTGGCGAACATCATTTTAATTCTGGTATCTTTTTATATCTGCATACCTTTTTATATAAATTGGTTATTTTGAGGGTATGTACAGGTATTCATAAAATTTCTGAATTAAGATATTCTTTGGCAAAACCAAGTTTCCCTGTAGAATATTTGAATTGATTTAAGTAAAATCAGGAAATCCTTAAAATTTGAGATGTTTTATTAGACCAAAGAAATCTCTTTATAAGATGTCCCAATCAGTTGCATGCCACAGGTTTCATTGCACATGGAAATTGGACTTTAGATTTATATAAAAGAGACGATTTTTCATTCCCTATTGTATATTTTGCTTTTTTAGACGGCGATGTACCTTTGGCTCCATCATACGGTGTTTATATATCCGAACTTGTTCGGTATGCCCGTGTGTGTAGTGATGTCATAGATTTTAACGAACGTAATCAATGCATCACTGGTAAATAATTAATTCAGGGATTTCGTTACCATAAATTACTTAAAACTTTCACTAAATTCTTTCATAGATACAAAGATTTGATAATTAATTTGGCTGTACCTGTAAAAAACTTATTAAAAATGCTATTTCACATCCTAAATTTTACGGTAATAGTAATATTGTACTTAAAGCGCGGAAATCACTATGTGATCCGTGTAAACTCATCGAACCTTTAAACAAACTTATTAGTTAAGGGTTATCGTACCAATGTTGTAATTAGATCTCTGAATATAGTTTACATTGGCACTAATATCCATTTTGTCATTAGCAAATTAAAACATAACTAAATTTGTATTTTCTTTTCAAACGAGATGTATAGAGATGCACACACGTTCATTTTTATCTATAAAGAAGTCACTCCTAACTATCCTACTACCTGTCGATACATTTATTTTTGGCATTGCACAAGTCATGTCTTCTTTGACTGTTCATGACGTTAAAATACTAAATCCCTGGGATGTGTTTTAGTTGATTTCAGTCTCTGATGCATGATGTTTTATTATTAATTGTTTTGGCTTTTAACTAGCTGTCAGTAACTGCGAGTACTCTCAAATCGTACTTTCTTTTTAATTTGACCTGTTGATACTATTTGTAATGCTTTTTTGTTATTTAATGTTAACATGGATCTTGTCTATATACAAGCTTTGATTATTTGGTATTACTACAAATTTTCACTTCTTCGTACTATGAACATCAAAATTATTTCATTTCTCCTTAAATACTGTACAGGAAGTTTTATCTAGCACTTATTGTATAGTTTTATTGTGGATATGCACCCCATATGTACCTAGTGTAAAATTAGTTTTATTGATATTAAAGAAATTTCTTGGTATTCCTAAACAGAAGATTTTATACACACAGAAGAAGAAGTATACTTAACAACAAAATTATTTTCATTTACCTGTGTATAATATGACACAGGTTTTTTCAAAAGTGATGATTTTCTAAATATTGTTTAACATTTCACAGTGTATCATACTTTAACTTTGTTTAAACCTGTTTATTTACTTTTGACCTTAATTATTTATCCCTTATAATTTTTATTAACTATGTATTTGCATTCAGGTATCACAGATCAAATGTATTCGTTCATTGTGTGTTAATTTACGTTTTTTGATTGAGTTAAGCCTTCCAATTGATATTTTATAGTGTGTCTTTCTATGTTGTGATGTTATACTATTGTTTCAGAAAAGGGAGACGGTTTGGTACCATTAAAACGTTTAATCCCGCTGCAAATGTTTGCACCTGTCCTAAGTCAGGAATCTGATGTATAGTAGTTGTCGTCTGTTTATGTAGTTCATACGTGTTTCTCGTTTCTCGTTTTTATATAGATTAGACCGTTGGGTTTCCCGTTTGAATGGTTTTCCACTAGTAATTTTTGGGGCCCTTTATAGCTTGCTGTTCGGTGTGAGCCAATGCTCCGTGTTGAAGGCCGTACCTTGACCTATAATGGTTTACTTTTATAAATTGTAACTTGGATGGAGAGTTGTCTCATTGGCACTCATACCACATCTTCCTATATCCAATTAACATCTTCCTATATCCAATTAACATCTACCATGAGTACAGACAGCTTCAATAACGAGTTGAGAACATGAAATTCCAGATTATAAAGCAAACTGAGTGCATAAATTTATATTGCGATTGGTTTGTGCAATTTGCATAAGTCATCCAGTTTGTAGAAATTGGGATTTGCAAAAAGGTTATCATCGGGAAAATTATGTACATTCCAAAGTACTAAATAAAATAGTCTAGCTTTAAAATGTATATTCAAATAGTAGATGTCAATATACACTTTCAACTGACTTCTTCTAATCACAATCAATTATTTCAATTCAAAAGCAAACACAAATTCAGCAACAATCTTTTGGTGACCCGGCAGTCAGCGGTCTTAGGTTCACGTATTGCTTTTCTTTTTTTTTAAAGAGCAACTTGTTTTACCTTGAGTATTTAAGATCAGTTGATCTGCAATTTTGTATTATCATACTTCCCTGAGCCGTTATCACCTTGCTCAATCCCTATGTAACTTTCATATCACAGCTATAAACCATGAGCAAAACTTATCAGCTGTGAGAATTTATTTAGTTAAATCTCAATATGAAAACAGAACTTATCCAGCATACTTTTTAGCTCACCTGGCCCGAAGGGCCAAGTGAGCTTTTCTCATCACTTGGCATCCGTCGTCCGTCGTCCCTCGTCGTCGTCGTCGTTAGCTTTTTACAAAAATCTTCTCCTCTGAAACCACTGGGCCAAATTTAACCAAACTTTGCCACAATCATCATTAGGGTATCTAGTTTTAAAAATGTGTCCGATGACCCCGCCAACCAACCAAGATGGCTGCCATTGCTAAAAATAGAACATAGGGGTAAAATGTAGATTTTGGCTTATATCTCTGAAACCAAAGCCTTTAGAGTAAATCTGACATAGGGTAAAACTGATTATCAGGTCAAGATCTATCTGCCCTGAAATTTTCAGACAAATCTGACAACCTGTTGTTGGGTTGCTGCCCCTGAATTGGTAATTTTAAGGAAATTTTGCAGTTTTTGGTTATTATCTTGAATATTATTATAGATAGAGATAAACTGTAAACAGCAATAATGTTCAGTAAAGTAAGATCTACAAATAAGTTGTCATGACCAAAATTGTCAGTCGACCCCTTTAGGAGTTATTGCCCTTAATAGTCAATTTTTAACATTTTTTCGTAAATTTTTGTAATCTTTTACAAAAATCTTCTTCTCTGAAACTACTGAGACAAATTTAACCATACTTGGCCATAATCATTATAAGGGTATCTAGTTTAAAAAACTTGTCCGATGACCCCGCCTTCCAACCATCATGGCCGACTTGGTTAAAAATAGAACATAGGGGTAAAATGCAGTTTTTGGTTTATATCTCTGAAACTAAAGCATTTAGAGCAAATCTGACAGGTGTCAAAAATGTTCATCAGATTTAGATTTATCTGCCCTGAAATTTTCAGATGAATCCGACAACTGGTTGTTGGATTGCTGCCCCTGAGTTAGTAATTTTACAAATATTTTGCAGTTTTTTGTTATTATCTTAGATATCATTATAATATCTAATATCTAATACTATTAATTATGATTTTAACCTTATTTTACATGATTTCCAAAGCATCAGTAAATACAGGTGAGCGACACAGGCTCTTGAGAGCCTCTAGTTTTTTTTATTAAAACAACCAAGCCTAAAACTGTCTATAAAGGAAGAAGAAAAAAGAACAATACACAAAATTAAATGTCTTAAAATATCAGCCACTTGTCACAATGTGAAGATATATAGACAAAAAGGTTCACATTATGGTTTTCTGTTGTTATTTTATGATATCAGTGTGCAGAAAACCTGATAAACTGTACAGATTCACCACAAAAATGACAATAAAAAAAGAGTTGGTCCTGGTAGAGAAACCCCTAACATAATTATATTTATTCTAGCCTGATTTTTTTTCCAGATTGTCCACCAGCAAGTAACCTGCCTCCAATAGAAACTTCAATGACTTGCTACATTCCAAGTTATTGTACAGGAATAAACTGTTGTATAGAAGTGGATCAGATTGGTAAAACTTTTAATGTCTATGCTCTGTTAGATGGCTGCAACCAGAAGCTTACTTTGGGTATTGAAAGAAGAAAAATTGATATTTCACTGCTAAATTATAATTGGGGTAAGAATTGTATAATTTTTACCATGATATTAAATTGGTCTACCTGTATGCAATAAAAATAGAAATTATTGCAGTAAACTACTAGTTTTGGTATTTGGTTGGTACTTAATGTCAGGTAAAAATTACTTGACCACCTATTGTAGATTCAGTCTTTGAAAAGATGATCATAGTCATTCAAATATAAAAAAAGATATTTTTTGAAAAAACTTTACATTTTTCTGTTCGTGTTAGAGAAGATAAGTAATATGTCATCCCTGGAATTAATCTATCCAGCAGTGAAACCAAGGTTAAACAGGGGCATCCCTTTGGTGGTGCATGATGTATGCAGCTATGTAGAGTAGGAATAGGGACATTTAATCTTATGCCTTGTATGGAGAAGTTCATGTTAGAATTCCATTAAACCTAGCCTCATTTTTAGCTCACCGGGGCCCAAAGGGCCCCATGTGAGCTTATGCCATCACTTGGCGTCCGTCGTCGTCTGTCGTCGTCGTCGTCGTCGTCGTCTGTTGTCATCTGATGTCGTCTGTCGTCGTAAACTATTTCAAAAATCTTCTCCTCTGAAACTACAGGGCCAAATACCTTCAAACTTTAACTAAATGTTTCTTAGGGTATCTAGTTTATAAATTGTATCCGAAGTTTTGATCCATCGACAAACATGGCTGCCATGGCTAAAAATAGAACAAGGGGGTCAAATGCAGTTTTTGGCTTATATCTCAAAAACTAAAGCTTTTAGAGCAAATCTTGCATGGGGTAAAATTGTTCAATTGGTCAAGATCTATCAGCTCTGAAATTTTCAGACGAATCGAACAACCCATTGTTGGGTTGCTGCCACCGAATTGGTAGTTTTAACAAAATTTTGCAGTTTTTTGTTATTATTTTGAATATTATTAAAGATATATATAAACTGTAAGCAGCAATAATGTTCAGCAAAGTAAGATCTACAAAAAAGTTAATATGACCAAAATTGTCAATTAACCCCTTAAGGAGTTATTGCCCTTTAAAAACAATTTTACACAATTTGTTCATCAAGTTTGCTAACATTTAAAAATCTTCTCCTCTGAAATACAGGTGAGCAATTCAGGCTCTTGAGAGCCTCTTGTTTTAAGTTGCATTTATTTCATTTGAACCACCTATTGGATTTGTTGTTAATTAGGGCCCCGCCGAATGGCGGACGCCCTATATTGATCAGTCTGTCCGTATGTCTGTCTGTTTGTCCGTATGTCTGTCTGTCCGTCCGTCTGTCCGTCTGTCCGTCCATAACAAATTGTGTCCGCTCTATATCTAGAGAACCGTTATGATTTCAAAGTTTATACTTGACATGTATATTAACCAACACCAGAGGGTGTGTCATAATGTATGTACAACTTCCTAGGTCAAAGGTCAAGGTCAAAAACTTTGGTTTTAGTTGACAACCCCATGTCCTATGGTAAATATCGTGTCCACTCTATATCTTGAGAACCGTTATGATTTCAAAATTTATACTTGACATGTATATAAACCAACACCAGAGGGTGTGTCATAATTTATGTACAACTTCCTAGGTCAAAGGTCAAGGTTTAAAACTTTGGTTTCAGTTGACAACCCCATGTCCAATGATAAAGATACAATTTTTTTACCACACATTATTCACAGCGGGGCCCACAGAGATGGATTCCATCTCAATGATATCTAGTTTGTGCTTGTCCTGAAATGCATGAACTACTTGCCACTGGATATTAAGCAAACAACAATCAAACACATAAGGACATTTTTATGATAGATTATAGATAACTTCAAATCATCTGTTTTTGTCTGATTTATAAGTTCATCTAAGTCATCCAGATATATCAGATTATATCTTTAACATATTTGTTACTTAGGTATTACAATCCACAAATACCTATATTGTTTAATTGAAAACCACAAATACCTATATTGTTTAATTAAAATCCACAAATACCTATATTGTTTAATTAAAACAATGTAAGTAAAGTAAATCTCAGGAAAGACAACATTAGAAAATTTTTTTTTTTCATGACTCATATTTATCTTTCTATTTATTACTATTCAACATTTTATATAATATTTATTGTTAATGTATAATTTTAGGTGCAACTCAAATTTTCACACTTATGGATATTATTTATCTGGAGTAAGTACACCAATAAACAGTTATTATAATGATAAAGTAGGAATGAAAGGAATTATGTAGTGAATGCCAATGAGACAACAACCCAAAACTAAAGTTTACCAGATGTAGATATAGATCTTCATTGATGAAATCATCTTAATGTTTACCTATAAATAACAGGAAGTGTAGGATCAGCAAGACAGCAATCCAACAACACAATAAAACATCAGTAAGACTTAGAGGATTATTCAACAACAGACAAGCATCTTCAGCATATAGCCATTACAAGTTTAAATTGACTAGTATAAGTCCTGACAAGTTGCGAATAAATTTAACAAAGATTACCAAAAGAGCTTCAATCAACATCAAATTCTACCAATATGTCACTCTTGTTAGGGTTTATTGATTTTGATCTCATTTTCATGATTCAGTAATTCAGTGAACTTGTTATATGTTATTTGCAAGCATTGCACCTTTGTAAGTTTGATATTTGTAGTTTCACCATTGTCTTATAGGAAGTTATTATTCAGCCATTATAATTTACAAAGATGAGAAGTTTTTGCAGATGGTTTGATATTTATCTTTTGTAGGTACTCAATACATGATTTGAAAGGAGAGAATAGCTACATGCTTAATGGGAAAATAAAAGTTTGCTTACAAAAAGGAGGTGGATCATGCTTGTTTACAAAGACTCTGTTTGAAAATACTAAAATACAAAAGTTTGGATGTGACTGGTCTCACAGTGAATTTAAAATACAAGGTATATTTGTGTTCTTCTTGAGTTCTTCTTCATAACTTATGGGCATAACCAAAAAACCATCAATTTTACAATGTAAATCTTAATTTTGATTCTAGTGTCCCTTTTAATCTGACATATGGAATAATTTGTGCCAAGATTTCTAGATTAAAGTAAAATAAAAGTATTATGATACAGTATTGTTTTGATAATACCTAGTTATTTGAGGAATATCATTATGAAAATATACTCTCATAGGTATTGAATTAAGAAAATGTTTTCATTGGAATAATCTTATTTGATATTTTTCAGATTTTTCTCTCCAGAAGTTTTTATCAGACAATGATGTAGTTGACAATGCAGCAGGATTAATACTGGACAAGTTATTGGAGGAATTAGGAATAACCTCAGAACTTAAGGATACACAATGTAGTAGATCAGAATCACCCTATAGTCCTGTAAATTCAAAAGGCTGGAACATAGGTATTGAAATTTAAAATTGTTTTCTACTCAGAATATACCATACAATATTTTATCCCCACTCTTAATGTTGGGCTATATAGCAATTACCTTGCCTTTTCGGCTGGTAATACCTCCGTATGTTCATCCAACAATTAGTCCCGTCACATTTTTCTCAGAAACTTCTGAACAGAATGACTTCTTATGTAGTCAGCAGCTCAACAGTGATGAGTTGCACTATGAGCATTTTTCAGATCTTTCAGACACCTACTTCCAGTTTGCTTGATACTTGTAATTACATGTTTTGATACCTTGACCTTAAATTTTTGTCACTTTTTTTCTCAGAAAATGCTATTTAGAATGACTTTCATATTTGTGCAACATCTCAATAGTGATGGGTTGTAGTGTGTGAGTACTTTTTTGATCTGTCAGATACCTTCTTCCTTTTTGCATTCTTGGTTAAAAAGAACTTGACTTAACAATTCAGAACCTTTTGATTTTCTTCTGATGTCAGTGAGGGAGACTTTTCTTCACTAGAAATCTTTGGATCCTTCCATTGTCCTTAAAACATTATCCAGGTTTGAGCTCACCTTTCCAAAGGAAATGTTAGCTTTTGCCATCACTTGGCGTCTGTCGTCGTCGTCGTCGGTCCAGTGTAAACTTTTTCAAACATCTTCTCCTCTGAAACTACTGAACCAATTCCAACCAAACTTAATAAGCTGAATGATCCTTAGGGTATCTAGAATATTTTTTGTGTTTTATTTTCTGTTTCGTCATAAAACATGGCCGCCATGGCTAAATATAGAACATAAGGTTAACATGCAGTTTTTGGCTTATACCTCAAAAACAAGCATTTAGAGCAAATCTGATAGGGGGGGGAGGGGGGTAAAAATGTTCATTAGGTCAAGTTCTATCAGCCCTGAAATTTTCAGATGAATCTAACAATCCATTGTTGGGTTGCTGCCACTAAATTGATAATTTTAAGGAAATTTTGCAGTTTTTGGTTATCTTAAATATTATTATAGATAAAGATAAACTGTAAACAGCAAAAATGTTCAGCAAAGTGTAAGATCTACGAATAAGTTTTATATGACCAAAATTGTAAATTGACCCCTTAAGGAGCTATTGGCATTTAAGGACAATTTTACACACTTTGTTTATCATGTTATTCTAACTTTAAAAAAATTTCTCCTCTGAAACTACTGAACCAAATTAAACCAAACTTAAGCTGAATGATTCTTAGGTTATCTAGAAAAAAGTTTGTGTTTGATTTTTTGTTTCCTCAGAAAACATGGCTGCCATGGCTAAAAATAGAACATAGGGTAAAATGCAGATTTTGGCTTATATCTCAAAAACTAAAGCACTTAGAGCAAATCAGACAAGAAGTTAAAGTATTCATAAGGTCAAGGTCTACCTGCCCTGAAATTATCAGCCAAATTGAGTATCTGATTTTTAGGTTATTGTCCCTGAATTGATGATTTTAAGGAAATTTTGCACTTTTCGGTTATTATCTTTAATATTATTATAGATAAAGATAAACTGTAAACAGCAAAAATGTTCAGCAAAGTAAGATCTAAAAATAAGTTTGACCGACATTGACAATTGACCCCTTAAGGAGTTATTGCCCTTTAAAGACAATTTTTCACAATTTGTTCATCTAGTTTGCTTATTTTAAAAAATCTTCTCCTTTGAAACTGTTAAATCAATTTCAGCCAAACTTGGGCTGAATGAGTTTCAGAGTATCTAGTTTAAATTTAGTATTTTATTTCCTTGTATGTCAAGAAACATAGCCACTATGGCTAAAATAAAACATAGGGGTAAAATGCATTTTTTTGCTTTTGAAGAAAATATGACAGATACAAAGAACATTTAAATGGCATTTTTAAGCTACTCATTAATATATGTTGAAAAGCAAAAATAATCATTGATGAAAGATTTAAGCAAAAAATTACAGGTGAGCGATTCAGGCTCTTGAGAGCCCCTTGTTATATTTTTTCAACACTGTATCTCACTGTAACTGTGTTTCCTAACATAAATACATTTGTTTTTATCCAGCATCTTATATTGCTGCTTCAGCAAACATTTTGCAATACAAATTTGTTTCAAAAACTGTTGAAAATGATTGTACCTTATAAAATTTAAACAAAAGAGGAGGGACGTATGATAAGAGCCATTATTTGGTCCCTGAAAATCCAAATATAGGGAAAGTTTTCAATCCTTTCAAAATTATGTTAATTTCATTGATAAACAAGTTTATATAATCTTGACAGAATATTTGTAACGTCAAAATAATAAAATAAGGAGATGTTGTATGATTACATGTACCAACTGGACAATTACCCACCAAAGTTCAAATAAAGTGGATATAAGCAATTATAGGCAACTGTACAACCTTCAACAATGAAAAAAACCCATACAGTATAGGCATCTATAAAAGGCCTCGACATGAAAAATATGAAATAATTCAATTGAGAAAAATAACAGCCTAATTTATAACAAAACAATTTACGAATAACAAATATGACAGATGTCAACCAACGACAACCACTGAACTACAGGCTCCTGACTTGGGAAAGGCATCAACATGTTTTGCACTCAATTTGGCAGCCCTAATTCAGATATGTAAGATAAAACTAAAAAATACAAAAACTGATGTCTTACCTTATGAATATCTGAAGGATTTTATTTGTTAGATTTTAAAATACTCTTTGATTTTCAAATTTAAGGGTTCAAAAAAGTGGCTTGATGATGCATTCTCTTAACAAACTTTCAGGTATTTTTTATTAGCAAATTATGGTTTTGCAAACCAAACTGTATCTTGATTTTTCAACCTGTTTTTTTGCAGTACAATTCTATTCAGAACAAGTCAATTTAACATATTTTTTTGAAATTTCATTATACACAGGATTCTATCAGATTCTCCTCCAATGTGTATGAAGGTTTACATTCCCAAAACCTTGGATGAGTTAGAGAATCAGAAAAATCTAAAATGAGGGACCATTTTTCAGAAGGGGGACTTTTGAAAATATCTTATATTTATACACAGTCATGATTCTTTTTTTTTAGGGTGTGAGAAATCATTACCATATATTTTACCTTTAGTACCTAATACAATGAGTTGTCACCTGACTGATACCTGTACAGGTGTATACACTCCATTTTTGCACTCATGATTATTTTATACTTTTAGGATGTGAGAAAACATTACCATATAATTTACCTGCAATACCTAATACAGTGAGTTGTCACCTGACTGATACCTGTACTGGTGTATACACTCATGATTATTTTATACTTTTAGGATGTGAGAAAACATTACCATATATTTTACCTGCAATACCTAATACAGTGAGTTGTTACCTGACTGATACCTGTACAGGTATAGATTGTTGTATAGATGTCTCCCAGATCAGTAGGTCTGTCAATGTTTACATCAAACTTGATGCCTGTAACAACAGATTGACAGCAGGAATCGAGAAACTTACATTTGATGTGCCTCTGCTGAACTATGAGTTTGGTCAGAAACAAAGCTTCAGGTTAATGAATATCTTTAGGATTGAGTAAGTTTTTAGTTTTACTACCTCTACTGAATTATGAGTTTGGTCAGAAACAAATCTTTCAGCTTGATAAATATAAACAACACCTCAGGTTAATGAATTTGATGATTGAAAATTTGTAATGCTTTTGCATTTCATCTTGGTGAAAGCAGAACATTAAGTTTCAAATTGAAATGCAAATCTCTTTTTAAAGGAATGGAAGTAAAATTCCCTAGGAGTAGTACATATATAAAGACGTTTTCATTGTCTTTTATCAGATATAAAAAGCATATTTTAAATTAATTTTCTTGGACTACAATAAGTTTTTAAGAACGAACTTATGAATGAATATTTTCTAGAAAAAAATTTGCAAATGTAATGGAAGTGTTTGAAAGAATTAAAGAAAATTAAAAACTTTTCATCTTTGTTTCATATTTTTTTCAGTTATTCTATCATAGATTTATCAATGGAGAAGCAGTTTGTAGTAGACATGGATGTTAGTGTATGTTTTGAAGCCAATGCACCATGTGTTTTTACATCAACCATCATGAAGAATGCAAGATTACCTAAACCTATATGTGACCTGAGTAGTAATTTGTCTTTTGAAGGTACAGATTTAAAATTTTTACTCTCTTTATCCATACACATGTTTGTTTGTAGACATGGGACAAAGAGATATGGATAAAAAGGGATGTGGGGAATATATTAATGAGACAGCAATCAAACGTTTGATCTTCAGTCAACATGAGGAATGTTATATATTTGGTATTTGAAGTTTGAAACATTTTCCAATTTTTCATAGAAATCTGTTCTAGCTGAATATTTCCAATTTAATTATAACACAGAGTTCAATTGTTAGTAAAGCAAAATAAAAAACAAAATCTGTTTGCACGTTTATGATTGTGGTATTTTAATATTTCCACTGTAAACTTATCAAACATAATATTTTGATGTTCACTTTTATGCCCCCGCCGTAGTAGAGGGGGCATTTAGTTTTACCCTTGTCCGTCCTGTCCGTCCAAACATACCCAAAATTGGTAACCGTTCTTTAACTTCAGTTTGCCTCAACCAAATGTTATAAAACTTATACTTATTACCACAAAACACAGATCAAGTTCTTGAGTTATGCCCCTTTATAAATGGAAAAATTGCTAAATCTGTTGTATCCGTTCTCTAACTTTAGTTTGCCTCAATTAAATGTTATTGAACAATGAGAGCACTCAAACCTGCAAGCAATTTCTAATGACAAAATGTAGAAATATATGTCATTAACGTTAAAAGAAAAGAAAATGTCAATGATTAGTACATTGACTCATTCATATTTACAAGCAGGGGCATCTGTGGTCCATAGGCACATTCTCCATTTATTTGATAAAATTCATTGTATCCTGGGTCCCTCTTTGATAAAGCTATGAGAGTTATGTTATGACTGATGCCTTTATATTACAGACATATCCTTAAAAGAATTAGCTGAGAACCTTCTATTGGATGTAACACAACAGTTACCATCATATGCTGCTGACATATTACTAGAGAGACTTGGTATATCCCAATGGATGCAGGATGTACCATGTAGTCCACAGTCATCACAGTATGCCCCTAATGTCAAAGGATGGAAAATATGTATGTTATTTGTTTTTAATGTACATACACATAAAGATCATATCACTATTTTAGAATCTGTTCGATGAGACACCAGATTTTGCATCATTATTGACTTTATATAACAATCACTCCAAATTTGTGGCATAGACATATGCTCTTGTGACATCAAGATTTTACAGGAATGTCTGTGATGTTCTGTAATGCTGGACAAATAACAATAAAGTGTCTTATTAATTTTACAAAATATGAAGGTAATCATTTCAATTAACCAGAAATGCTTGGCAAGTAAATGGTTGGTAGAATCCCTATAACATTTTACAGCATTAGTTTAAACACATAGAATAACAAAAAAATACAAGATGTTGAAAGATTATTTTAATATTTTGCCAGTTAGGCCATGAAACATACTATCCCAGAGTTGTCAAAAAAGAAGATTCTGACTAGTCCTTCTGACCTATTTATCACTTATTTGTACCTTAGCCTGTAAGATTTGACCCTTATATTTTACAGTTTACCCTTCAATGTACATCTGCCTGACTTGTAAGGGTTATATAAACAAGTTAGATTTTAACCCTTATTTTTTGCAGTGTGCCCTTCAGATCTACCTCTCCGGGATTTAACAGGAAGTTTAAGCTGTACAATACCAGATTACTGTACTGGTATAGACTGCTGTGTAGAGATCCCACAAATTGGTCGTACCTTTCATGTCTACCTGTTATTAGATGCTTGTTCACACAGACTTAAAATAGGAATAGAAAACCTGGGATTAGATCAAGCTTACTTTAACTTCGAGTTTGGTAAGTATAAATGTATAGTCTTTGATTATTAAACTGAAGTATTTACAAAATGTGATATAGGTAATCTTTTTGATAGCAATATTTACTCAGTAATATTTTCATTACATTTTTCTCAAGATCTACGAAACAGAATGACTTCATATTTATTTATCAGCTTGATCCTGTAGAGTTGTAGGGTCTGTCAAGACATCTATTTCTGTTATAGGATACTTTGAATTACAAGAGGGGTGATGTGTAATCTGCAGCACATTTTCTTGCTTACATGCAATTTGATAAAAAAAAAATACTGTAATACTTGAAATGGATTTATTACGTCTTTGTTTATTTAAGTATTCAGATAAATTTATCAATCACATTTTTTCATCAAAAGAGGAAACAACTGATTTAATTTAATTTTTTTAGTTTATGAGTTGAATACACACATACAATCTATCGAAAGCTCTTCTTTTAAAGTGATCTAGCCCATATCAGAAGGTTGATAGTGAGTGTCTTCCTTGAATAGAAGACATTATTTTTCAGATAAAGTCCAGGAGATTAGGCTAAGCAAGCTTTTGACCTTACAGTAAGTATGATTTATCATCATTTTAAGTCTTGTATTAAGAAAGATCAGGTGAACCAAAGGAAAGGTATTAGAGAGGATGAAATATCTGAAATATACCAAGTAAGGTCAGTTTCATGACCTAACATTGTGTAGGTTTGTTTGTTGTTTGGTGATTAATGCATTTTCAATATCTTGGCTTTAGTGTAGAGGTTACTTTTTATTGGTGGAAAGAACCATGACCATTAACAGGAAAACTGGCAATACTTGTCAATAAAGAACGGAGTCAAACACACTACAGAACTCATAACCTCAGAGTTGACTTGGTTACTAAGTGATCACTGAAGATGAACAACTTAGACCACTCTGCCACCTCGAGTGGTAAAGGTTGAGCTTACAATCCTTGCTGGGTCAAACAAAAGACTTTTCTTAGTTTAAAATTAGTAATAACAGCTTCTCTGCTTTGCATGCTGCATTAAAAAGTGAGGAAAAAGACTACTGATAGCTACAAAAAGGAGCAATACACCCCCCAAAAAAAACAATGATGTTGGTGTTATTGAAAACCAAAACATGTCTTGACTTTACTGATCTGTCAGCTGATATTTGACTGCTATACTATCAGTACATCTAGTTCAGTGTCATATTATATAAACTATTTTAAGGAGACATTTGCCACCTAACAGAGAATGAATATTTACCCTTGGAACAATTTAGCTGACTAGGAATCCACATAGTACAGAAACTGTATTTTGATACACATGGAAAAATAGAAAGAGTATTAAAATATACAACAGCTGACATGCTGCTTAACGTAACTAAATGTTTATAGTTTAAGTATAAAAATTATTTGCTGATTAAGATTATGTGAACTTACAGGTATTCAGTGAGTGATTTGGTAGGCAAGAAGAAGTACATTGTAAATATGAACATAACAGTTTGTTTGGAACCTTCAGGATCATGTATCTTTACATGGGACATTCTTAAGGAGGTTTATTTACCTAAACTTGGCTGTGATTGGAATATAAGTATGGCTGGTAAGTTAACCTTCAGGATCATGTATCTTTACATGGGACATTCTCAAGGAGGTTTATTTACCTAAACTTAGCTGTGATTGGAATATAATTATAGCTGGTAAGTTAACCTTCAGGATCATGTATCTTTACATGGGACATTCTTAAGGAGGTTTATTTACCTAAACTTGGCTGTGATTGGAATATAATTATGGCTGGTAAGTTAACCTTCAGGATCATGTATCTTTACATGGGACATTCTAAAGGATATTTATTTACCTAAACTTGGCTATGATTGGAATATAAGTATGTCTGGTAAGTATCTTTACATGGGACATTCTCAAGAATGTTTATTTACCTAAACTTGCCTGTGATTTCAATATAAGTATGGCTGGTAAGTATCTTTACATACTAAACTGGGATGTGATTGGAATATAAGTATGGCTGGTAAGTTAAACACAAGGATTGACCTATAGCATAACCCATGCTAATGGGGGTGTCCCTTTTGCATTGCTTGATGTGTAAATGAATCCTCAAGTCTGATTAGAATGGAGATGTTAATGTCAATGCTTGATGTATGTAAAATGTCAGACTGTCTACATGATAAAGACCCCCTGCAACAACTATTTAAGGGATATGAAGATTACCTGTTGCATGGCTTTTGAAAACAAAATATGCAATGCAATGGTAAGTTCTTAAGATCATTCATTATCTTACCACATGGATCTAATTATGATTAAGATTTTTTAAACAACTAATATGAACAAGTCATATTTTATATACAATTCAATGTTTTATTTAAAGTTTACAATGCAAAGTGACTGCAATCTTTACCTGCTCAGAAATCTTTAAACACTTAAATTTAATTGATTGATTGATTTTTTCGTTAATTTTTTTCATAGATTTTTCTCCCTCCAAGCTGCTACAAGATAGTGGGTTTACAGTAGCAGACAATCTACCAGACGTAATCCTTTCCCAGGTACTAGAGAAAATGGGTGTGATTGACTATCTATTAACACCACAGTGTGATCTGGGGGATTATACACCAAGTGTGAATGGATGGATCAAAAGTATGTATCTTTGAAAGGACTAAGTGATTATGCATATATTTATTATAAATATTTTATCTGAGAACCAGAAAAACTTGAGTATTAATTATTGATATAAACAAAATCTTCCACCATTAAGCAGGATTTAATTCGTTTAGCTACATGCTTTAAATGCATATCTGTAAAGAATTATATTGTATTCTTCTATATTCGTGTCACTGTTTATTTGAGTAGGAACAAGGAAGTTTAATAGGGTCAAGGTCATCTTCATTGGAACTTTTTGACTTGCATCAGCAGTGAAAATATTGATATTATATGAACTATTCCTAATCATTTTCTAGAACTGTTGGGAGGGTGATTGTATGGGAATTTTGCATTCTGGATTTTTCAGTACTTGAGATTTTTGTTGTTGAATAGAGGACTTGAGAGGATGAAATGTCAAAAATATATTAAGATTTAAACATGTATAATGTCATATTTGACCATAAATGACTTAATGGCTTTTTTTTTCAGAATGTCCAGCAGAAGTGATCAACATAACCTTACCAAATCTCCCCTCATATTTTACCTGTAGGATAGATGATACCTGCACAAAAGTTGATTGTTGTATCAGGATTGAATTTTTGAAGAGAAACATACACTTAGAGCTTGATGTTGATGTCTGCTCAAGAATAATCTCATTCAGTATTGAAAAACTGAAGCAAGATTTAACCATATTTAACTATAATCTAGGTATATAAGATAAGGCTTACATTTCTTCCTTCCTGATATTTTTGAAAATTAGAATAAAGAGTTGCTCCAATAATTTTTCTCGTCACTAGATACAAATTTCATAAATTAAAACAAAAGATAATATTATCACAATAATTGACTATCTGTCTCAATCTTTGGAGCAAAAGTGACTGAAATATATTGAAATTGAGCTAAGGAGAATAGGGCGGGCAAAAAGACTTAAGGATCACTGTTAGTCATTTTAACCTTATTCTCCTAATTTATATCTACTTAAATACTGCATTAATTATGAAAAGTATTTAATTGGGGACAAGCTATGGGATAATATAAGATTTTGTGAAAATTGACAAAAGTTAGCAATTTGAATATTTCCTTGAAATTTGTTGTGTGGCTGGAAAGCGAGACTAGTAGCACATAAAGATCTGTGTCATTGCACAACATTCTGCATTACACTTCATTTATCTGCAGTTCCTAGAAAAAAAACTTGACACAATTCAACCAAAGTTGCACAGATTCTTGTACAATACATGAAGTTGTGCACCTGCTTTTTAAAAGTTAAGGGTTGCCCATACCTAAACACGGACTATGCCAGTTTGCTTTACATATAAAGTGATCTCAAGTTAATAGTCATAATAGTTTACTTCATAACCCCTGCAAACATAGTTTTGGCAGGTATATAAAAATCACCCTGTCTGTTCATGAGCCTTTTAAAAATCTTCTCCAGAAGTGCTTGATGGATATTGGTGAAAAATTATTCAATAAGATTTATTAAAAAAAATAATAACATCGAAAAAAAAGAAGAAGAAAAATGAGAATGTGCATTATGTAATAAGCCTACCTTATTGACAATGCCTAGGAAAAAAATTATTTATAGGTACACGTTACCTGTTACAAATCTTATATTAACCTCTCGTGATTTTTCCCGCAGTGAATATAACGTTTTGTCAAAGAAGATTCCCTACGTTTTTAGCCAATGAGAAAAGAGATTTATATGCCCTACCTAGGGGCATTATGTTTTTCGGTCTGTGCGTCAGTTCGTCCGTCCGTCTGTCCAGCTTCAGGTTAAAGTTTTTGGTCAAGGTAGTTTTTGATGAAGTTGAAGTCCAATCAACTTGAAACTTAGTACACATGTTCCCTATGATATGATCTTTCTAATTTTAATGCCAAATTAGAGTTTTGACCCCAATTTCAGGGTCATGTTTATAGTCATATAATAACATGAATTATTAACCTCAAATTTAGAAATTTTTACGATGTATTTATAATTGCAAAAACTGTGATGGGATAGATTTCAAATTAAAAACTCACATTTTAGATTTTGACTGCATTTTTGTTTTTACTATTTTCTAAATCAAAGTAATATATTGTTATAGTGATTTTGTAGATTTTTCAACAATTGCAATAATAAATGCATGCAAAAATTTCTGAATTTACATTTATAAGAGATAGATGTGTGAATTGAAACAGTCCACATTTCTTTTCTGTTTAAATGTGTATTTATAGAAGTGCTTAAGTACATATAGCACCCTATCAATTATTACTGTCTGTTTGTAGGCGGACTTAATTGAAACATTGAACATTAATGATTGTAATCAGGTGGGCATCCTATTGAAATTTGAATTTTACTTCTTTCTAGTGTGCTAAACAGTTTTTAAGACACATATTTTTTTCTTCTTCAGATATTGGAGGAAAACTCAAACTTCTGGATTTTGTGTCATTAGAGTAAGTTTTATGACATATTATTGGTATTCACTTTTGGTCATTTAACTCATAACACTGACCTGCCAACTTTCCTCATATTTATGAGATATTTCTACTTGTAGAGGTTTTGACTGACTTTTGAAATGATGTTTTATATGAACTGAATACCTCAGAGCAATAAACTCAGTCCTGAAAATCTCAGTAATAGAAAAAAGAGATATGAAGTAAAAACATTTTTACTTTATTAAAGAGGCACTAGCTACGAGATACATAAAAAATCTAAAATATGATTTTTTTTTGTTCAATGATTAATGAAAGTGAAATAGTGAAATAATAATTCGCTTTTAGCAGCCAGTATGGTTCAATTTTGTCAAAATAAGCTGAGAAACATTGATGATAAATTATTCACTTGCAAGTGAATAATTCGACCTCATTGAATCCTTATTCATGTGAACTTCAATTTAACCCCTAAGTTAGAGATGGATAATGCATGAATGGTGCGTGTTCATGTATTTAAAGGAAAAGAATGTCAACAGTGAAAGTGAAACAAAGGTATATCATTTGATTGACTGATTCGATCCACAAAAAAATCATTCTTATACAGGTAAAAACGATAATAAACATATATTTTTATACAACCGCAAAAAATTTTTTGGGATCGTATAATGGTATGATGTTGTCGTCGTCTGCGGCGTCGTCCGAAAACATATTGGTTTCCAGACAATAACTTTAGTTTAAGTGAATGGATCTCTATGAAATTTTTTAAGAATGTTCAATACCGCAAAAGGAAGGTTGGGATTGATTTTGGGGATGATGGTCTCAACCGTTTAGGAATAAGGGGCCTGAAAGGGGTCCAAAACAAGCATTTTTCCAGTTTCAGGATAATAACTTGTGTATAAGTATTTCGATTGCTCTGAAATTGTACCACAATGTTAAATACCACAAGTAGAAGGTTGGGATTCATTTAAGGGGTTATTGGGCCAACTGTTTAGGAATTAAGGGCCAAAAAGGGGCCAAAAACAAGCATTTTTCTAGTTTCCAGACAATAAATTGTGTGTAAGTGTATGGATCTCTCTGACATTGTACCACAAGGTTCCATATAACAAAGGGAAGGCTGTGATTGAGTTTGGGGTTAATTGCCCCAAACATGTAGGAATTAGGGGCCAAAAAGGGCCAAAAACAAGCATTTTTCTAGTTTCCAGACAATAAGTTGTGTTTAAGTGTATGGATCTCTCTGAAATTGTACTACAATGTTCCATACTACAAAGGAAAGGCTTGGATTGAGTTTTGGGGTTATTGCTCCAAGTGGGGGGTTTCAAAAATTTGGGGGGGGGGGGGGGTTTCCAATTTTTTAAAGGGATTCATATTTTTTTTTTCAAAATTTTTCAAATTCGAATTTTTGAAAAGTATTGCGCAATAGATTTGTAAGATCTTTGACCACATTTATTTTGTGTCAGAAACCTATATTATGTCATAAATTTGATCACAATCCAAATTCAGACAGTATCAAGCTTGAATATTGTGTCCAAATTTGCCCACACTGTTCAAGGTTCGACTTCTGCAGTCGTATCAGGCTGCGCTCAGCGAAGCATTTTATTAATCTATAAAATGAAATTAAACAGACCTAGAAAAATCCAATTGCACGAGTTCCTATCTATTTATATCTATATTTATGTTTATATCGCTTATATGACCATCGGAAGTCTTCGGAGGTCAACTCGATAGTTAATTAGATGGTGTCTCGACTAAAATACACACAAGACGAAGCTACATAATATTGAGCCCATGCCCTGTAAATTGTTTATTTTAGACTTTTTATAATTTGATTAAATGTTTTACATTGTTATTAATCAAATATGAGAATTTGAGTCAAATCGACGGTGAACATGAATTTGAAAGCTAGTGCCCCTTTAAAGAACCTATTTGTATCAAATAATCCTTGCATCTGTCTTATATTTAAAAAATGCATAATACATAATTCAAAAAATTAGCCATAATGTAAATAATTTATTCCAAATACGTATGACGATGCAAAAGGATAAGTATACTTTTATTTCATCAGGACAATACACAGAAAAAATACCATAATTAAATCTTAAACTGTTCTGCTTGTGTAAGTGTAAATTCATTCCAGTGTGAAATGTTCTCCTAGTTTTTATCTTCCTCACACAAGTGTGATTATTTCATCAGAAAATAAACCTAGGGAAAAGTTGTTATGAAATTTTAAAACTATTGAATATACTACTTAAGGACAGAGTATACTGCTGGAAAATATTTACTATTACACATGTCTCACGCAATAAGTATGAGAAAAGACTTAGTAGAAAAAGATAGAAAATACCAAAAAGCTTACTGTAAATTCATAAATTATTGCAAGGTTTTTATTAATGCAAATAATGCAACTGTGTGACTATCGCAATAATAAGAACTCACATTTTGATATTCGATACATATTACTGTATGCAGATTTTCCTGAAATTGCAATAATTAATCTCATATTTTTGTTCATTCTTCAAAAATCACAAATATAAATGCACACAATAATTTCTGAATTTACAGTAATTAATTCAATGGTTAATGTAAAAGACAGAAAGAAACACAGTAATCTTGAAAATTTGCTTTTACATTGTCATAAAAAATGTTTCTCCATTCTTTTCTTTCTTAGTTATACCATAGACAACACCAAAGATATAAATGAATTCAGAGTAAACCTCTATGTTACAGTACAGTTGAATGAGGAAACAGTTCTTTATAATAGAAAATCAAAGGATATATAAATCTGTATTGTTGAAAGACACACCTCTAATTGATTATTTCTTTACTTTTTCTTCAGTTATACCATAGACAAAACACAAGATAAGAATGAATTCAGAGTAAACCTCAATGTTACAATACGACTAGATGATGGAACTGTTCTTTATAAATCTATATTGTTGGAAGGTGCTACTTTGATAAAAATACCATGTGATTGGAATACTGGATTCAACATTAAAGGTATGCAATAGGAAATTCATATATGTTTTAATTTTTGTCTCACCTGCGACGAAAGTCGCGGAAAGCGAGACATAGGGATTGCTTTTCTGGCGACGGCATCAACAATTGTTAAGTTTTCTGCTTAAGTTAGTTTGATAGGAAACACTTGTGATAGATCATTGATATTTACTATGAAGTTGCATTACTATCAGTACATATCAGTTTGACGACTATTTTGAGGCCCTGCCCCTTAGGAAATGGTCCAGTGACTTTGAATTAATAAGCAATTTTCAATGTTAAGTTTTCTGCTTAAGTTAGTTTGATAGGATCTACTTGTGATAGATCAATGATATTTTGTATGAAGTCGCATTACTATCAGTGCATATCAGTTTGATGACTATTTTGAGGCCATGCCCCATAGGACATGATCCAGTGACTTTGAATTAATTAGAAATTTTCAATGCAAAGTATTCTGCTTAAGTTAGTTTGATAGGATCTACTTGTGATTGATCAATGATATTTTGTATGAAGTTGCATTACTATGAGTTCATATCAGTTTGAAGACTATTTCGAGGCCCCCTTTGTCATGGTCCAGTGACTTTGAATTAATTAGCAATTTTCAATGTTGAGTTTTTCTGCTTAAGTTATATTGATAGGAACTATTTACAATAAACAACAATTTATTTTCTATAAACTTACATTACTGTCTGTACATCTCAGTTTGTTGACCATTTCAGGCTCTGCCCACTAGATCATGGTCCAGTGACTGAATTAATTAGCATTGTTGCTGTCCATCAAATTGTCTTTTTCTGAATTTTTTGCCGAAAGGCGAGACATATCTCTGTGTCAACAGTTTATGAATAAAAGGTTTGAAAATTATTCTGCAAATATAATGTTATGCACTTTTATCACGCAAGCTCAGTTAATGAATAAATGCCTCAATAATTATAACTTCATCAGTTTTTGGAAAGTTTGCTATAGCTTGCTATAGCAATAAACTTTCCTATGCCATCGGCCTCAAACCGGAAGTTGGACAGACTATCTTACTATAGGATGTGTGTTCTACTACTAGATAATGTAGTACTAGTGTTTGAATAATAATTTATATAGGAAAATGCTTTTGAAAGTTCGAGTTACTTCTATTTTGATAAGCTTACAGCTTGAATAAAAATGGACTGAATGTTCACCGACTATTCAAATGAATCCAACTTTATTTTGAAAATTTAGAAAATGGGTATCACAAACAATACTTCGAGGATCTGATCTGCGTGGAAGATAAAATCAATACACATCAACACGAGGCAGCAGTTTCTACGTTTTATTCATTGAAAATTAAGAGGGCCCAATATTTATTTCGAGGTGTGTGTTGTTTTTCTTTTACATTCATGAAATTAAAGAATTCTTACTGTTAAGAATATCGTAATCTTTTCAAATTTTACCTTTGTAAATGGTATTAGGTGTGACCTCTTTAAATTATGCATACTTTGAACTGTCAGCCATTTTGTATGTTTAAGTGACCTGTATGTTTTCCTACGGGATTCCCCAGACATGCGTTTAATCCATATATGTGAACCTTCCGATGGGAGTACAATAATCCTGGTGGCAGGGTCTCCCCCGTCCTCCGATTGAAGAGAAAATAAATACTGTGTTAAAATATTTCATGAATGAACATTTGCCATCGCCATTTACGATATTTACAAATGTTTATTAAAGAGGTAAAAGCCAGAGTGTATCGAAAGTATCCTCATATCTCAACCCATAACAAACTCAGCCTATAACATAATCGGCCTCACAAAATCGGACTATAATTACTATAGAACCATATGGGATTTTATTATTTTTAATTTTCAAATGACTATAACTTGAAAACAGTAAGTAAGACACACACGGTCTTCGGTAATGATCACAGGACAATGAAACAAATCAAATAAAATATAGGGTGGGTCCCTGGGGGTCACCCCCACCCCCCTTCAATTTGAGAATGTGCTTTTATCTTGTAAACAGTCGTGATCCCCACCCCTAAACCATATATATTCTTGTATGGGACAATAAAACAAATCAATTGAAATATTGGGGGAGTCCCTGGGGGTCACCCCACCCTCCTTGAATTTGAGAATGTGCTTTTATCTTGTAAACAGTCGAGATCCCCACCCCTAAACCATATATATTCTTGTATTGGACAATAAAACAAATGAAATGAAATATTGGGGGAGTCCCTGGGGGTCACCTCCACCCTCCTTGAATTTGAGAATGTGCTTTTAACTTGTAAATGGTTGAGATCCCCACCCCCACCCCTAACCCATATATATTCTTGTATGGGACAATAAAACAAATCAAAAAGCTAAAACGCGATGGTCACGCTAAAGTGCGATGGCATACATTAAAGTGCAATGGTTTGATGGGCTAAAGTGCAATGGTCTGTACTATTTAATGGAACACGCTAAAGTCCGATGCCGCGATACGCTTAAGTGCGTTTTTCTGCAAAAGTGCGTTTGTTCGGGAAAGTATGGATGTTAAATATCATTATGACTTTCCAAGCCGTTTGTACATACAAAAATGGACATGTAGGTAAACGAGGATGTTTGTGCAGACGAAGGTGTTTTACTAGACAAGAAAAGAAAGGAAAGGGAAACAAATGATTCCAGTCTGGAACATTTTTGGTCGGTGCTAGAATAGTTTGTATCCAGAGTTTTTTCCAAAAAAAATCACCCACAGTAACAGAAATGCAAACATTTGATCCCGCTGTTAAGGACTTATAGACTTTAAACTAAATTCAGCTTTGTCGGCGGGGACAAACGTGTTTCTGTCAGGATACTGGAAAAAAGGACTTCTCTTTCACATAGAAACGGACAATAAGGGGAAGGTGTATACCGTAAAAGAGATTGAAAGCGGTAAAATACACCAAGTGTGAAAGTATTTAATTCGTCCCAATTTGATTTAGAAACTCCTTCTATGTTTGTAATCTCATGTCATTTACTTGCGTGTATTAAAAGCTACTTTTTTTACTTCTAATCAAATTATTTTATAAAACAATTTTATACAATATGGTTTGTCATGTCTGTCAAATAGATGGATACTCGCCAACAAGACAGTAAACTAACGACCATAGGTGTAGTATCATAATATGATTGCCTATTGAGAAAAGTCTATATCCAAGACTAAATGAAATTAATGTAATTAACTATAGGTTACTGTATAGCTTTTAACACGAGCGTTGGCTAACCCCGCAGATAGTATTATATAAAGACCAAAGGGAAAAATGACGGACTGATTTATATACAAAACAATAAACAAAAAGAAATGAGAAGATGTGATGTAATTGTCAATGAAACAACTATCCAACAAAGACCATATGTCGTTGGCACCTAATAACATTATGAACTTCAACCTAGAGCCTTGCCTGCGTCGCATAGCAAGCTATATAGGACCACAAAATGACTAGTATAAAACAATTTAAAAGAGAAAGACAACGGCATGAGATATAAACAAAACAATAGATGAAAAACTAATAGAAACACAGCAAAAACAAAAACCATTGCATGAACCCCATTCCCGTTACACTATCGCACTTTAGCGTGTTATACCATTTCAATTTAGCATGTCACATACCATTGCTCTTTAGCGTGTCACATACCATCACACTTTAGAGTGTCATCTGATCGCACTTAAAAAAAACAACCTTCGCACTTTAGCGTCTTACACAATCGCACTTTAGCGTAGACCATCGCACTTTAGCGTGACCATCACACTTTAGAGTACCATCGCACTTTAGAGTCCTACATATATATTCTTGTATGGGACAATAAAACAAATCAAATGAAATAGAAGTTGAGTCCCTGGTGTCACTCCCACCCCCTCCTTTTTGAAAACTTTTTAACAGTCGAGATCCCCACCCCTAAACCATATATATTCTTGTATGGGACAAAAAAAAACAAATCAAATGAAATAAAGGGCAAGTCCCCTGGGGATCCCCCCCCTTTTTGAGAACTTGTAAAACAAATCAAATGAAATATTTGGGGAGTCCCTGGGGGTCACACCCACCCTCCTTGAATTTGAGAATGTGCTTCTAACTTGTAAACGGTTGAGATCCCCACCCCTAAACCATATATATTCTTGTATGGGACAATACAACAAATCAAATAAAATATAGGGTGAGTCCCTGGGGTATATATATTCTTGTATGGGACAATAAAACAAATCAAATGAAATATAGGGGAAGTCCACGGGGTTTACCCCCACCCCCCTTCTTTATGAAAACTTGTAAACAGTCGAGATCCCCACCCTGAACCATATATACTCTTGTATGGGACAATAAAACAAATCAAATGAAATAAAAGTTGAGTCCCCTGGTGTCACTCCCACCCCCTCCTCTTTGAGAACTTGTTAAAAGTCGAGATCCCAACCCCTAAACCATATATATTCTTGTATGGGACAAAAAACACAAATCAAATGAAATAAAGGGCAAGTCCCCTGGGGATCCCCCCCCCCTTTTGAGAACTTGTAAACGGTTGAGATCCCCACCCCTAAACCATATATTCCTGTTCGTCATTTCAAGAAGATTTGAATGACATACAGGGTCAATCCCTAGGCGTTACTTATGCATATCACTTTACTAGACCAAACCAATCTGTACTGGACTTTGCCCAATGTCAGGCGACCATGGGAATGAGAATTATGAGAGCTTTGTTTGGGAGACTTCGTAACAGCATCCTGTTACAATTATTTCTTGTTAACAATGTGTCAACTCAACACAGAGGCAAAGATAATATCAAATGAATGGCTGAAAACCAAAAATCTCAAAATGTCATTGCCTCAATGCTGAATTTCACAGCAGCAACTAAAATGTACTACGTGGTTATAAAATAAAGTACCTCTACGAATCTAGTGTATATTAACTTGTTATTCCTGTCTTCATATTGCCATTATATAAATAACACATAGCTGAGAGGGTGATAGAGCAGATTGTTTCCCCGAGAAAACATTATCAACTGAGGCGAAGCCAAGGTTGACAATGTCTTTTCGAGGAGTAACAATCTGCTCTATCACCCTCTCAGATATGTGTTATTTAATTTATTATAACTGAATGTTCTGTTATTACTGTATATTTAATTTCAAATTCAAAGTAATAAACTATGTCGTCTTGTACATAACAATCATCCGTATTTATTAAAGCGCACACTTGAGCAAGCGTCTCCGTGAAGGGTAATAGAGTATTTGCCATGGGATAGAGTAAATTGTCTCCCTCTTATTAACCAATCAAAATCTGGCATTTTGACTTGAAGTATAATAATGTTGATTAAAGCCTTTCATATAAATTCACTTTCATTATAGTTGTATTGATTTAAGTTTGCTGTCTTATTGAAATTAAGAGATGTGGTAATTTTTGCGAATGAACCAGCAATTCAAAAGAGTCAAAGGAGGAAGATATACAAATAATTATAGGTCACTACGGTCGTCAACAATGAGAAAAACTCATACCATATATTAAGCTATAAAAGGCCCTGACATAAAAAATGTGGAACAATTCAAACAAGAAAACTAACTGCTTAATTAGTAATAATACAATTTTTCTAAAAACAAATATAAAGGACCTTAATCAATAAAAAAAAAATAAAATCACAGGCCCTTTACATGGGATGGGCACAGAAAGAAATTAACAGAGCTTTCTGTATATTTGATTATTTTAAATCTACAGTTTAAGGTTGCAATAGAAATTATCAAAATTTTACATGACAAACATATGAAAAAAAGTGATTTATGATAATTGCTGATGAGAAAATGGTTTCGGAAAAAAATATGTGATTAAAAACATATTTGAAATAATACACATCAACAATCTATTTGAAATAATACACATCTACAACTTATTTGAAATAATACACATCTACCGTTGCAAACTTTCCACAAGTGCTATCCAGCACTTTGTTTTCAGCTGGTGATGACAATAATATGAATGATTTGCCTGTAACCTTAGTATCTTATTGCTATATTTATCTAGGAAAACAACAAAAAATTGCTTTGAGGTTGTTTATGATAAAACTTATCAACCAAACATTGTCACCTCGCTAAACTTCATTTGCAAATTGATGAAGTTTCAAGATAACAGTAATTTATCTCAAAACAATTGCATATCACTCTTGTTTTCTGTATTGCAGATTTTTCCTTGCTGTCTTACATACACAAGTTATCTCTGCCCAGCAAAGATCAGCTGACTGAATTAATGGCTGCTAAACTGGTTGAAGAGTTAGGAATAGGGAGCTTACTTCAAGATACACCTTGTCAGAGATCAAGCTCTGTATATAGTCCATCTATCAATGGTTGGAAAAATGGTAATTTAAACTTGGTTATATCTGGAATTATCAATGAAAGTAGGAATTTGAATATTTAATTTATTGATTTATTGATTTTTTTGACAAATTGTTTTATAAAGATTTATTCAAAACATGCTGCATTATTTTTCCCAGATAATATCAATTAACAAAAATTCAATCCTGTTTCTATGATTATAAATTAAATCCTTTTGCAGATTGTAAACACAGTCGAAACATTAACAGTGCTTTATTTGATGCTATTTTTGACTTACTTCAGGTTTTCTGTCATTTTCAAAGGTGACAACAGTAATGGATCTCCAATAGGTAAATACTGATGAATATTATCATCTTTGGAATTTTGATGAATTACTGTGGAAAGCTTTAACATTGTTGTGATCATATTGTATATTTATTTACAGAATGTCCACTGGCTGTCCCTTTCCCAAACCTGACCATTCCAGCCTCCTGTTACATTCCGTCTCACTGTACAGCTGTGGACTGCTGTATAGATGTGGATTTCTTACATCGTTCATTCCATGTCTACATTGATCTGAACACATGTGAAAACACATTCAAACTGGGAATAGAAAAACTCAAATTGGATCCTATAAGTTTGACAGATTATCAATTTGGTAAGAATCTTCATTTTTAATGGAAATTTAGAAATAGATATACAATTGTAAAAAACAAATCAAATAGATATGTGATATGTTTTGGTATTTCCATCAGTATACATTTCTGTTGACATGGGGACAGTGTTATTGTACAGTAGGAAAAAGAGCTTATGGTTGTTGAATGTTTTAAGTTTTATATTAAGGTAATAACAGTGCATTGTTATATAATTTAGTGTCAATGGAGAAATTTTGAATTATTAATTTAATTGCTTAACTCTTTTTTCAGGGACCACTGAGTATTTCAATTTGAAAGGAATTGTAAGAGTAGGGTGAGTTATCTATTTTGTAGTGATAGTTTTTTCAATTATTTTCCCATTTGAACAATTTTTTAAAGATAAAACTATCAATATTATAAAAATAAGTGCCTAAAGGCAGTGAATTACTTTACCAGCTATCATGTTCTGCAGAAAAAAATATGGTAGCTTCACAGAACAAATTAATATGTATAAATTCTATATGAGAATAAAACAAAGCCTAAGTTATCCTATAGATATATTAAGTTGCACTGTGGACAAGTTTTTTTTTGGTTGTTTTCAGGTACAGAATAGAAGATTTGAATATACAGAGAAAGTTCCGTGTTGACTTGAACCTGAGTATTTGTTTTGAGTCCAATGCACCTTGCCTATATGAGATTGTCCTGTTTAAAGATGCTCTGGTACCTAAAATACTTTGTGATTGGGAAGCTGACTTCTCTTTTCCAGGTTAGTTGGCATTCTTATTTGGAAAATCACTTTCTGTTCGATATGATCTTTTGCTCTATATTGTGCATATCTAAGGAAGCAGCTGGGAAATTTCAAACTTTCAATGAACCGAGGAATGACACTCTGATTATGGGGAACTCATCCACAAAAGTCATTTTAGCATTTTCCACAACCTGAAATTGGGCACCAACCTATACATGCTAATGCTAAGAGCCATATTTGGGTGGAATGGATTTTCGGTATGAAACAGCCACAAAGTATTGAAATTTCTTGAAAAAGTATAGTGACTCTCCTAACTCCTCATGCATAATTTGAAAAATTCAATGAAATTATGTAGAGCACATCCATTGCCCAAGAAATGTATGTTGTATTTTCCTAGTCACTGTTGAAAATATTTTTTTATGAAATTTAGATTTTTCTCTGGAGAAGTACACAGCAGATGCTGGGGAGGTACTAAACAACTTGAAAGAACCATTCATACAGAAATTGATGGAAGATTTGGGTATATCTAGTTACCTGAGTGATGATCCATGTAACATAACATCAGAGGACTTCACACCAAATCATCAGGGATGGAAATCAGGTGAATATATCTAGTTACTTGAGTGATGATCTGTGTAACATTACATCAGAAGATTACACACCAAATCTTTAGGGATGGAAATCAGGTGAGTATATTTAGTTACCTGAGGTATGACCTGTGTAACATTACATCAGAGGACTACACACCAAATCATAAGGGATGGAAATCAGATGGGCATATCTAGTTACCTGAGTGATGATCCATGTAACATTACATCAGAGGACTACACACCAAATTATCAGGGGTGGAAATCAGGTGAGTATATCTTAAGTCACCTGAGGTATGATGCATGTAACATTACATCAGAGGACTTCACACCGAAACATCAGGGATGGAAATCAGGTGGGCATATCTAGTTACCTGAGTGATAATCCATGTAACATTACATCAGAAGACTTCACACCATATCATCAGGAATGGAAATCAGGTGGGTATATCTAGTTACCTGAGTGATGATCTGTGTAACATTACATCAGAGAACTTCACACCAAATCATCAGGGATGAAAATCAGGTGAGTATATCTGAGTTTATCTGAGTGATAATCCATGTAACATTACATCAGAGGACTTCACACCAAATCATCAAGGATGGAAATCAGGTGAGCATATTTAGTTACCTGAGTGATGATCTGTGTAACATTACATCAGAGGACTTCACAGCAAATCATCAGAGATGGAAATCAGGTGGGCATATTTAGTTTCCTGAGTGATGATCCATGTAATATTACATCAGAGGACTTCATACCAAATCATCAGGAATGGAAATCAGGTGTGTATATATAGTTACCATGAGTGATGATCCATGTAACATTACATCAGAGGACTTTACTCCAAATCATCAGGGATTGATATCAGATGGGTATATATGACTATCAACTTTGATGATTATGTTTGAATACTCCTACAACAAAGTTTTAAAAAAAACCAGGATAATGGGACCAGAATTAGTAGCGAAAAATTCTTCTGTGGTCATTTTCAGAATGTTATGAGTTTGACTCATCTAGCCATTGCTATACTGAAAAGAAAAGGAAATATATATATGCGAAAAGTGGTGATTAATGGCAGGTGTTAGGGGGAACTATGTCTTGTTCCAACAATATATGTTAGTTTCAAGATACTTTCTTCTAAGCTGTAGTTATTTTTAAATAGTTGTATGGTGAGCATTACTATTACTTTGCCTGCTCTTAGTCACATTTGATGTTTAATTAGCAGGTTAAACAAAATTTAAAATGTTAAGTAAGTTATAGCAATTTTTCTTTAATATAGAATGTGAACAGGCCTTCTCATTGCCAGCTCTACCAAATACAGCTGTGTGTGTACTAGAGGATACTTGTACTGGTGTGAAATGTTGTATGGATGTTGGATTTCTGAAGAAATCATTTTCAGCCTTTGTAGAGATAGATACCTGTAATCACTACCTTAAGTTTGGTATTGAGAAGCTAACTGAACAGATTGATCTTTTTGACTATCAGTGGGGTAAGTGTACTTTATTATTATAACCCTCCTGAACATAATGGGGATATATAGTGATCAAAGTATCTGTCTATCAGGACCAATTTCTTCTAAACTAAAGAATGAATTTCAAGGAAACTTCCACATAATCTTTATTAGTAGTGCATGAATAATTTCTGGGGTTTCCCCTACCTGAACATGGACTTATACTGGGTGAATGTCTCCCATCAACAACTCCTAAACAATTGAATGAAATTTCAATCAAACTTCCACAGATTCTTTGTGACATAATGCTATTGTGCACCTCCTTTTTTTCTTTCTGATTAGAATGATTTCTGGGGTGAACATCCCTATCCGCAACTCTTCCTTAATTATAATTAATAAGTGGATTTAGAATACAATTTTCATAAAGTGAAATTGACATAGTGTTTAAACAAAGGCACACATGTAGATTTACATGAGGGTAAACTGTAACAGCCATAAATATGTACATCTGTGCATCTGTGCTAAATATAGACATTTCGAGAATTTTATCACACTGTTGTTTACCAATCGAAATCAGCACACAAATAAAGAACACATTGTGTATATATTCATAGAAATAGAACACATTATGTATTCATTCATTGGAAAAGAACACATTGTGTATACATTCAAAGAAAAAAAAAACATTGTGTATATTAAGAGATAAAGAACACATTGTGTATATATTCATAGATAAAGAACACATTGTGTATATATTCATAAAAAAGAACACATTGTATATATTCATAGAAAAAGAACCCATTGTGTATATATTCATAGATACTTATGGCAAGCTGTTTTACTATAATTTATTCAAACTTCGACATATCAAATAAACTTTATAAGACCCCGTTCACACTAGCATTTTTTTTATCGATCTAATTTGAATCGATCTAAATAAAACCAGTTAGCGTTCACATCTTTAACCATAACGATCTCTATCAGTCTAATCTGAACCACTGCGTTCACACTACAATTAAAAATGCAATCGATCTGACCTAATTACCCGTAAAACTGTAAACAGTGTGTATAAATAGAAATAATTAATCAAATTTATGTGTTGGTACACTGAAACACACTCTTAAAAAAAATTGATGAAGTTATTGTTTCTCTGGAATCACAAGTTCAAATTTTGATACTGGTGTTCTTGTAGTTTTCATCAATTTTGAAACAAAAAACTGTAGCAAGGAAGAAATGTTCCGGTTCTGAAAAAAAACCAAAAAAAACCAACAAAACAACAAAAACAACAGAAGAAAAGAAGACACAAATTTATGGTATGGCGAAGACAACTTTTTTTCCGTTTGTTTTTACTTGCATGTACACAAAGGTCTGTTTTTAAACAGAGAAATATTGGTTAAACAACGAACCACCGATATATACTGGGGTGTCATGTTATAACACTTGTAGTTTTGTCGCTATACATGCGCATAGATTATTTTCGATTCAATTGTACTAGTTTAAACCGATCTTTTCGTTCACATTTAAAGTTAGATCGGTTCACTTTAGATCGATTCAAACTAAACTACCTCTTTTGGTGTTTTAGTTTAGACCGATTGAAGATCGATTCAAAGCGTTCACATCAGCCCTTAAACCGATCTTTAGTGAACAGATCTAGTTAAAATCGATATAAATGTCCTAGTGTGAACGGGGTCTAAGATATCTCATATAGTTTATAAGATATCTCATATAGTTTATAAGATACCTTTTATAGTTTATAAAATATCTTATATAATATCTTATATAGTTTATAAGATATCTTATATAGTTTATAAGATATCTTATATAGTTTATAAGATATCTTATATAGTTTATAAGATATCTTATAAAGTTTAGAAGATGTCTTATATAGTTTAGAAGATATCTCATATATTATATGAGGTATTTTGAAGTTCGAATTAGAGTAATACGGCTTGCCATAGATACTGAACACAGTGTGTCTTATTAATATTTATCATTAATTATTTTATTGTAAAGGTCAGAATGGTGTCATGTTTCTTCTTTTTTACTATAGGTACCCTTGAGAAGAAATACTTGATGAATGTTATAAGAGTAGAGTGAGTGATTTGCAATAAGTATTTTCTAATTTGTCTTTTGACCAGAATTGACCCTTATTTTGTTTCACTGAAGAGCAGAATCATTAGATATTAAAGTAAATAAGAAATGTGAATATGCTTCAGTTGGTAGGTAAACAGGCTCAGTTTTATTCATAAATGAACAGAAAAAACTATGTTATGTACAATTTTTCAGTAGTACCTTTTTTAATTGAAGTCAAGTAAAAGTATTACAATGTTACTTAATTTGATTTGCTTACTTTTTTTAACTTATGTCAACGAAACACCGATGATACAATCTATCATCCTAAGTTTAGAAAATGTAATATATTTATAGATACAGGATAGAAGACATATCAGCTGATCAGGAGTATGAGATAGATTTGAACATGAGTGTTTGTTTTGAATCACAGAAAAGCTGTTACTTTACCATGAGCATATTCACAGGTTACAGATTACCTAAGGTTTTCTGTGATTGGGGCACAGGATTTAATATGCCAGGTATACACATAATGTTTTTGTATGACTGGTGCACATGACTTTATATTCTAAATAATCCCATCAAAATGAAATTTGGTGTGTCTTTGATAGTTTATTAAATTTATGCACCACTTTTCTAGACTCGAGGAGATTTAGAGGTTGACATATTCCAATGACATAATGTCTATCATATTGTTTGGTTTAATAAATCATTCATACACATTGCTAGGTAAACTCAATTTGCGAGAGTTAAACATGCCTTTTATGTAGGCCAAGATAAAATACAATACAGTTATCTCCTAGTTGAATTTATTTTGAATGAACTTTTGTTCAGGATAGATTGAAAGCTTTATGATTGTGATCTACATTTTTTAGCTCACCTGGCCTAAAAGGCCAAGTGAGCTTTTCTCATCACTTGGAGTCCTTCGTCCGTCGTCCGTCGTTGTTAACTTTTACAAAAATCTTCTCCTCTGAAACTACTGGGTCAAATTTAACCAAACTTTGCCACAATCATTATTGGGGTATCTAGTTTCAAAAATGTGTCCGACGACCCTTCCTGCCAACCAACATGGCCGCCATGGCTAAAAATAGAACATAGGGGTAAAATGCAGTTTTTGGCTTATATCTCTGAAACTAAAGCAAAAGTATTATGGTTGCATTATTTCATGCATCATTTGTAAACAAAAATATCAGGTGAGCGATACAGGCTCCTTGGAGCCTCTAGTTTGAATTATGTTATTTGTGAGGTTTTGTGCCCCAAAAATGAATACTCTTTAAAATATGAAAATTTATATCAATTATGCAACAATATAGTTGTTGGATGCTCAAAAACCTTTTTCACTTTTCACTCTGTGTAGTATTCTTTATTACATAAGACTATGATTTATATATTTTTTCAAACTTTTACTGAAAATAACATAAGAATATATTATGATTGTGTTATTTATTTATATATAGCGCCCTTTACTTTTTCTCTCTATGTATTTGTAGAATTTTCCCTAACCAAGATTTTAGAAGAACAAAAAGAAACTTTATCAGACCAGTTACCTACAGCTGTTAGACAGATTTTACTAGAGAAACTTGGACTTAGTGATTTTTTTCTAGATTCTCCATGTAATGTAGCAACTAATTCATTTGTCAATGGTAAGTGCTTATTTGAACTTAGATATTTGTTTTCTTAGCACTTAAAAGTAAGGGAAATAGTTGTCAACATTTACAGGTTGTTGTTTTAAGAATTGATTTATTACTTATATTTGATGTGTCAGTATTAAGATGAAATAAAATGTTTGCACTCAAATTGGTATGATCCCTTTTCATTAAAGACCTGTATGCTTTGCTTTTATTACAGAATGTAATAGTAGTTATTTGACCTTGACCTTACCTTCATCAGTATCCTGTGTAATACCACCAAGCTGTTCTGCTTTATCATGCTGTATGGACGTCCAGTTAATCAGTCGCGCCATCATGTCCGAGATCTATATAGATCCTTGTACATATACTATGTCCGTAACTTTAGAGAAACTACATGTAAAGATATCTCTGCTGAAGTATACATGGGGAGAAACTCACAAGTTCTCACTTCAAGGTGGCATTATCATAAAGTATGTATAAATAATATTTCATTTTTAATTCATCAGTAAGTTTTACAATATTTAGAACCTTGAAATTAATGAATCCTTGATGAAATGAATATCAATATTTCTCATCAGTAAATAGATGTTTCTTTCACTCTTTGGTGTAGTGGGGATGACTGTTGTATCTTTTAATGAGGAAACCTTTTTTTACTTGCATACTTTTGTCAATTAGTGCAACCATTGGAACAAATACTTTTAATGCCCCCGCCATAGTTTTCTCATTCTAACTTAAGTTTGCCTCATGCATATATTATGAAACTCTTACACAATGCTAAAAACTAAAACTTGCAGACAGAGTTCAAATGTTGGCATTTACTGTTCTAGAGTTATGCCCCTTTTTTATTTGGAAAATTGCAAATTGTTTTAGTTTCCTCACTCTGACTTAAATTTTTTTCATCTAGATTTTATGAAACTCATACACAATGCTAAGGACCAGAATTCGCAGACACTCAGTTTAAATTTGGGCAGGGAGTCACTTACTGTTCTAGAGATATGCCTCTTTATAACTTGGAAAATTGCTTAAATAGATATAAGAAGATGTGGTATGAGTGCCAATGAGACAACTCTCCATCCAAGTCAAAATTTATAAAAGTAAACCATTATAGGTCACAATACGGTCTTCAACACGGAGCTTTGGCTCACACCGAACAGTAAGCTATAAAGGGCCCCAAAAAAATTACTAGTGTAAAACCATTCAAACGGGAAAACCAACGGTCTAATCTATATAAAAAACGAGAAACGAGAAACACTTATGAACCACATCAACAAACGACAACTACTGAACATCAGATTCCTAAGTTTGCCTCATGCAAATTTTATGAAACTCATACACAATGCTAAGAACCATAACACGCAGACAGAGTTCGAATTTGGGCAGTCAGTCATTTACTGTTCTAGAGTAATGCCCCTTTTTTAGCTCACCTGACCTAAAAGGCCAAGTGAGCTTTTCTCATCACTTGGCGTCCGTCGTCTGTTCTCGTCGTTCATCGTCGTTAACTTTTACAAAATCTTCTTCTCTGAAACTACTGGGCCAAATTTAACCAAACTTGGCCACAATCATCATTGGGGTATCTAGTTTAAAAAATGTGTCCGATGATCCCGACGCCAATCAAGATGGCCGCCATGGCTAAAAACAGAATATAGGGATAAAATGTAGATGTTGGCTTATATCTCAGAAACTAAAGCATTTTAGAGCAAATCTGACGGGGTAAAATTGTTCATCAGGTCAAGATCTATCTGCCCTGAAATTTGCAGACAAATCAGACAACCCGTTGTTGGGTTGCTGCCCCTAAATTGGAAATTTTAAGGAAATTTTTCAGTTTTTATCTTGTATATTATTATAGATAGAGATAAACTGTAAACAGCAATAATGTTCAGCAAAGTAAGATCTACAAATAAGTCAAACATGACCAAAATGGTCAATTGACCCCTCTAGGAGTTATTGCCCTTTATAGTCAATTTTTAACAATTTTTTGTAAATTTTTGTAATCTTTTAAAAAAATCTTCTCTGAAACTACAGAGACAAATTTAACCAAACTTGGCCACAATCATCATTAGGGTATCTAGTTTAAAAAATGTGCCCGATGATCCCGCCTACCAACATGGCTAACATGGCTAAAAATAGAACATAGGGTTAAAATGCAAGTTTTGTCTATTATTTTTTGAACCATTATAAATAGAGAAAATCTGAAAGGAGCAAAATGTTCAGAATAATGAGCTCTACCAATTGTCCATATAGGTCAAAACTATTAGACAAATTCTTATAGGAGTTACATGTATTGCCCATAAATGACAAATTTCACCATTGTTTTTCTTTTTTGCCTATTATCATGAAAACTATGATATTTTGATAGAGAGAAACCTTTTTTTTCTGTTATGCCTTATATGATTTAAATTATAAAAGATAAATAAACACTTTAAAATTACAAAAATGATCAGCAAGGCAAGATCTATTAAAAAGTCAAATTTTGCCGATATAGTTAGTAGACTGTCACTCTTCATAGGAGTGATTGCCCTTAAATGAGGATTTTTTTACCCTCTTTTGTGTTTCGATCAAAAAAACTAAAGAAGATAGAGAGAAACTAAACAGACTAAAAGATCAATAATACAAGATCAACAAAATAGAGATTTTTGTCATGAAGTCTATTCTCATCTACAATTTTGGAGAGTGTCATTTGTTTGATATGCAAATAGACCAAGGTGAGCAACAGGCTCTTTAGAGCCTCTAGTTTTTTAACTTGGAAAATTGCAAAGCTTGAGTGTGGGCATTTGTTTCCTCAGACTTCTTCTTCGTTTATTTATAATTTAAAATTGCTTTTTCTTGTAAAATGTTATTGAGTTTTGTATGACATGTTTATATTGTTTCTAGGTATAAAGTTTTTGACTTAAAGAATGAGAAAATATTCATGGTAGACTTGAGTTTCCATATTTGTATGGAAGAGAAGGAACCAAACAGTTGTATAGTTGATTTACCAATCCTAACCAATGCTAGATTAGCTAAACCTTTATGTAACTGGAGTATGGGATTCTTACAGTCAGGTAAGCTATATGCAGCTGTTTGACGACAATTATAATTGACTAGGATTGCCAAAGTCAGTGATTCTCTCCATGCACTCAGGGGTGATGAAAGTGGTGTAAAACACCCACGACCAAACAATCAATCAAATTTATTTGTTTTATGTAATGATTGTAAGGTAATGTTTGTGTGTTCATCTGACCTTGACCTCATTTATATGGATCATTGAAAATGTGAAGTTTGTTGATACTGGCAGTAAATCCTTTAGTTAAAAGACTTTCAACCTAAACTATACCAGTAAAGCTGGTGAGACATTTCAGAATGTTTATTCTTGTTGGTTTTCCAACCCTAGTCACTATAAAGCTGTTTAGTTCTAAGTGGCTCTAAGAATCCAACATTCAATTTTTCTGCTTAATAATGGTGTGTTTAATTTTGAAATGATTTTTGTAGACTTTTCCTTGGCTACTTGGCTGAGAGAAAACAGTATAACAGACACAGGTACATTACAGGAAGTTTTTGTTACACAACTTCTCTATAAACTTGGCATTGATGACTACATGAAGGATCCACAGTGTGACAGAAATCAGCCTCCATATAAACCTGCAAACAATATGGGATGGAATCTAGACAGTAAGTTACACCTTTTTTATAAATGATAAAAATATTTGCAAAAGGTGTCATTTGTTGTCCCCAAAGCAACATGGTGCAGGGGATATAGAAATACTGGGTGTCGGTCCCTCCATATGTCTATCTGGTCTTGTTAGGGCTCTCAAGTGTGTAATTCTTGTCGGATATTTATGAAATTTGTATCTGCAATGTCTCAGTCAAATTCAAAATTAGTTCTGATCACTATTTTAAAAAGAAAATTGCATTGTAAGCACTCAGACAACTACATTTCTTGTAGGATTGCAATTTATATCGAAGGTTTATATCAGCATTGTCACAGTAAGCTTTAAAAGGTCCTGACAGGAAAAAATGTGAAATAATTCAAATTAGAAAACCGATGATTTATGACAAAAAAAAATAATGAAAAACTCTGAAACACAGGCTTCTGGCTTTCACAGGCACATATTGAATGTGGTTGGTTAATCATGTTTAATTTTTTTTTTTTTGTGATTTCAGATTATAATGATGGATAACCTATTATGATTGCAGTTTTTCACACAGACTTTGTGTTTTGCTTTTGAAGATAATTCTTAAAACAATAAAAATTATTAGTAAAGATCTTATAAATGAATATATTTCTTGGAACTGATAATCATAAAAAAAATAATTTTATTTCAGAATGTAATAGTTCTGTAGATTTACCTGTGTCTCTACCAGCTGGAATCTCCTGTTACCTGTCTGATACCTGTACAGGTATAGATTGTTGTATACAGGTAGATAAACTAGGATTATCTGTCAATGCCTATGTACTGCTGGATGCCTGTCACAACACTTTTACTGTTGGTGTAGAGAACTTTAAACATACTACAACCATGCTGGATATTGACCTTGGTGAAATACAAACTTTCTCTATGATGGGATTTGTTATAGTGAGGTATATAAAATTAACTAGTAATTGTAGTGAATTGTAAAGAATCCATATCTTGAATTTGTGTATATTTTTCCATTTTACAAGAAGGAAAGAATAGATTTGAGAATAGATTGTTTCTTTCTTAACACTAACCTCAGTATTTTACAGTTTTGAAAAAAATGATCTTTTTGACATTTTGTTTTGTCATGGTCTTTTATAGCTGACTGTACATTATGGGTTTTGCTCATTGCTCATTACTTCCAATTCATTTGGTCTCTGGTGGATAGTTGTCTAATTGGCTATTATGCAACATCTCCTTATTTATATGTATTCTTTTTTAATAGTTTGTTAGATTGAAGAGTTCTACAATTATTGTTGGGTTGAATTTTAGTCTTTGTTATAACTAGAATAAAACTTTCATTGAGATTGAATGAAGAGCAGATTTTTTTTTCATTCCTTAACCACTCCATTTTACAATATCAATGAAATAACTTTATAATTTTCTTTTTTTTCAGTTACAAGATTGATGAGTTCTACAATGAGAGGATGTTTATTGTCGGTATGAACATCAGTATTTGTTATGAAGCTAATGGACCTTGTGCTTTAAACCTGAAAATACTGGAAAATACCAAACTTCCAATACCTTTCTGTGATTTCAGTCAAGGAATTCCAGGTAAGATTACAATTCTCTGACCTTGGGATACCTGTTTGTGAGTTCATTCAAGGAATTCTTTAATAATCAAATTAATACATCCACTTTACATTCAGAATCGAAAGATGGATGTTGCATGGTCTATTACTATGGCATTTACAATTTTAGGTCATTAAAACCATTTCAGTTTCAAACTGTTGCCCTAGACAAATCTTTATTCAACATTTTACAAAAAAGGTACGCATCTTCTTGTTGTTGATGCTGCAAATTGTCGATCCTAGTTTGTGACTTCTGAATACATTGAATTTGACAGAGAAAAATGACCCAGATTTTTAAGTCCATACAAAATTACCTAAATAACTAGAAAACTATTCAGGAACCTTCTGACAGGAAAAGACTTTGACATTAACAAGACAGCTGAATAATGTGGTCATCCTTGCCAGGCTTGATATTGGAATTGTCACAAATGAAAATAAATGAAAATGTTGGTTACTCTATAATGAAATGAATATTATAAACAATATATCAGTCTATTCACTATTGCTTACAATGAAATGGAGGAATGAAATAATTATCATCACAACATGCGAGGTTTTGTCCTCGTGAAAGTTCCCCCATGTTTAGATTTTCATCCATGGAGATCCCTGACTGATCAAGTGACATCTTTGGACAGTGCATATCAAACTTTTATGTAGAACAGTTTCCCTTGAGTCAGTAAGAACTACAGGAAGATTTATTGTTTCCTCCCATAGTGTAAAATTTTATCTCTACAAAAGATGTATAGTTCTGTGTTATTGATATAGAAAAATATTTATTGGATTATTTTGATTAATTCATTACCAGTTGTTGATACATAGATTGGAAATTTAGGACAAGAGCAAAAATCCTTTGTTACTGATAAGGTGATCAGGAGGGGGGATTTCAAACAAAAATTACAGTCCCATGATGTATATGGTTGAGCTGGATATAGGTCAAACTACAGAATTCAATACATTTTTATGGCCCCGCAACAAAGTTGTTGGGGCCATATAGTTTTACCCTTGTCCGTCATTCCGTCATGATGTCATTCTGTCATTCCCTCATTCCCTCATTCCGCAACAAACCATTATACACAATTTTTTTTCTAAACTCCTTCAGATATTAAGCTGATTTTTGGTATGTGAGTTAACATGATGAGTTACAGATCAAGTTTCAGTTTCTTTCTGCTCTGCTAATTTTTGCTGAAATTACGGGCTTTGGACTTTGATAAATTGTTGAAAATCACAGTTATCCGGACTTTTTTTCTAAACGCTTTCAGATGTTGGGCTGTTTTTTTTGTATGTGAGTTAACCATGATGAGTTACAGATCAAATTTAAGTTTCATTCCGCTCTATTAATTTTTGCTGAAATTACGGACTTTGGACTTTGAAAATTGTTGAAAATCACAGTTATCCGGACTTATTTTCTATACGCCCTAAGATTTTGCGCTGATTTTTGATATGTGAGTCTACCATGATGAGTTACAGATCAAATTTATGTTTCGTTCAGCTATGCTGATTTTCATGTCATTTCAACATATCTTGTTAGATCTGCAGTACATTCACTTCCTGTTTGCTGATAGTTTGAAATTTAACTACTCATTGATCAAGGAAATTTTTCATCAAACTAGTATTTGTCTTGAGAGCTGGATACTATCCATGCATGTTTGTGTCCACATGTGTTGTTGAAATTGCAGATTTTTCAACTTTTTAAGACAGGGCCATTTGTGTAGTTCCGACACATCTAGTTTAACAGGATTATCTTTGGCTTCCTTGCTAGATAATAATAAGATAGATTTTGAACAACAATTACAGTCCAGTGATGTATGTTGTTGACTTGTTGAGCTGGATATGGGACAGAATGTACACAACATTTTTTTTCAGGTTTTTCCTTGGCTGCCTGGCTAGATAATAACAAGATAGATTTGGGAGAACAGCTACAGTCCTATGATGTTGATAGGTTGATGGAAGAATTAGGTATAGCTGGTTATCTACTGAATCCTCAATGTCAGGTGTCTTCTTATCAAACTGATACGAAAGGATGGAATACTGGATGTAAGTTCTTATATTAAGAAAGACTAAAAGTCATATTACACTATATATACTGCAATAAATATTTGTGGCCACAATAGAAGGGGCATTTTGTTTGCTGTCTGTGCATGTCCATCCATCCATCTGTTTGTCAGGTTAATGTTTAAATTTAAAGCATTTCATCATAAAGTTGTGGTCACATTTACTAGAAAACTTATACACATATATATAAAAATAAGGAGACGTGGTATGATTGCCAATGAGACAACTATCCACCAAAGTTCAAATGAAGTGGATGTAAGTAGTTATAGGCAACTATATGGCCTTCAACAATGAGAAAAACCCATACCATATGGTTGGCTATAAAAGGCCCCAACATGAAAAATATAAAACAATTCAATTGAGAAAACTAACAGCCTAATTTATAACAAAACAATTTACGAAAAAACAAATATGACAGACATGAACAAACGACAACCACTGAACTCCTGACTTTGGACAGGCACATAAAGAATGTTGTGGGGTTAAACATGTTTGTGAGCGCTCAACCCTCCCCTAACCTGGGACAGTGGTGTAACAGTACAACATAAGAACATACTATAAAAAATCAGTTGAAAAAGGCTTAACTCATCAAATCAATACAAATAGAAATACATCTAACAAAAACATAGAGTGGACGTGGACGGGTATCCGGTGTTGTTTATACATACCACATGTTCATTAAAATTTTAACTTTTAAAATTATGTACCAAACTAGGGTTTTGATTGAGGTTCACTCAAAAAAGAAGTGTGAGACTGTTAGCAGGAAAACTATTCTTGCTTTAGCATTTTGCATAATAATTATATTATTTATTGAGATAAAACTTGTTATAATATTTGGAACATTTATCTTAGATTCGGGTTGCATGATGTCAGTTTGAAATCTGCATATATTCGTAGTATTGATTAAAAAAGTCTATTTCGAAAAAAGCCTGTGTCAAGTTTTTTTCATTTATTTGTTCAATATCAGCTTGTTAATTAATATTGTTAATCATTTGCTGTATGTCATCTTGTTTTCAGCAACCATGGCCTCTAACCAATACTTAGCCAGGAGAAATAAACATATAGTTCTTGTTGAAATTTCTAATTCAATCTTGATTCTTAAAAAAAACCATTCTTACCAAAACTAATTTTTGTCTTGCCTTGACGGAGTCAAAACGCGAGACATAGATATGCTGTTTCCGGCGACGGCGGCGGCTTCAACAATGTAATAGTTTGTGATTAAGTCTAGTTTATGGTGAACCACTAGTGGTAGATCAATGATATTTGGTATGCAGTTGTATTAGCATAGGCACATTTCATTACAATGGAGATTATTCTGCCCCGTCCCCTCAGTCATGGTTAATTGACTTTGAAACTTTGCCTAGTTTACATGTATTAGTTTGTGATTAGGTCAGTTTATGGGGAACCACTACTGGTAGGTCAATGATATTTGGTATGCAGTTGTATAAGCATTGGCATATCTCATTTCCATGGAGATTATTTGGCCCCACCCTTCAGTCATGGTCTATTGACTTTGAAACTTTTGCTTAGTTTTCATGTATTAGTTTGTGATTTGGTCAGTTTATGTGGAACCACTACTGGTAGGTCAATGATATTTGGTATGCAGTTGTATAAGCATTGGCCTATCTCATTTCCATGGAGATTATTTGGCCCAACTCCTTCAGTCATGGTCTATTGACTTTGAAACTTTTGCTTAGTTTTCATGTATTAGTTTGTGATTAGGTCAGTTTATGGGGAACCACTAGTGGTAGGTTATTTGATATTTGGTATGCAGTTGAATAAACATTGGCATATTTCATTTCCATGGAGATTATTTGGACCCACCCCTTCAGTCATAATCTATTGACTTTGAAACTTTTGCTTAGTTTTGCAAGTTAATGTTTGTGTTTATGTTTCTTTAAAGGGAACGACTTATGAAAAGTCAATAATATTTGGTATGCAGTTGTATTAGCATTGGCACATCTCATTTCCATGGAGATTGTTAAGCCCTGTACCTTTAGTCATGGTTCATTGACTTTAAATATTTGCATAACTTACATGTTAAAGTATTGTTATTTTGATTTCAACATTTACATTATCAAAATAACAAATAGGCGAGACATATCTCTGTGTTAACAGTTTATTGATTCTGATCATTTAATATCAGCATGTTGAGTAGATTTATCATTACAAACACTATCATCAAACATGATTTGCTGTTTACCGGACCAATTCTTAGGAATCAAGTATTTATATGTTTGACTTGCTCAGTATCATATTAAATATCAGTGTTTTATTTTCATCTTGTGAAACAGACTTATCATTGCCAACAATACCATCGAACATGGCATGTCGATTAACAGGCTCCTGTACAGGAATCCAGTTTTGTTTATAAATGTAATATTAGATATTTCTGTTTTATTTGCAGCTTGTGACGCAGACTTATCATTGCCAACATTACCATCAAACCTGGCATGTCAGTTACCAGACTACTGTACAGGGATCCAGTGTTGTTTATACATACCACTGCTGGATATGTCTGTAGAATTCCATGTTCAGGTTGATATCTGTAACCTTAAACTTAGCATTGGACTGGAGAACCTTGTCATCAATGAATCTTTGTCTGATTACAACTTCAATAACCAGAACAATATATCCCTAGGAAGTATGATCAAACTAAGGTAATGGACTGTCATATTTCCCTAAGTTCTAGACATTGTTTCTGTTCTTCTTTCTGTCCCTGGGTTGTTAGACTGCCTGAATGTCACAAACGTTCATAAGAAAAAATTGAGGACAGCTTTAATTTCAAAATGATTACCTATATATATTTAATTGACGCATCCTTAAATGTTTTCAGTATTTGGTTAGAAAACATACAACACAGTCAAATTTCTTCCTGATAAAGTTTATATATTTTTATAATTTTCAGTTACTCCATAGAAGATTTGGAAGCTGAAGAAAAGCTGTCTTTCAGTTTAACAATTAACTTTTGTTTTGAGAGTGATGGAGACTGTATATATAACTATGTAATATTTGATGATTATAAAATCTCTAAACAGCCATGTGATTGGACAGGAGGATTTGCAGTGCCAAGTAAGCTTTAATGTATCAGATATCACACGCTTCCATGTTATAAAATGTTTTGAAATTCAATTCTGATGGTTTAATCTTTCATTTTTTTGTAAGCTGTATTTTTTCATTTATCTATATTTTGATTTTCTTTATAAAGTTTTAATGCACAGATAAACCCTCACCAAATGTGTTAAACCAACGCCTTTCCATCTTTTTATTATTGAGGTCAAATTGGATTATAACGAGTTTTGCATAGATGTCCAGGAGTTATGACCCTTAATTCTGAACAAAAACAATGAAAATGTAAAGAAACCTCAGTTTGCCGTCATTTTGAATGCTTCTTGATTTTATTAACAAATGTAGTGCTGTGGTAGTGTACAACACAGTTTAATGTTGCCCCCAGATGTCTAATATAGTGAATTAATATCCTTAGTGTTTACCTTGCATCTCTTTTTGTTCTTTTTTAATAGCCTTATGATAAGTAGTATTGATAATTTAAGGCTGTACACAAAGTTCTGAAATTGAGGTCAAATAAATGAAATTTTCAAGCAAATAACAAAAAGATTATCAAAGAATATTCCCCTCTTAGATATTGTTTTGCATACATTTTGAATAAGCAAGTAGTAAGTAAAGGTCAAGAAAGATTGCCAAACATCCTTTAGACTAGGATTATATTATACTGGTTTTTTATTTATTACAGATTTTAAATTAAATTCCTGGCTGACAGATCATGATTTATTGCCAAATTTATCACAACTCTCTGATTTAATGGCATCAAAGCTGCTAGAAGATCTTGGTATAGCTGAATACCTACAAGAACCAAGCTGTAATCCTGTAACAGATATAGCATTCAGTAATGTACAGAGTAATGGCTGGAATTCAGGTAAAAATACTAGAGTTAATTTGAAATTCATATTACTTTGGTAAAATTTATTTCCATACAGTGACCTATAGTTGCTAACATCCACATCATTTTGACTCTGTTGGATAGTTGTCTTATTTGTAATTATAATCATATCATATCATATCTCCGTTTTTTTATATATGGCATATTTCCTAATAAAATCGCCTCTCCTTAATTCTTATCGTGAGGGTCCCATCATTCGATGGTTAGGTGCCAATTTGACGAAAATTCAGACCCAGACGTGGGATTGACTTTTAATGGGTTGGGCTGAACTTTTTATACACACACAAGTTAGTCTTGGAAGTAAGAAGTCCAGAATGGTTCCAAACATGCAAAAATACATCCACTGCAAGGGTTTTCAGAAGATCAGGACAATAAAATGACCACTCTCGGTTTGAGAATCACAGACAGTCAAACAATTGTAAAAATTCAAAAAATTTAACATGTTTGACAGCAATGGCCTTCATTAGACTATATAGCAAAGCATGATTAGGGGACATTATATACAAATAGTTCAACAAAACAGAAATTGTCTGTACTCTTCTGTAGAAGTAATTGCCCTTTAATGATGATTTTGGGAATTTTGGTAAAAACTGCAGTAGATTAAGAAAAACTATTAACAGCAAATATGATCAACAAGACAAGATCTACAGTATATCTGAAATTGTCAGATGATGCCTTGTTGGAGGACAACATTTATATTTTTGTTTAATTTTTTTGTCAAAAACTTTAGAAGATATAGAGAAACTGTACACAGCATAAGATCTACAGATAGTTAAACAAAGCAGAAATTGTCAGTCCTCTTTTTATAATAGTTGTTGCCCTTAAATGAGGATTTTTCTCCCATTTTTTGTGTTTCGGCAAAATCTATAGTAGATGAATGAAACTGTATACAGAAAAAATTGTTGCCAAGACACAATCAACAAAAAAAAGATTTAATTCATGAATTATATTCTAGTCTATAATACTGTAAATTGAGAAATTATTGCGTGCATTTATTATTGCGAATTTTGTAGAAAGGACTAAAATGCGAGATTAATTATTGCGATTTCAAAAAAATGTACATACAGTTATATGTATCAGATATAAGAATGCGAGTTCTTATTAATGCGATATTCCTTCAGTCGCATTATTCGCATTAATAAAAACCTCGCATTAATTTCTGAATTTACAGTATTGGAGAGTGGCCATTGTATGTAAAATACTAGAGGATGAGAAACATTTTTTACTCTATTGTGATTATAATAAAACACTAAGAAATGCCTTTTTTGAACACATATGTACTGAAAATAATAACTTTAATAATTTAAATGAAGAAGAAAAAATTCATTATTTACTAAATCCATCAACGCCTTAACAAACAAATAAGTTAGGATCCTTCTTGAAAAAGTCATTAGAACTGAGGGCAGGGGACTCTTAACAACTTGTTTGTTTTTATAAATTTTGATGCTGTTTTTATTGTGTTTGTTTGATATGTATGTATATATGTTTATTGTGTTAATACATGTTGGTCACAAACTGTAAAGTTTATAAGACAATAAAATATTTGATTTGATTTGTTAAAGATGCACATAGATTCAGGTTAGCGACACAGTCTCTTTAGAGCCTTTAGTTTATAAAATGCATGATTCTGGCACTTTTTAGCTCACCTAGCCTAAAAAGTGAGCTTTTCTCATCACTTGGCGTCTGTCGTCCATCGTCAAAAATCTTCTCCTCTGAAACTACTGGGCCAAATAAAACCAAATTTGGCCTAAATCATCCTTAGGGTATTTAGTTTAAAAAATGTATCCAATGACCCCGCCCATCAACCAAGATGGCCACCATGGCTAAAAATAGAACATGGGGGTCAAATGCTGGCTTATATCTCTGAAACTAAAGCATGTAGAGCAAATCTGACATGGGGTAAAAATGTTCATCAGTCAAGATTTATCTGACCTGGAATTTTCAGACGCATCAGACAACCCGTTGTTGGGTTGCTGTCCCTGAATTGGTAATTTTAAGGAAATTTTGCAGTTTTTGGTTATTATCTTGAATATTATAATAGATAGAGATAAACTGTAAACAGCAAAATTGTTCAGCAAAGTAAGATCTACAAATAAGTCAACATGACCAAAATTTTCAAGCGACCCCATAAGGAGTTATTGACTTTAAAGTCAATTTTTCACTATTTTTCTTAAATTTTTGTAATCTTTTACAAAAATCTTCTCCTCTGAAACTACTGGGCCAAATTAAACCAAACTTGGCCTTAATCATCCTTAGGGTATCTTGTTTAAAAAATGTTTCCTATGACCCTGCCTATCAACCAAGATGGCCGCCATGGCTAAAAATAGAACATAGGGGTTTACTATAGAATATGGGAAAATTGTAAAAAAACAATTTCAAATGGTCACAATTTGAAAACTAATTTAAATAATGATAAGGGGTCTTCAGTAACTATTGTAAGACTACAATGGGATGACCTGCTTTTAATTTTACTAATGGGCCAAATTAAACCAAACTTGGTCTCAATCAATATTGGGGTATCTAATACTATTTGTTATGATTTTAACCTTATTTTACATGATTTCCAAAACCACAGTAGATACAGGTGAGCAACACAGGCTCTTGAGAGCCTCTAGTTTATTTTGTAGAGAAATAATAGACGATTACATGTACCTGCAAGACCTTTTTTATGTAGAAATAACTGACACATATAAACTCATTTATTTGCTACTTGAAAGGAAATTTAAATACCAAGATTTTTATTAATTTTTAATTGGTTGGGCTAAACTTTTTGTAACACTTGTCAGGGTTGTTGATTTTCAAATGTCTGTATTCTTTACCCTTGAAAATATATGTTCACAATATTTGTCATTGGAGGAACTTTCTGACAGACTAAGAAGTGTTCTGAGCCAGGACAGATTCCTGATATTACTGCTCTGAAACATCATTCAGTCCTTCTAACTTGGATGACAATTAGCTTAATTCTACCTGGTTTTAAATATATTTTCAGCTTTCCTTAGTGCTGTTTTGCTCAAATTGTTTATTATGTATTATGTCACCTTGATTCTACCTGTACTTAAGTGAATTGATTTTTACACCTGTACTTTTCAGCTTGCCCAAGTGCTGTATTAGGAAAGTTGCTTGATGATGTTGTATGTCATTTTTGTCGAGCCTGTGACTTTTGTCGCAAAAGCGAGACATAGCGATCATAAGATAGTATCCAGAAGTAAATTTTGTAAAAAAAAAAAAATCCTGTTTATCTGTATTTGTCGAGCCTGCGACTTTTGTCGCAAAAGCGAGACATAGCTATCCTACATTCCGTCAGCGGCGTTGGTGGCGGCCTCGGCGGCAGCGGCGGCGGCAACATCCACAAATATTCATTCTGTGGTTAAAGTTTTTCAAATTTTAATAACTTTCTTAAACTTTCCTAGATTTGTACCAAACTTGGACAGAAGCTTGTTTATAATAAGATAGTATCCAGAAGAAAATTTCGTGAAAAGAAAATCCTGTTTATCCGTATTTCACTCATATATGGACTTAGTTTTTCTTCCAGTTAACATAACATTCACTCTGTGGTTAAAGTTTTTCAAATTTTAATAACTTTCTTTAACTATCCTGAATTTGTACCACACTTGGACAGAAGCTTGTTTGTGATCATTAGATAGTATTCAAAAGTAAATTCTGTTAAAAAAAAAAGTCCTGTTTATCCTTATTTTATTTATAAATGGACTTAGTTTTTCTGCCAGTTAACATTACATTCACTCTGTGGTTAAAGCTTTCAAAATTTTAATAACTTTCTTAAACTATCCTGGATTTGTACCAAACTTGGACAGAAGCTTGTTTATGATCAAAAGCTAGCATATAGAAGGAAATTTTGTAAAACTTTATTTCCTGTTTTTCCGTATATTACTTATAAATGGACTTAGTTTTATTCCAGTTAACATTACATACAGTCTGCAGTTAAAGTTTTTAAAACATTTATTAGATTATAAACTTTCTTGGATTTTTACCAAACTTAAACAGAACTTCTTACAATCAAAAGATAGTATCTAGCGGAAAATTTTTAATAATTTTTTCTCCATTTTAGTTGAGCCTGCGACTAACAGCAAAAGTAGGCGAGACACTGGGTTCTGCAGAACCCTTACGAATTTTTCTTATAAATGGACTTAATTTTTCTGCCAGTTAACATTACATTCACTCTGTGGTTAAAGTTTTTAAAATTTTAATAACTTTCTTAAACTATCCTCGATTTCTACCAAACTTGGACAGAAGCTTGTTTATGATCATAAGATAGTATCCAGAAGTATAAATTTTGTAAAAAAAAATCCTGTTTATCCATATTTTATTTATAAATGGACTTAGTTTTTCTGCCAGTTAACATTACATTCACTCTGTGGTTAAGGTTTTAAAAATTTTAATAACATTCTTAAACTATCCTGGAATTTTTACCAAACTTGGACAGAAGCTTGTTTATGATCAAAAGCTAGTATCTAGAAGGGAATTTTGTAAAAATTTATTTCCTGTTTTTCCGTATATTACTGTTATATAAATGGACTTAGTTTTTCTTCCAGTTAACTTTACATACAGTCTGCAGTTAAAGTTTTTAAAACATTTTTTAGATTCATAAACCATCCTGGATTTTTACCAATTTGGATAGAAGCTTCTATCAATCAAAAGATAGTATCTAGAGGAAAATTTTTAATAATTTTTTTCCCATTTTTGTTGAGCCTGCGACTAACAGCAAAAGTAGGCGAGACACTGGGTTCCGCAGAACCCTTACGAATTTTTATTCTACCTGTAATAAAGAGAATTGTTTTATACCAGTACTTTTCAGCTTGCCAAGCGCTGTATTAGCAAAGTTGCCTTATGATGTAGTTATAAAGTGAATTGTTTTATACCTATTCTTTTTAGCTTGCCCAAGTGCTGTATTAGCAAAGTTGCCTTATGATGTAGTTATAAAGTGAATTGTTTTATACCTATTCTTTTTAGCTTGCCCAAGTGCTGTATTAGCAAAGTTGCCTTATGATGTAGTTATAAAGTGAATTGTTTTATACCAGTTCTTTTCAGCTTGCCAAACTGCTGTATTAGCAAAGTTGCCTTATGATGTACGTATGTCATCGTGATTCTACCTGTACTAAAATGAATTGTTTTATACCTGTATTTTTCAGCTTGCCCAAGTGCTGTATTACCTAACTTGCCTGATGATGTAGTATGTCACCTTGATTCTACCTGTACCTGAGTTAATTGTTTTATACCTGTCTTTTTCAGCTTGCCCAAGTGCTGTATTACCTAACTTGCCTGATGATGTAGTATGTCACCTTGATTCTACCTGTACCTGAGTTAATTGTTTTATACCTGTCTTTTTCAGCTTGTCCAAGTGCTGTATTACCTAACTTGCCTGATGATGTAGTATGTCATCTTGATTCTACCTGTACCTGAGTTAATTGTTTTATACCTGTCTTTTTCAGCTTGTCCAAGTGCTGTATTACCTAACTTGCGTGATGATGTAGTATGTCACCTTGATTCTACCTGTACCTGAGTTAATTGTTTTATACCTGTATTTTTCAGCTTGCCCAAGTGCTGTATTACCTGACTTAGCTGATGATGTAGTATGTCACCTTGATTCTACCTGTACATCTGTTACCTGTTGTGCACATGTAGGCCTGATCAACAGAAACATAAATTTCTTCCAAACTGTAGATCCATGTAACCAAATATTTAGCCTTGGTATTGAGAAATACCAGTTTGAATTTTCTCTGTATGAGACAGACTTTAATCTGCAGAAACAATTTCATATTGGACGTGTTTTAGAAATAGAGTAAGTTGAATTTAATTTTTGTCATGTTGATATGAATATTGAGAAGTAAGTGTTACTATTCCAATGACATATACAAACATGCAGGTTTTGGTTGATAATGCTAAACTCAAAACAGAAATGGGTTTTTTGCTGTTTTAGTTATTTTATGATAATTTACTTATTAGGAGTACTGGAGGTATGATCCTTGCAGGGTCAAACCAAAGATGTTAATATTGATATTTCCTGCTTTTCATGAAAAACTATTACATTTAGAATTAGGAGCAAAAACCAGGTTGATGTGTTGGGTGGATGTTATTCAACCACCAATCAATCAGAAATGCCTTGCTGGACATTATAGTATTACACATTTGAATATTGTTTTGACCAAGTATTTTAAGTCTCTGATTGTTTAGATGTACAGCACAAAATAAGACCAGTTAAAATGTTGTAGTTAGAATGGTATGTACCAATGCAAATGCTTTGTAATTTAAGGAATTCAAAAAAGCATTGAGATCTTCTGATGGTAAGAAAGGATCTTCAATTATTTTCTTTTCTGATGTTCATTTTGATTAGGTTGTAATAATGAAGAAGTATATTTGATCACATTTTTGTCTTGCCTGCAAAAAAGTCAAAGTATGCAACACATAGGGATTACTATCTGGTGGCAGCAGTGTAAACTATTTGTATAAAGCTTTTTAATTCAGAGGGTTAGATGACCTGGATGCTTCATACCTTGTATGCAGATACCTTATGTTACAAAGTTTCGGACTGCCATATGTCCATTGTCCTTGACCTCATTTTCATGGTTCAGTGACTGCTTGAAAAAACAATTATTGTTTTTTTGTCATGTTAATATCTCACTTATTATGAGTAATAAGACAACTATATTTGGTATATGGGTTGCAAGCAACATCTACATGTCCGTCAGACAGTTTTCACCTAATCTTGACCTCATTTCATGGATCAGTTATCAAGGTTAAAGTTACGTGATTAGGTTCATTTCTCAGATACTATAAGCAGTAGGTCAACTATATATGTGTATAGCATGATTGTAAGGGGTACATGTCAGTCTGGCAAGTTTCATCTGAACTTGACCTTATTTTCATGGTTTATTGGTCAATGTTAAGTTTTTGTGTTTTAGTTTGCTTTTCAATAATTATATGATACTGTGAAAGTACTTTGTTGGTGGGTATCAATTTTCGTGGTTTGAGCAAAAGAAGAAAATAATCGAGTGATGAATTTGAAGCCATCACAAATGAATTTTTTATATGATTTTTTTTTTTGAGGAGATAAAATGAACACTTCATCATCGCACATCATCACCAGAAGTCTAACTTTTCATAATTTTATATGAGAATTAAAAGGTTAAAAGTCGTACAGTTTGATTTTTTGTCGAGCCTGCGACTTTTGTTGCAGAAAGCTCAACATAGGGATATTGATCCGGCAGCGGCTTTAACTAACTTCTTAAAAGCTTTATATTTTAGAAGATGGAAGACCTGGATGCTTCCTACTTTGCATATAGATGCCTTATGTTACGAAGTTTCTGTCTGTCACATGTCCATTGTCCTTGACCTCATTTTCATGGTTCAGTGACTACTTGAAAAAAAAAGTTAAGATTTTTTGTAATGTTAATTTCTCTCTTATTATAAGTAATAGGATAACTATATTTGGTATGTGCGTACCTTGCAAGGTCCTCATGCCTGTCAGACAGTTTTCACTTGACCTCCACCTCATTTCATAGATCAGTGAACAAGGTTAAGTTTTCGTGGTCAAGTCCATATCTCAGTATATTTGGTGTATGGAAGGATTGTAAGGTGTACATGTCCAACACGCAGGTGTCATTTGGCCTTGACCTCATTTTCATGGTTCAGTGGTTATAGTTAAGTTTTTGTGTTTTGGTCTGTTTTTCTTATACTGTATGCAATAGGTCTACTTTATTTGGTGTATGGAATGATTGTAAGGTGTACAATGTCCAACTGGCAGGTGTCATCTGACCTTGACCTCCTTTTCATGGTTCAGTGGTCAAAGTTAAGTTTTTGTGTTTTGGTCTGTTTTTCTTATACTGTATGCAATAGGTCTACTTTGTTTGGTGTATGGAATGATTATAAGGTGTACAATGTCCAACTGGCAGGTGTCATCTGACCTTGACCTCATTTTCTTGGTTCAGTGGTCAAAGTTTAGTTTTTGAGTTTTGGTCTTTTTTTCTAATACTATATGCAATAGGTCAACTGTATTTGGTGTATGGAAATATTTTATGATGCACATGCCAGTCTCGCAGGCTTTATTTGACCTTTACCTCATTTCATGGTTAAGTTTGTTTCTTAGATACTGTAAGCAATAGGTCAACTACTGTAAATTCAGAAATTATTGCGTGCTTTTATTATTGCGATTTTGTCATTTGAGACTAAAATGCGATTTTAATCTTTGCGATATTGAGAAAAATCCTGTTTAATTCATATAAAAAATTTCAAAATGCGAGTTTAAATTATTGCGATTATAATCCCATCGCATTTTTCGCAATAATAAAAACATCGCAATAATTTCTGAATTTACAGTATATTTAATGCATAGGTTCATTGTAAGGTGTACATGTCTGCCTGGCATGGTTCATCTGACCTTGACCTCATTTTCATGGTTCATTGGTCAATGTTTAATTTTCTTGGTTGATCTGTTTCTTAGAAACTATAAGCAATAGGTCAACTTTATTTAGTGTATGAATGATTGTAAGGTTGATAGATATAGGAAGATGTGGTATGAGTGCCAATGAGACAACTCTCCATCCAAGTTACAATTTATAAAAGTAAACCATTATAGGTCAAGATACGGCATTCAACACGGAGCATTGGCTCACACCAAACAGCAAGCTATAAAAGGCCCAAAAAAATTACTAGTGTAAAACCATTCAAACTGAAAAACCAATGGTCTAATCTATATAAAAAGGAGAAACGAGAAACACGTATGAACTACATAAACAGACGACAACTATATGTAATCAGATTCCTGACTTAGGACAGGTGCAAACATTTGCAGTGGGATTAAACGTTTTAATGGTACCAAACCTTCTCCCTTTTCTGAAACAATAGTATAACATCACAACATAGAAAAATTGAAGTAAAGCTTTATATTTAGGACTATCAACATAATATCAATGGTTAGTAAAGAAAGCGAGACATTTCAGTGTGTGCACTCTTGTTTAAAGATTAAATTGGTAAAATCTGTCTGAAGATGTACATGTATATATAGTTCATAAAACTTTTGCTGATATTCGATGTACAATGTATTCTCTTGATTATATGCCTGTATCCATGAAGTCAAGCCTACATGGAGATCTTTGCAAGTCTTGATTTGGACAACAGTTGTTATATTTCATTGGACACTTAAATTAGTGGATAAAGCCATCATCGAAAACCATGAAAACTGGTATCCCACGAATAAGATTACTTTCACAGTATAAGCAATAGGTCAACTATATTTGTTGTATGGAATGATTGTAAGGTGACCATGTCTGTCTGGCAGGTATCATTTGTCCTTAACCTCATTTTCATGGTTCATTGGTCAATGTTAAGTTTTTTGTGTTTTGATCTGTTTTCCAAATACTATAAGCTGTAGGTAAACTATATTTGGTGTATGGATGATTGTAAGGTGTACATGTCTGTCTGGCAGGTATAATCTGACCTTGACCTCTTTGTCGTGGATCTTTAAAAATGTTAAGTTTATGTGATACTTGTAGTTAAATCTTTATCTTTGAGTCTTTCAACATAAAATCAATGGTCAGTAAAGCAGGCGAGACATTTAAGCATGTGCACTCTTGTTTCATTGCTGCTATAAAGATCATATACATGGAAGTAGTTACACAGTCTCTTTAATTGATTTTTATATGGCTTACAGCTATAAGATTAGTGATATAACTGGAGAGAGAGTTTACTATATGGATCTTAATATAAAAGTTTGTTTTATCTGTTTATGTGTTACAGCTATAAGATCAGTGATATGACTAGAGAGAGAGTTTACTATATGGATCTCAGTATAAAAGTCTGTTTTATCTTTTTATGTGTTACAGTTATAAGATCAGTGATATGGGTGGAGAGAGAGTTTACTATATGGATCTCAGTATAAATGTTTGTTTTATCTTTGTATGTGTTACAGCTATAAGATCAGTGATATGAATAGAGAGAGAGTTTACTATGTGGACCTGAGTATAAAAGTCTGTTATATCTTTTTATGTGTTACAGCTATAAGATCAGTGATATGTCTGGAGAAAGAGTTTACTATATGGAATCTCAGTATAAAATAAAAGGCAACAGTAGTATACCGCTGTTCGAAACTCATAAATCGATAGAGATAAAAACAAATCTGGGTTACAAACTAAAACTGAGGGAAATGCATCAAATATAAGAGGAGAACAATGCCACAACAAAAACACAACATTAAAATGTAACACACACAGAAATGAACTATAATATAACAATGGCCATTTTCCTGAATTGGTACAGGACATTTTAAGAATAAAAATGGTGGGTTGAACCTGGTTTTGTGGCATGCCAAACCTCCCGCTTTTATGGCAACGTCAAACACAACACCAAAACAACAACATCACATGACAGGACCACAATACAAATAAATAGGAGAACATATAGTCTGTTTTATCTTTTTTATGTGTTACAGCTATAAGATCAGTGATATAACTGGAGAAAGAGTTTACTATATGGACCTTAGTATAAAAGTCTGTTTTATCTGTTTATGTGTTACAGCTATAAAATCAGTGATATGAGTGGAGAAAGAGTTTACTATATGGATCTCAGTATAAAAGTCTGTTTATCTTTTTATGTGTTACAGCTATAAGATCAGTGATATAACTGGAGAAAGAGTTTACTATATGGACCTGAGTATAAAAGTCTGTTTTATCTGTTTATGTGTTACAGCTATAAAATCAGTGATATGAGTGGAGAGAGAGTTTACTATATGGATATCAGTATAAAAGTCTGTTTATCTTTTTATGTGTTACAGCTATAAAATCAGTGATATGAGTGGAGAAAGAGTTTACTATATGGACCTGAGTATAAAAGTCTGTTTTATCTGTTTATGTGTTACAGCTATAAAATCAGTGATATGAGTGGAGAGAGAGTTTACTATATGGATATCAGTATAAAAGTCTGTTTATCTTTTTATGTGTTACAGCTATAAAATCAGTGATATGAGTGGAGAAAGAGTTTACTATATGGATCTCAGTATAAAAGTTTGTTTTATCTGTTTATGTGTTACAGCTATAAGATCAGTTATATGTCTGGAGAGAGAGTTTACTATATGGATCTCAGTATAAAAGTTTGTTTTATCTGTTTATGTGTTACAGCTATAAGATCAGTGATATCGATATGGCTGGAGAGAGAGTTTACTATAGCGATCTCAGTATAAAAGTTTGTTTTATCTGTTTATGTGTTACAGCTATATGATCAGTGATATGGATGGAAAAAGAGTTTACTATATGGATCTCAGTATAAAAGTCTGTTTTATCTTTTTATGTGTTACAGCTATAAGATCAGTGATATTTGTGTAGAAAGAGTTTACCCTATTGATCTCAGTGTAAAAGTTTGTTTTATTTTTTTATGTGTTACAGCTATAAGATCAGTGATATGGGTGGAGAAAGAGTTTACTATATGGATCTCAGTATAAAAGTTTGTTTTAATGATGAAGGACCTTGTCTGATACAAGCCAATATCTTCTCCAAAACAAAGCTGCCAAAAATACAGTGTAGTTGGCAGAACGGTTTCTTTGATCCAGGTAAGACCAAATAAATAATGACAGCTACTACAGTTAGAAATAAGTGTCATATTATTGTACTGATACTCTAAAAGTGGGGGCTATATTGCAATAGCCTTGTCTGTCTGTTTGTTAGTTCATTTGTTTGTCTGTCTGTTAGCCCAACAAATAATTTCAGCACACTTTACTTAGAAACTACTGAATAGAGTGAGGGGGGTTATTTAAAAGTAGCTCAACAGTGATGAGTTGTAATGTGTGTGCGCTTGTCGAACTGTCAGACACCTTCTTCCTTTTTTCTGGTATTTAAACTATGAGTGGGGGTAGGCTAAGCATGATGACATGTTGTTTTGTTCATATCTTTTAACTCATCAATTAGAATAATTATCCTATAGAGGAACACAGATCTGCTAACTTTCCTGATTTGTTGGGAAATTCCCCCATGAGAGCTGGGTCAAAATGCATAATTTATTTCCCATAGGCGACAATGGTAGCCTTTTCTTCCATTCCTCTGTCCATATCATAAACTTGGATTTGTATGATGGCTCGTTTCGAAGCTGAGACATTTTCACACATGTGGTTTAATTTTCGGGGTACAAAGTGAGATTAAATTTTTCACAAATTGGGCAACCCCAAGAGGCTCCTTGTGATGCCACTTCAGCAAGTGAAAAGTCCTTATTTTCACACAGTTAAACTCTCTGGAAATGCAGTTCTGTACAGACAATTAATAACTCCAAAGTTTTTACATCTTTATTGTACAGTCTTCTGCTCTTCAAAAAAGCAAAAATGGTTATGCTCAGTCAATTACTAATAATAGCATCATGTCCAATCTCATTGCATACAGGTTTTTTTATTTCTATTTATAGTTGAGTTCCTCACTCTGAGGCGCATTAGGGATATTGACCCAGCTGTTGACCTGACCTTTGAAAACTTCCATTCTATACAATGAATGCCTGAAAACAAGCATGCAAAGGAGTTAAAATTTCATTTAAGTGCATAAACATACTCATTCAGAACCATAGTTTATTACTTTACAACACTTAAGGCATGTATTAGAGATACATTAGGTGCTCTAGATATCTTACTCTTAAATCCTCCATGGAGATCATGAGACATTAGCAGGTGTGAGAACAACCTTTTGATATATTTGGGTTGAACAGAGAATTATCTGGTTTTGTGGATAATAATTACTCTAATGCTATAAACCAATTCATACTTTACTGTTTCCTTTTATCAATCTTCTTGTTTTTATTCATTTTTTCAGACTGGTCCTTATCAAACTGGTACAAACAGACAGGTTTCCAGTCTAATGTTACCTTAACTAGAGATAGAGTCTCTCAGCTAATGTCAGACCTTGGACTGTCAAAGTTCCTGTTTGACAATAAATGTGATTATACAGACCAAGAATCTGTCTTTGTTAATGCTTATCAAGGATGGACTTCTGGTAAGTCATATCTTTAAGACTTTTTATTTTGTAAATTATAACCTGTAAAAACATATTTTTACTTAAATACCTAGTCAGAACTTTTTATGAGAAATACCTTTAACAATTATTATCTTAACAGTAACCTGGATTCTACATTTATATTTCAATTTTACTGATAGTATAGTAGCGTTTCTTTACTCACCTGATTAACTAACATGTTACCCAGATTCTACCTGTTTATTTTCAGATTGTCCTGACAGTAAGATAAAGTTTCTTAACTTACCTGACTACCTTACCTGTTACCTGGATTCAACCTATTTGTTTTCTGGTTGTCCTGACAGTAAGATGGAGTAACCTGACTAACTTGACAACCTTACCTGTTATTTGGATTCTACCTGTTTATTTTCAGATCGTTCTGACAGTAAGGGAAAGTTACATGACTACCTTAACTGTTACCTGGATTCTACCTGTTTATTTTCAGACTGTCCTGACAGTAAGATAGAGTTACCTGACTTACCTGACTGCCTTACCTGTTACATGAATTCTACCTGTTTATTTTTCAGATTGTTCTGACATTAAGATAGAATTGTCTAAATTACCTGACTACCTTACCTGTTCCTGAATTTTACCTGTTAATTTTCAGATTGTCCTGACAGTAAGATAGAGTTACCTGACTTACCTGACTGCCTAACCTGTTACATGAATTCTACCTGTTTATTTTTCAGATTGTTCTGACATTAAGATAGAATTGCCTGAATTACCTGACTACCTTACCTGTTACCTGGTTTCTACCTGTTTATTTTTCAGATTGTCCTGACAGAAAGATAGAGTTACCTGACTTACCTGACTGCCTAACCTGTTACATGAATTCTACCTGTTTATTTTTCAGATTGTTCTGACATTAAGATAGAATTGCCTGAATTACCTGACTACCTTACCTGTTACCTGGATTCTACTTGTTTATTTTTAGATCGTTCGGACAGTAAGATAAAGTTACCTTACTCACCTGACTACCTTAACTATTACCTGGATTCTATTTGTTTATTTTCAGACTCATACCTGCCAACATTTCAAAATGGCCATGGGGGTTTTATGTGCAAAATGGCTCTTATAGTCCTACAAAACCTTTAAAGGGGCCTTCAAATTTATTGGAATGTTGTTAATTTGCTTCTTCATACTTTAACAAACCTACAGCCATTGTTAATTGATTGTTTTGTTTTAAATTGTGGACAAAATTGCTCTTTCAAAATTTCCATTTGGGAACTTCCATGGGGGAAATCTCCCGCAAATAGTGACAGTTGGCAGGTATGCAGACTGTCCTGACAGTGAGATAGAGTTACCTGACTTACCTGACTACTTGACTGTCCCTCTGGTATCTATCGTCCCTCTTTTACCTGTTACCTGGATTCTACCTGTTTATTTTCAGATTGTCCTGACAGTAAGATAGAGTTACCTGACCTACCTGAATACCTTACCTGTTACCTGGATTCTACCTGTTTATTTTCAGATTGTCCAGACAGTAAGATAGAGTTACCTGACTTACCTGAATACCTTACCTGTTACCTGGATTCTACCTGTTTATTTTCAGATTGTCCAGACAGTAGGATAGAGTTACCTGACTTACCAGAATACCTTATCGTTTACCTGGATTCTACCTGTTTATTTTCAGATTGTCCTGACAGTAAGATAGAGTTACCTGACCTACCTGAATACCTTACCTGTTACCTTGATTCTACCTGTTTATTTGCAGATTGTCCTGACAGTAAGATAGAGTTACCTGACCTACCTGATTATCTCACCTGTTACCTGGATTCTACTTGTATAGGTATACAGTGTTGTTGGGATGTAGACTTTATCAGTAGATCGTTCCACAGTCACCTGACTGTAGATACTTGTAGCTACATATTAAAGTTTGGAGTAGAAAAGTTGGAATTTGAAGTAACTTTAGATGATTATGAGTGGGGTGAATGGAAACAGTTTGATTTATATGGAGTTATAAATGTTAGGTAAGATAATTATGATTGAAAGGACACAGTTGGATTTTTTTATTAGGTGATGCTAATAATATACAAGTAAAAGTTCAAAACTGAGTTAGGTGTCAATTTATAATTTGTAAAATTTTATGTACAACAATAAACTGTGGATTTATTTATTTTCATTGATACCAATTATTCGTAGTTTGAGTTACAACGACATTTATCATTTATATACCATTTTATGGTTTTGCCAAAACCTGCTTACAAGCCTATAGAAAACTCTTAGTTGGATAGTTAAAGTAAAATTGGTGGTTTACTTTTACACTCAAATTCCTCAAAAAAATGGTATCCCACAAATAATAATGAATCCACAGTATTTCATAAATTAAACAAATTTGTCAAAAAAGAGATAAGTTAAAAAAGCATTGATAAATTTACATTTTACACATTATTTTAGGTATATGATTGATGATTTACCAGCACAACACATGTACTTATTCTCCATGACACTGAGTCTGTGCTGGGAGTCAGATGGACTAGACTGTGATCACCAGGTTATATTTAATAATGTACTGCTACCCAAACCTAACTGTAACTGGAATAAACCTTATAATATCCCAGGTAAGATACAAAGTAACTTAGTCTCCATGACAGTGAGTCTGTGTTGGGAGTCAGATGGAATAGACTGTGATCACCATGTTATATTTAATAATGCACTGCTACCCAAACCTAACTGTAACTGGAACAAACCTTATAATATCCCAGGTAAGATACACAGTAACTTATTCTCCATGACAGTGAGTCTGTGTTGGGAGTCAGATGGACAAGACTGTGATCAACATGTTATATTTAATAATGTACTGCTACCCAAACCTAACTGTAACTGGAACAAACCATATAATATCCCAGGTAAGATACAAAGTAACTTATTCTCCATGACACTGAGTCTGCGTTGGGAGTCAGATGGACTAGACTGTGATCACCGTGTTATATTTAATAGTGTACTGCTACCCAAACCTAACTGTAACTGGAATAAACCTTATAATATCCCAGGTAAGATACACAGTAACTTAGTCTCCATGACACTGAGTCTGCGTTGGGAGTCAGATGGACTAGACTGTGATCACCGTGTTATATTTAATAGTGTACTGCTACCCAAACCTAACTGTAACTGGAATAAACATTATAATATCCCAGGTAAGATACAAAGTAACTTATTCTCCATGACACTGAGTCTGCGTTGGGAGTCAGATGGACTAGACTGTGATCACCGTGTTATATTTAATAGTGTACTGCTACCCAAACCTAACTAACTGGAACAAACATTATAATATCCCAGGTAAGATACAAAGTAGCTTATTCGCCATGACTCTTGAGTCTGTGTTGGGAGTCAGATGGATAAGGCTGTGATCACCATGATATATCTAATAATGCACTGCTACTCAAACCTAACTGTAACTGGAATAAACCTTTAAATATCCAAGGTAAGGTAAAAAGTAACTTCTTGTGAGAACACATGATATTTTTTAACTCACCTGGCTAAAAGGGCCACATGATCTTTTGCAAAAGCTAGGCTTAATCATTATCTTCAGTCATTCCTAATCTTTTCACATTTTCATCTTTATCTCTGAAATTGATTAGCGAATTTTAAGCAAACTTTGCAGGAATAATGTATGACATGCAAATGTCTTTTGGTTATTTGAGTTTTGGGTTGCTGTCACATTGACATCTCCTAAAAGGGAATATTTCTACAAACATTACTGATTTGGTTCCAATAGGATGAATGCATGGATACTATAAAAAATCTTTTATTCTTATTTAAAATTTTGTACAAAAAAAAAATGTGTTTAGAAAGCTAAGGGGTGTAATGCTTTGACAAACTCTACAAGCTGTCATCATTAAATGGTAATTATTTGCAAGCAAGGCTTCATTGGTAGCACTTAATTGCCATTGAAATCCTAAGGAAAATCACATTGTTTTCTTGTTTACTGAAACTACAAGACCATTTTCACCAAATTCTGTAGGAACAATGTATGGAAGGCCATTAACTAAGGATTTCTTTTTTTTTTTAACTGAATTAAACACAGGACAACAAAAGAAAAATCTTTGAATCTGATTGGCAACATATTGTTTTGAATTAACTCCACAGAGAACAATAGCTATTGTATTTATTAAATGAGATAGTTCCTTTTTAAAAATTTAAATCCCCAGGTAAACAGCAACTGATTCTGGGGAAGGTTTTATTGCCTTAGCATACATATGCCTGTATATATGATTATCCTTTATTTGTAAAATTTGATAAATAAACGAGGTTGCCGGAGACATTTTTTTTAAATATCTGTATCGGGAAAGGTGTTGAGGTAATTGATGATTGGAATATCCTGTACAAATGATCTGTATTCATGAAGTGTTGATTGGCTCTCAAACAGTAATGCATAGGTGGCATATAGTTCTCATTGAAATAATATTTTTTTAATTCTTCTTCTCTTACTGCTGGCATAATTTTAACCAAACTTAGAAGCAATGGTGCATGGAAAGTTTTCTACTAATGTTATGATCGGATATGAAACATGACGGCCAGGTGACTGATGAAAGCAATGGCATCAGAAGCAAAATTAGTCAGAAGTTATATTATTTTAAGCAACTCGAGGGTTAATTTTCAGTCTTCTATGAACCTATGGTTAATTTGTTATGTCTTTAATGAACACCTTTTTTTAGTGGATAACCTTTCACAATACAAATTGGCAAGAACACTTTTCAAGTTGTAGTTTGAATTCACATCTTAAAATTGATTGAGCAAAATATTCAGCATATTTTTAGAGAAATCTTGTTGGTATATAGCATGTGAAGTATAATAACAATATTATCAAGATTTCTTTCTGTTTATAAGAATTTTAATAAATCAAAAGCCTAGTTATCATATGATATGCATAGTAATAATTTTCTAATAGTTTTAAGAAATAAATTATGGCAGTCTGTGGATTGTTGGAAATATTTCCATATGTTGGCCATTTACTCATACAATTGATTCCCTAACTAACAGATAAATTAGAATATATAATTTGTGTTCCTATTGAATAGTGGAATATATTTTTTACCAGATTTCTAAAGGAAAATATCGGTAATTAATTTGGTAGGGAACGGCGGTCTGGGTGGGGATATTCGGCTGCCAAACAGTGTCCGTGCAATAACTTGAAAACGCTTTGACGAAATCTTTTCAAATTTAGATATGTTGTTTCCTGTGACTAAATAAAGGTCAAGTTCGATTTTCGCTTTTATCGTTATTGAGTTGTAGACCTTTAAGTAGTGAAAAATGATACTTAGATTGATTTTGGCCTTTCCATTTCTGAACCCTTCAAAAATTCATTTATTTTTTTTACTTTATCTTCTGTGGGGGTCAATATTTGCAAATATCATTTTCATGCAGGAAAACCCGCTTTACTGTCAATCTGACAACCTCTTGTTATTTTATAATATAATTTCTAATCTTGATGAAACATTTGGGAATTTTTTTACAGGTTGTAAGACCATTTTACCAGCAGATATTGTTTTTGTGGTTGATGAATCTGGTAGTGTTGGAGATGGTAATTTTAATGATACAATGGATGCCATTGCAGATACCATAGATACATTGGTCATTCGTGAAGACTTGATCCGTGTCGGCATGACCTTATTTGAAGGGACTGGAACATCAAGGACATTGTTTGATCTGAACAGTAGTTATAATAAATCTGAAATAAGATCATGGCTTTCATCAACTGTCTATCAGAAGGGAGCTACCACGGATATTGCTGATGCATTCCAATTTAGTTGTGAAGAAATGTTTCAGATGACAAAAGGGGAGAGAACCAATGCTCAGAACTATCTTGTATTACTTACTGATGGAAAATCAGACAGGAACAAAGCCATAGATAAAGCAGATTTATGTAGCAGTAAAAATATCAGAGTTATAACTGTAGGGATAGGATCTGGCATTGATGTTTATCTTCTCAATACAACAGCATATCAACCAGATCATTTCATCAATACAGAATACAGTGAACTAAATACAACTTTACCTGAACTTGTTATTAAGTCTGTGGACTGTAGTAAGGGTAAGAACTGGTTACTAGATTATTGTCTGAACTGGTTACTAGATTTTTGTCTAAATCTTTTACTAAATCTGTGCACTGAAGTAAGGGTTAGAATTATCAACTCTTTCAACAATCAGTGAAGACTTACACTGTGATTTAGTCTTACTGACCATATGAGGTAATGATGTAGCTGCTTATAGTATACAGATTTCTAACAGAAAATTGAAAGACATCTTGTGGTATCACCCAACATAAGAAAAAGGAGTTACCTAACATATAATGTAAGGCTATTTTGAATTTTGATGTATAAACTTCCTATTTTATCACATTGCCTAAAACTTAGTATAGTTCTTTGCAAGAGATAATGATAGTACTTGTACTCAAATTTAAGAAAATGTAAAGGTAGGCTTGTTTTTGAGATACAAGCATATGAAAAATTTTTGGCAAAAAATGTCTCTGAAAATATTTTCTTGTAAGTAAATACCTCACAGCCTTCTTTTTTTCAGCAATATAAAACTAAGAGAATGACACCTGAAAATGTGTTATAAGACAAATTGCAAAATCAAGATACCATGTAAATTCCTTTTTTTTATATTTATAGATTTCTCCTTGGCTGAGTTTGTGTCTGATAGTGGATTATCTACCCTTGACAGTTTTGCTGTGTCAAAGTTAATGGATTATCTAGGTGTATCTGAATACCTACTGTTGCAACAGTGTGACGTGACAAAGCAACCATTTAACTTGTCTGCGAATGGATGGACTGTTGGTTTGTATAAGTAAAAATAAAGTTATTATATATTAAGAAAAACATTAAACTTTTGAATAAGAATAGATTCCGATAGCTATAATATTTAGAGCAAACATTCATATTGAACGATGCAAAAGTAATGATGCTTGCATGATTTAGAATAGTTTCCAAAATCCTTCCCAATGAATTTAAACACATAACATGCAAATAACCAATACTTAGTTTTTAAATATTTTTGACTTAAAATTTAAACAAAAAGTAGAGAACTTATACTTATCCTATACTATACTATACCATACTATACTATACCATACTATACCATACTATACCATACTATACTATACTAGACTATTACTATACTATTATATTACTATTATTACTATACTATACTAATAAAATTTAAACAAAAAGTAGAGAACTTATACTTATACTATACCATACCATACTATACTATACTATACTATACTATTATTATACTATTATTAAGTCTCCCAAACGAAGTTTGGGAAGACTTATTGGTTTTGCTCAGTTCTTATTATTATTATTATCATTATTCTTCTTCTTCTTCTTCTTCTTCTTCCGCCGCTTTTAAATTTGAACTTGTCCGCACCCGTTCTCCAAAACCGCTTGTCAGATTAACTTAGGGTTTCACAAAATGTTAGACTAACATGTCTAGTGGTGCAATCAGGGTTTTGTTTGTGCATTGGGGTTTATAAAGGGGTACTTTGAGGGGCAAAAAGAAATGAGGGTTTTACTATAGAATCCTATGGGATTTTATTTTTTTTAATTTTCAAATGATTATAAATTGAAAACCGTTTGTGATAGACACAATCTTTTTACTTGAAAATGTTCTAAATGATAAAGCACATTAAATGAAATACAGGGTTAGTCCCCAGGGGTCACCCCCACCCCCTGCCATTTAAGAAAGTTCTAATATCTTGTAAGTGGTCAAGATCCCCACCCCTAAACCATATATATATTCTTGTTTGTCATGCTAAGATAGTTTGAATGATATACAGGGTTAGTCCCCAGGGGTCATCCCGACCCCCTGCCATTTGAGAAAGGTCTAATATCTTGTAAATGGTCGAGATCCCCACCCCCAAACCATATATATTCTGGTTTGTCATGATAAAGCGCATCAATTGAAATACAAGGTTAGTCCCCAGGGGTCACCCCCACCCCCTGCCATTTAAGAAAGTTCTAATATCTTTTAAGTGGTCAAGATCCCCACCCCTAAACCATATATATTCTGGTTTGTCATGCGAAAATGGTTTGAATGATATACAGGGTTAGTCCCCAGGGGTCTTCCCGACCCCCTGCCATTTGAGAAAGTTCTAATATCTTGTAAATGGTCGAGATCCCCACCCCTAAACCATATATATTCTGGTTTGTCATGATAAAACACATCAAATGAAATACAGGGTTAGTCCCCAGGGGTCACCCTACCCCCTGCCATTTAAGAAAGTTCTAATATCTTGTAAGTGGTCAAGATCCCCACCCCTAAACCATATATTCCTGTTTGTCATGTCTCGAACATTTGAATGACGTATAGGGTCAGTCCCCAGGGGTTCCCCCCCACCCCCAATGTTCTAGTATCTTGTAAATGGTTGAGATCCCCATCTCTAAACCATATATATTTTGATTTGTCATGCCAAGATGATTTGAATGATATACAGGGTTAGTCCCCAGGCATCATTAATGCATATAACTTTACTGGACCAAACCAATTTTCACTGGACTTTGCCCAATGTCAGGCAACCCTTGGAATTATGAATTATGGGAGCTTCGTTTGGGAGACTTTGTAACAGCATCCTGTTACAATCATTTCTTGTTTTACTATTATTACTATACTATACTAATAAAATTTAAACAAAAAATAGAGAACTTATACTTATACTATACCATACTATACTATACTAATTTTTTTGGCCCTTTATAGCTTGCTGTTAGGTGTGAGCTAAGGCTCCGTGTTGAAAACCATACTTTGACCTATAATGGTTTATACTTTTATAAATTTTGACTTGGATGGAGAGTTGTCTCATTGACACTCATACCACATCTTCTTATATCTATATACATACTCTACTATATTATACTATACTTATACTTATACTTATACTTATACTTATACTATACTATACTATACTATACTATACTATACTATACTCTATACACTATACTCTATACTATACTATACACTATACTATATATTATACACTATACTATACTATACTATACTGTACACTATACTATACACTATACTATACACTCTATTATACTATACACTATAATATACTATACTATAGACTATACTATACTATACTATACTATACACTATACTATACTATACTATACTATACTACACTATACTATACAATACACTATACTATACTATACACTATACACTACACTATACTATACTACACTATACTATACACTACACTATACACTACACTATACTAAACACTATACTATACTATACTATACTATACTATACTATACTATACTATACTATCACTATTACTATTAGGGATTGGTGTAAGTATTATACATAAATGCTAATTAAAAAAAATATTTTAAGTTGTTGTTTTTTTTCAGATTGTTCCGTTCCAGACAAGACTGACCTATCACCCTATGGTGTATGTTACATACCACATACTTGTACCAGTATAGAATGCTGTGTAAATCTGCCTGGATTACACAGGAGTATTCATGCTTCTGTGGACATAGACACTTGTAATTATAAACTGACTGTGGATATTGAGAAAGTCCATCTGGAATACTCATTGGTTGATTATGAATGGGGACACACACAAACATATTCTTTGTTTGGACTCTTCAATGTTGTGTAAGTCACATTTAATCATGCAAGAAAGTAATAAGTAAAGGTTATTCTTACAAAGGAAAACTGGTTGAAAAGCTACTGATGAATAATTAGGTAAATATATAGTGAGACCAGAAAATTAATGTAGACATTGAACAGACATGAAATAAAGCAATTTAGAGAAACTTCCTGGAAATTGTAACATTGATCATTTTTGTCCCATAGTATCTCATATTTATAAAAAGTGTTTTATTATCAAGTTTTACTACTAAAAGCATAAAGATGCTTGTAACACTGCTTTATATATTATATTGAAAGACAATAGAATTAATATGCTTTCAGATTCACAGTACAAAATCTTGTTGATGACAAGTTACTGGTAACTTTGGATATATCTGTATGTGTGGAGAGAGCTGGTCCATGTGAAGTAATTCTGAATGTATTCAAAGATACCAGGTTACCTAAACCAGTCTGTAACTGGAAAAATGACTTTATTATATCAGGTATGTCACTGTACATTGTAGACTGATAGAGGATGAGGGAAAATATTAGAAATTACAGATTATAATCTTGTAAGGAATATTAGAAATACTGTCATAAATGAGCAACAATTTCTTTTCAAAATACTGAAACAATATAAAAATTTAAGACAACTGGAAAAATGTCACGACGGAATGAATTTAATCATAACAAAAAAGATTAATTATGGAAAAATTGATATTGCTGTTCATTGATATTTGGGTAACTGCAACAAACATGACCAATACTTTTTGTCCCCCACGTAACGCGTTGCGGGGACATGGGAATACTGTGCGTCCGTCCGGTTTTGTTAGCTCTCTCACGGGTACAATTCTTGCCAGATTTTTATAAAACTTATACTATAGGTTAATATCAGCAATATTTCAGACCAGTTCTGAAATGGTGGACGATCGAATTTTTTAAAAAGAGTTATGCCCCTTAGAAATATAAATTTATGAAAAATGGTCTCCTTAGCACTCTCACGGGTACAATTCTTGTTAGATTTTTATAAAACTTATACTATAGGTTAATATCAGCAATATCTCAGACAAGTTCTAAAATGGTGGACGATCGACCTTTTTTAAAAGAGTTATGACCTTAGAAATATTAAATTTATGGAAAATGACCTCGTTAGCGCTCTCACGGGTACAATTCTTGCCAGATTTTTATGAAACTTATACTTTAGGTTAATATTAGTAATATCTTGGACAAGTTCGACAATGGTGAAGGACTGACTTTTTTAAAAGAGTTATGTCCCTTGGAAATATTAAATTTATGAAAAATGGCCTTGTTAGCGCTCTCACTGGTACAATTCTTGTTAGATTTTTATAAAACTTATACTATAGGTTAATATCAGCAATATCTTGGACAATTTCTTTAATGGTGGACGATCAATTTTTTTTAAAAGAGTTATGCCCCTTGGAAATATTAAATTTATGGAAAATGGTCTCGTTTGCGCTCTCATGGGTACAATTTTTGCCAGATTTTTATAAAACTTATACTATAGGTTAATATCAGTAATATCTCTGACAAGTTCTATAATGGTGGACAATCAACTTTAAAAAAGTTATGCCCCTTGGAAATATTAAATAAGTGCTATGCGGGGGACGTTAATCTTTTATCTTGTATGTTTTTATTGTGGACATCAATGTCTTAATTTTTGCATTAAATAGTACTTAAGTTATAATAAGAATAGCAGGTGTTTCTGATTTTAAATTGCTGAACTTGAAAAAAATGTTTCTATTAAAAACAGGAAGAAGTTGTATCTAAATATTTTATGTTTAAGCAAATTATTCATTTAATATTAACATTTTACTATTTTCAGAGTTCTCGCTAGAAAACTTCCTATCAAGTAAAGGATTCAGTCCAGCATTAAGTGAGATACCAACAGAAGTATTATTACAGCTGTCAAACAAACTTGGAATAGCTTCATTCTACTTGGAAACCCAGTGTAACATAGCAGATACTCCATTTACACCTAACCAGGATGGATGGAATAATGGTAAACATAGCAAAATAAATAGGCTGCAGTATATGATCTTTTGTTGGTGTATGGTTCAATAAATATGGTTTCAACAAGTAATATAAAAATAAGAGAAATGGTGGGTTGCAAATGAGACAAATTTCAACCAAAGAACAAGAATGTTAACAACTACAAATCACTGTATGTATGGCCTTCTACAATGAGTAAAACATACAATGTAAATAAAGTGTTTAAGTCTTTTAATAAATCTATGATAATTAGGGCCCCGCCGAATGGCGGACGCCCTATAGTGATCAGTCTGACCGTCCGTCTATCCGTGACAACCCCATGTCCTATGGTAAAGATCGTGTCCGCTTTATATCTTGAGAACCGTTATGATTTCATAGTTTATACTTGACATGTATATAAACCAACACCAGAGGGTGTGTCATAATTTATATACAACTTCCTAGGTCAAAGGTCAAGGTCAAAAACTTTGGTTTCAGTTGACAACCTCATGTCCTATGGTAAAGATACAATTTTTTTACCACACATTATTCACAGCGGGCCCACAGAGATGGCTCCCATCTCAATGATATAAAGTTATTATTAGTTTTCAAAGGGAATAGCTTTGAATTGAGCAAGTGGAGAAACAATTTTACCGACACCTATCAAACAAGCACAGACAAACAAATGTAAAAAAAAAAACAGAACTAAATTTAATTAAATATGATATCAGCATTAAGAAAACAAAGGAAATGGTCTCTTCTAGAGTAAATTCAACGTGATGGTCACCTTTCGGTGAATGTGAAATTTCAGGTTTAAAATGTTTGTAGTGAAATAGATATCAAGATTTATCAGGCATGCATAGCAACTCCACTGATTTGGCGACATGTTTTAGTTTGGATCATGGTAACCATTGAGCATAGAAGAAATCTTATTTGATTTGTGACTTTTTTATACAAGATAATTCTCAAACATTCTATGATTTTTTATTGAATTTTAGTTTCCCTGTGATAAATTTTGTCTTCATTATCAATAATTTTTTTACTTATATTTATACAGATTGTTTAGAGAAAGCAAATCTCCCAGCTTTATCTAATGGCACCACCTGTCACTTGTCTGATGATTGCACTGGAGTTACCTGTTGTACAGCTGTAGATCTGCTCAGTAGATCTATCAGTACCAGTCTAAAACTGGATCCCTGTGACTATTCCTTACAAGTGCAGATAGAGAAACTTCTTGTCAACATAAGTTTAATTGATTATCAGTTTGGTAAACAAGATGGTGTATATTTATTTGGAGTTGTACGTCTTGAGTAAGTATATATCACAAAAATTTTATAATTTTCAAGAATTAACATTTTGAATGTTTTTGTTTGCCCTTCCCCCAAACCCTTTTTGTATGTCTTCAGAATTTGTAAAGTTATGAAACATCAAGTGTTGTTTCAATTGTTTATAAGTTAATGTGAGGTTTTTATTGTGATAAGTTCTGTTTTGGTGGATTCTTGTTAAATTCAAACATATGAATCTGCCATAATATATAGGGTGGTTTTTTACTTATATGCTGTCTTAGAAAAAATGTCAAAAAAAGAATATTTGCTGTTTTCTATGATAGACTTTATATAAGTTATCAAAGTAAACTGTAAGCAAGTAAGACATTAAGCTTTTTATTTGATTATTAATATTTTTATGGCTTGCATAATTAATTGGAGTGTAATTTTGTAACATGTGTTTCAAATATATTTTAAATTACATTACATTTCATTACATTTACTTTACATTTACATTACATTACATTACATTACATTACATTACATTACATTTACATTACATTTACATTACATTACATTACATTTACATTACATTTCATTTCATTACATTACATTTACATCACATTACCATTACATTACCATAACACTACACTACACTACACTACATTACACAACACTCTACACTACACCACATTATATATAACATTAGATTACATTACATTACATTTACATTACATTTACATTACATTACATTTACATTACATTACATTTCATTACATCACATTACCATCACATTACCATAACATTACCATGACATTACCATTACACTACACTACACTACACTACACTACACTACATTACACAACACTCTACACTACACTACATTATATATAACATTAGATTACATTACATTACATTACCATTACATAAGCATGACATTACCATTACATTACATTACATTTACATTTACATTTACATTACATAACACTACACTACATTACACTACACTGACAAAATATATTACATTACATTACACTTATGTATATAACTCTGACAACACATTTTGATTTTTCTCCCCTTTTTAGCTATGACATAGAAGACCTGAGGTACAAGAGACAGTATGTAGTAAATTTACAGCTGAGTGTTTGTTTTGAAGCGACAGGACCTTGTACAATCAGTATCCCTGTACTCACTAATACCATTCTATCTAAGTCTGTCTGTGACTGGAAAAGTAACTTTATAGATCCAGGTACATGTTAATAAATGATTGTTTTGAAGCTAGAGGACCTTGTACAATCAGTATCCCTGTACTAACTAATACCATTCTACCTAAGTCTGTCTGTGACTAGAAAAGTAACTTTATAGATCCAGGTACATGTTTATGAATGTTAGTTTTTTGGGCATCAGGACCGTGTACGATCAGCTTCCCCATACTAATTATGCCATTCTATCTAAGTCTGTATGTGACTTGAGAAGTAACTTCATAGATCCAGGTCCATACTTTAATTATTTCATTAAGTATGAATATACAGGACTTTTGCAACCTTGGTACATTAGAATAATTACTTCATATTGTCTATGATTTATTTGTATTATTTTTTCTTTAAAATGCACCAAGTTTGAAGTTTCTTTAAGGTAGCACGATACCGAATGGCATATCTCCTGATTTCTAAAATTTTTGCACACTGGTACTTTGAATCGAGTTACATCTGAATATGAAATAAAAAATGGGGGGTCACCATTTTTGTTTTTTTGTAATTTTTTTAAGAAAACGTCAATTTTGGCGACAAAGTTACCTAGTTATATAGGGAAAATGCCTTTTTTTAACTTATTTTTTTAGATTTTTCAATGAATGGCTATGTTCTTATATACGGAGAAAAACTAAAAACTAACATAATATCCAGGATTGTATACTGAATCCATGCATGTATAGAAATACATATGTCACCATCCTTGTTTTTTAGATAAATTGCTTCAAAGTTGACCGATACGCTTAGAATTTGACAGAAAACGTGTGACGTTCGACTGAGTTAATTTTATTTCGTCTTAACTGGGTGCACTTTAAGCTTTTCAAAACTGAATCGTCAACTTAACCCTACCAAACTAAACAATGGAGATGTCACCGATGTATCCATGCATGAATAAAATTAAGTGCTCCAAAAATTTGATTTGGTAAACAGTGATGTTGAGGTACAATTTGAATTGATTGATTGATGGTTTGCTTAACGTACGGTGGCAAATATTTCATGCATTTTCAGGACGATACAATACAGTTTGAAATAGTTGTGTCTAAAAGACACATTTGGTGCAGCCATCAAAAAAGGTTAAACATTCTGTTAGTTGTAAAAATTATAAAGAAAATCAACATCCTTATAAAATACACATTCTAAATATAGTATACTCTGTATGATGTAAACGTTTGGGTTGTGTGCGTAGTTAGTCGGACAAACCTTGCAAACTGTATGCAAAATTTCACTTAAATAGACAAAGTTCAACCTTCTGGCGTTCGTGGAAAATTATTAAAAAAAAAATGATCCTGATAATATATATGCACCCTCAATATAGGTAAAAAAAACCTCGGCGCAATATATTATCAAAATGACAAATTCAGCAACCTGTCATAAAAGAAAATAAAAAAATCTGACAACATGCGCATCTTTAGTATATGTACTAACACCAGGTACATAATTTAAAAGTTTAAGCTTAAAAACTGTAGTCCTAAGAAATCAGCCGTATAAACCCTACATACCAAGTGCGGGAAGGACTGTCGAATGGACACGATTAAAACAATATGCTCCCAGTATTTTGTCAAGGGAGCAAAATATATATTAGCATATATGATTATGTTCTATTTTATAAATCATTGGTGACAAAATATCTTTTTGAATAAGCATTTCATAGTGGAATGGTAATTGGGAGATCTCAAATGTAACAATGTAAACAAGCTAACATCTACGTCATTTGGTCATTGATTGAAAGTTATCTCATTGGCAATCATACCACATCTCCTTATTTCATAAAGGTTTGAGTTTTCCTCTGAAATACAAGAAGTTTAAAGGCTAACAAATATGTACTAGGAGACTGAAATACGTTTCTGTTATAGTTAAAATCTGACTTTTGTTGTGAACATGTGATGTTATAATTTGATAGATTTAATACTTGCTATACTAAATATACTTATTAACTTTCCAATTCGAGGGACTAACGAATCTTTACTAAAATTAGAAATTAGCAGTTAAAAAAATACTCGTCCATCCTGCATTAGTCACATGTTATCTAGATGTCTTTGGTTTTGTGTGTCATTAACCGGCCAGTTGCTGTTTTATTGTATATCCCACTTTTCCATTTATGCACACAAAGATATAACAACCCTTTTAATTTAAATAAACACTTGGTAAACTTGTAAAAACTCCTTATAAGACTGTGAATATTCTCAGGCTTTTCTCGATGCCTATGCGAGGAATATGCCCATCCCCCCCCCCCCCCCCCCCCCCAAAAAAAAGGCACCTTTGCTAATCGTCTGTGAGTCATTTTGTCTCCCCACTTTGTGAAAAGGTGCATTTTTTATCAGCTGCACCTGTACATCATGTCCAACTCAAAACACCAAAAAACTGACTCATCCCCGAAGACCAAAGTGCAAATTAGTATGAATCTAAAATCAAAATGATTTTAAAATCTTGTTGGATTTTTGTCCCCCGCGTGATGCATTGCATGGGACATAGAAATACCGGGCGTCCGTCCTTGCGTCCGTCCGTTTGTGCGTCTGTTTGTTCGTCTGGTCTTGTTAGCTCTCTCACATGTACAATTCTTGCCAGATTTTTATAAAACATATATATTAGGTTTATATCAGCATTGTCGCTGACAAGCTTGAAAATCAGTGCCGATCAATTAATTTTAAAAGAGTTATGCCCCTTGGAAATATTAATTATATGGAAAATTGCATTTGTAAGCGCTATCAAGTGTACATTTTTTGCCTGATCTTTAAATAATTTATATTGAAGGTTTATATCAGCATTGTCTTGGATAATTTCGAAAGTCAGTGCCGATCAAATATTTTTAAAAGAGTTATACCCCTTGGAAATATTAATTATATCAGAAATTGCGTTGCATTTCCTCTCAAGCCTGCATTTCTCTATTAACGATATTTATAAAAAAAATCAAAGAACAAACAAATTTTTTTTTAAAGTTATAAAAGCCATTGAGAGATACAATATGTACAACGCGGGAGGGGGCATTGGAACTCTGTTCTTTCAATCAGTTTGTTTTGCCGTTTGAATAAAATAGGTTAATGAAAATATCTTTTAATAACTTGTTTGCGTTCGAAGTGCTATTCTGGATTTACCTTCATCAAAGCACCGATCATTCATTTATTGTAGGGCCACAGGTTTTTAATGAATCGTTTGATTGTAAATTTCGAGAAAATAATCTATTTCTGAATGGAATTCATAGAAAAAAATGAAACGGGATCTGAATGGTTTTATTTTATTTCGTCCTAACCGAGTGCAAATTTAGTGTTGACATCCCATATGTTCCTTTGCTAACTTTATCCTTATTCCGATGTAGCTGTCCTGTTTTAGACTGTGCTTATAAGATTACAATGCTAGTAGTTTATTTTAAACACGCTTCCGAAACCATATCGGAATTTTTCTGTACAGTCCAATAAACTTCAAAGACTGTTTACACTTGAAACATAGGTAACGTTGTTCGGTCAAAATAGTCAAGTTCAACTACTCTTTTCTTTTTTCATTCCATTCCAACAAACCATTTTCTGTCTGAGTTTATACGTTTGCTTGTACGGTGCTTTTTTCGCTAAATTCTATCTGTATTCTTTTTCTAATAAATTTCCTTTTTTCTATTTTGCTAGCGACATTTTTTGGTTACCATTAAAAAACGAATGGGCTTCTTAGCAGAATTGCATTACTTGTGGTACAGTTTGCTGTATTTTCACACATATCATGCGTTTCTATAATTTGGATTTCTACTTTCAAAACAAAATTTTCTTGGGAAACGGCATGCATCATTAATAAAATAAGAATGTATTGCAAAATTAAACCAACCAAGAATAAAAAGCTCAGTCTGTTATGCATAAGAACACAGATAGATCAATCGTACAAATGCTTACATGTACTTGTCAATATATAGAACATTTAAAAAGTATATATTTAATTGTCAAGAATGAGAAGAAGAATGGGAGGAAGACGACGAAGCAATCAATGTCAAATAACGTATTGCATCAAATACCTCGACACTCTGCATCTAGTAGATGCAAAGTTACTGTTAAAAATGTTTATTTATTTAAATTTCACATTAGTGTGATTTTTTTTTTTCTCTCATTTTTGTTCTTTCATTTGAATCGCATCTATGTAAATTTTGTTTGTGATTGAATATGATACGTATAAAAAGTGTCGCTAAAATGAAGGTATTTTTAATATATATATCAAATAAAGAAACATTTATCTTTCAACTATTTTCTATCAGACTGAGGCAAATTGTTTGTTAATTGTTCCTAGATATTATAAAACATCAGGTTTTACGTTTGTCGTCAATTTCATGGATGTCAACAACAGCAGGAATGATAACTCGTGGCGTAACGTCATTCGGTATCGTGTAACCTTAATTGTAAATGACTGAGTTTTTTTTTATATACATCAACTATACCATTAATACATCATCTGTACCTCATTGTAGAATTTTCATTCAATAAGTTCATGAAAGAAGAGATAGGTTTGAGTATTGGAAATAGTTTAACAGATTATCAGAGGAAACAATTAATGGAAAGTTTAGGAATTTCTGACTTCATGATGGATGTCCCCTGCAGTTTAACACCATATCCAAGTAATGGATGGACTAATGGTAAGGTGCCTCATTGTGAAACTTGTAATCAGTTTAAGCAAGATATGTAATGTACACTAGATTATCAGATACTGTGTGGCCAACACTATGACTTGGTTTAGCAGTGTATCTAGATCAGTCTGACACCTTTGTAGGGAATTTTGATCACATTAACCTACATTCCATACTTATTAACTTTATAATCTATAGATCTAATTCAGCTCTATGACACTATATGACCTGCAGCCTATCTAATTGATATGAATTGGTATATCATTGCATAGAAGAGAAGGATAATTTTATCAAAAGTTTGTCACTCTGACCTACATTTTGTGCTTAAATGATTTTTGTGATGTCTAATTCATGAATATGACAGAAATATAGTTTATGTCACATTTTGTATAATTTAGTTAAGTTTTACTTGTTGTCTCGCCTTGCCGGAGTCAAAAAGCGAGACATAGGAATGCTGTTTCCGGCGTCTGCGGCAGCGGCTTTGTCAACAATGCATTAGTTTGTGATTAGGTCTAGTTTATGGTGAACCACATAGGTAGGTCAGTGATATTTGGTATGCAGTTGTATACGCATTGGCACATCTCATTACCATGGGAATTATTTGGCCCAGCCCCCTCAGTCATGGTCTATTGACTTTGAAATTTTTGATTAGTTTTCATGTATTAGTTTGTGATTGGGTCAGTTTAAGGGGAACTGTTAGTGGTAGGTCAATAATATTTGATATGCAGTTGTATAAGCATTAGCACATCTCATTTCCATGGAGTATATTTGGTCCTTACCCCTCAGTCACAGTTTATTGACTGAAACTTTTGCTTAGTTTATATGTATTAGTTTGTGATTAGGTCAGTTTAAGATGAACCACTTATGTTAAGTCATTGATATTTGGTATGCAAATGTATTGGCATTTGCAAGTTTCATTTTCACGGAGATTATATAACCCCACCCCCTCATTATGGTTCATTGACTTTGAAACTTTTACATAGTTTACAAGTTAATGTTTGTGTTTAGGTTTGTTTAAAGGGAACGATATATGAAAAAGTCAATGGTATTTGGTATGCAGTTGTATTAGCATTGGCACATCTGATTTCCAGGGAGATTGTTTAGCCCTGTACCTTCAGTCATGGTTCATTGACTTTAAATATTTGCATAACTTACATGTTAAAGTATTGCTGTTTTAATTTCAACATTTGCATTATCAAAATAACAAATAGGCGAGACATATCTCTGTGTTAACAGTTTATTTACATATTTTACTACAATGGATTTAAGTGAGTAGGAGAAGAAGAAAGACTTCATGAGTGTGAACTATCCTATTTTATAAAACAAATATTTATGTATATATCTTCTGTCCTTCTTGTTATATCAGAGACACCTCTCTTGTTACAATAGCTCTGTTTATATATGTTATTGGTGCAATGTTAACAATAGTCCCTAGTCTACATAGTTTCATATTTCCTCATATTTGATTATTTATTTCAGATTGTGATACTTTGACCTCTGACCTTCCACTGTTACCAGGTACAACTGTCTGTCATATTCAGGAAAGCTGTACCTCAGTGTCCTGTTGTTTTAGTGTGGACAAGATAGGTCAATCATTCCAGGCCTCTGTTGATATTGATCCATGTAGATCACTACTAACAGTAACTATAGAAAAATTCACTCAACAGAAAAATCTGTTAGATTTTCTGTGGGGGACATCAGTAGAAATGTGGCTGTTCGGTCTATTTAGAATTGAGTAAGTTTGGTTTTTTTTCTTTATTGAATTTATTTCAGATGGCAACCTTCTTAAGGATACCATGCATCCGATAGCAAATACTTGAGTACTAGCATAATTCTAATGATTTATTTAAAATTCAGGTTTTAATTTTATCTGTTTTAAAACTGCTGTCTTTTCTAGTAAGATCAATTCTTTCATAATTTACAGAACAGTTTATTTGTTTTTTTCTTTTAGGTTAAAAAAATGAAGAATTAAAAAATATTTTATTTCCTTAAATATGACATAAGCTGTACTTGTTAGTTAATTATAATGACTATTATCTTCAGGCTAAGAGTGAATTACTTAGAATCTGAAGGAAATTATCTGGTAGACATGAAATTGAGAACTTGTCTGGATGCAGATGTATCTGTACCTTGTTACCAGTCCATTGTAGTGTTCAAGGATTACAAGCTACCTAAATCTGTGTGTGATTGGAATACCAATTTCCCTGTAAAAGGTACCAATATTGTTACATGAGTGGTAATAAAACCTTTTATTTGATTGTTCACTGAAGAACAATCTGGGTCATTACCATAACTTGATAACCTTTAAAAATTGGAGCTTTTTCTTTTTCCTTTACAAAAAAACCCCGTGGTTTTTGTCGAGCCTGCGACTTTTGTCACAGAAAGCTTGACATAGGAATAGTGAACCAGCGGCGTTAACTAACTACAGCTTAATATTTCAGGAGGAAGAACACCTGGATGCTGCATACTTTGCATATAGATACCTTATGTTATGAAGTTTCCGTCTGTCATATGTCCTTTGTCCTTGACCTCATTTTCATGGTTCAGTGACTTCTTGAAAAAAAAAGTTAAGATTTTTTGTAATGTTAATTTCTCTCTTATAATGAGTAATAGGATAACTATATTTGGTATGTGCATACCTTGCACAGTCCCCATGCCTGTCAGACAGTTTTCACTTGACCTCAATCTCATTTCATGGATCAGTGAACAAGTTTTCGTGGTCAAGTCCATATCTCAGATACTATAAACAATAGGTCTACTATAGTTGGTGTATGGAATGATTGTAAGGTGTACATGTCCAACTGGCAGGTGTCATCTCACCTTGACCCCATTTTCATGGTTCAGTGGTTCAAGTTAAGTTTTTGTGTTTTGGTCTATTTTTGACGAGCCTACGACTTTTGTAGCAAAAGCGAGACATAGCGATCCTACATTCCGTCGGCATCGTCGGCTTCGTCCACAAATATTCACTCTGTGGTTAAAGTTTTTCAAATTTTAATAACTTTCTTAAACTATCCTGCATTTCAACCAAACTTGGACAGAAGCTTGTTTATGATCATAAGATAGTATCCAGAAGAAAATTTTGTAAAAAAAAAATCCTGTTTATCCGTATTTTACTCATATGTGGACTTAGTTTTTCTGCCAGTTAACATAACATTCACTCTGTGGTTAAAGTTTTCAAAATTTTAATAACTTTCTTAAACTATCCTGGATTTGTACCACACTTGGACAGAAGCTTGTTTGTGATCATAAGATAGTATTCAAAAGTAAATTTTGTTAAAAAAAATCCTGTTTATCCGTATTTTACTTATAAATGGAGTTAGTTTTTATGCCAGTTAACATTACATTCACTCTGTGGTTAAAGCTTTCAAAATTTTAATAACTTTCTTAAACTATCCTGGATTTGTACCACACTTGGACAGAAGCTTGTTTGTGATCATAAGATAGTATTCAAAAGTAAATTTTGTTAAAAAAAATCCTGTTTATCCGTATTTTACTTATAAATGGAGTTAGTTTTTATGCCAGTTAACATTACATTCACGCTGTGGTTAAAGCTTTCAAAATTTTAATAACTTTCTTAAACTATCCTGGATTTGTACCACACTTGGACAGAAGCTTGTTTGTGATCATAAGATAGTATTCAAAAGTGAATTTTGTTAAAAAAAATCCTGTTTATCCGTATTTTACTTATAAATGGAGTTAGTTTTTATGCCAGTTAACATTACATTCACGCTGTGGTTAAAGCTTTCAAAATTTTAATAACTTTCTTAAACTATCCTGGATTTGTACCACACTTGGACAGAAGCTTGTTTGTGATCATAAGATAGTATTCAAAAGTAAATTTTGTTAAAAAAAATCCTGTTTATCCGTATTTTACTTATAAATGGAGTTAGTTTTTATGCCAGTTAACATTACATTCACGCTGTGGTTAAAGCTTTCAAAATTTTAATAACTTTCTTAAACTATCCTGGATTTGTACCACACTTGGACAGAAGCTTGTTTGTGATCATAAGATAGTATTCAAAAGTGAATTTTGTTAAAAAAAATCCTGTTTATCCGTATTTTACTTATAAATGGAGTTAGTTTTTATGCCAGTTAACATTACATTCACGCTGTGGTTAAAGCTTTCAAAATTTTAATAACTTTCTTAAACTATCCTGGTTTTGTACCACACTTGGACAGAAGCTTGTTTTGGTTAAAAACTAGTATCTAGAAGGAAATTTTGTAAAAATTTATTTCCTGTTTTCCCGTATATTACTTATAAATGGACTTAGTTTTATTCCAGTTAACATTACGTACAGTCTGCAGTTAATTTAATTATAATTCAAAACTAGCTCGAATGATTCAACGCCCTTCACCAACAACCATTTCTGGTTGGAGTAATCGGAATAAATCAACTGGATTATTCAGGTTAATCTAAACCACGTTGGTTACGTATCTGCGCATGTGCACAAATGGAAAATTCAATTGTGCATCCGAAAGTTTCAAAATAATGATATCAAAATAATGATAAACAGAATTTTCATTCATTCATACAGAAATGCATCTTATGTTAATTTCAATTGCAAGAATCTACGCGGAGAGTACGACTTCAACTCAATGATGCTTGACAAAAATACACGGATTTAGTTGTTCCGTCTGTGTTCAGATCTTTAATGAATCAAGTCATATTCCGGTTTTAGAAAACATGCGTTTTTTAAAACGAAAGTTAGAATATTTCAGTATTTTATTGCGATAATAAAGAGTCAAGCGCACACGTTAATCTGCTGGTGCTTTAAATTTACACTTCAAACGATGCACTGTCAGTTGACAGAAATATCAATGTACGAACTAATGTCAATTGACGGAATTCATATCGAAAGTACGTAGTTTTCATGTCAGTCATTGTCGGAATGTCCCCAATGATTTAGATTACCTTAATTTATTGCCTTACGACGTTAAGTTTCAAAGTTTTAAGTGATCAAAAACGGGATTTAACAAATAAATAGTCCAGCTTTTTACCGTTATTCGTCATGAAGGTACCCCCATTACGACCCTCGAGTACGGAACCAGTAATATTTGTTGCTGTCAATCGTATTATTTTTCATGAAACATTTCAGAAAATGACCGTTTGATGCCTGACGGAAAAGGGCATTCCTACCCTCGTACTTTTGAATAAACATTTTAGATGAAAAACAAATATGATTAACAGCAGCAAATAAGTGGTTCCTGATTTGGGTCAAGCTCATACAGAAAATGAACAGGTTTGAAATGTTAACAAGTGCTCAAAACCCAATCCCTGACCTGAGACAAACCTGCATTGGATATATTAAGCATTTTTCAATATATGTTTATAATGGAAAAAAAACAAGTAACTGTAAACAACTATAACAATTCATGATTAACTGATTGATGTTGGTGTTAAACCCTACTTCCCACACTTGATTAGAATCAGGGTGGTCAGTTTTTTTATAGGAAGGAGTTCGGAATACCCAAAGTGAACTATCTACCTTTGACAGAAAAACTTCAAAGTGAAACCTAATCAATTACTGGTATAATTGCTTGCATCAAGTTGACTATGCTAAGACAAATGTGTGGAATTATAGAAAATTTAATTTGAATCAACAGCATTTTTAGATTTTTATGTTTAGTATAGTCAGTTTTGGTTGACATGAGAATTATTAAAGAATATTAATTTTGGAAGAAAAAAATACTCGAAAGCAATAATGGGACAGAGCAGGCTGGGTTGGAGTGGGCTGCTTTCATGGTAATTCAAGTTACCTTTTGTGCATCTTCTTCCACCTCAAAGCTATCAGCTCTTTGATTCTTCCAGTTAACATTACATACAGTCTGCAGTTAAATTTTTTAAAACATTTATTAGATTCATAAACTATCCTGTATTTTTACCAAACTTGGACAGAAGCTTCTTACAATAAAAAAATTTTCCTCATCTCATTTGTGTTGAGCCTGCAATTAACAGCAAAAGTAGGCGAGACACTGGGTTCTGCGGAACCCTTACGAATTTTTCTAATACTGTATGCAATGGGTCAGCTATATTTGGTGTATGGAAATATTTTATGATGTACATGTCAGTCTGGCATGTTTTATGTGACCTTGACCTCATTTTCACAGTTCTTTGCTCAATGTTAAGTTTTTGTGCTTTGGTCTGTTTTTAAAGGCAGTGCTTTAATGCCTTTCTAGTTGCCGGGTTAATCCTTCCTTCCGCGATATCCAACTTATCTACGTGGGGGGTCATTAGACTCCAAGTAGATCCGGAAATGTTGAATTCTCTCCTCTTCTTATTGCGATATAAAATGTTTTTTGTTTCATTTCATTTACATTGGGAAATAGAGAAACGATCATTGTGTTTTGTTAGTTTTAAAAACTTTTGATATATTAGTATTTTGCATTATAAGCAGTCAACCGATTGACAAACTAGAATTATTTGAATTCCGTGTGGAAAGAGCTCGGGTTAATTTCGAGTGTTATCTGCAATCTAGATGTTTATAAATCATTTCAGTCGTTGATATAATAATTAAAGGTCGACTGAACATGAATTATATTATACAATTTAAAGCGCATTTCTGTTTATGCACGTGAACCCGTCTAACGTTATTTTCGCAGTTATATAAAGTAGCAAATTATCGTTCCTGAATAGGTGGCGCCGTGGTAGCGGATCCTGTTCCTCTTCTTCCGGTTTCTGCACTGTGCAACTATTTCAGTTATATTTTTAATTAACGATGCCAAGTACTTGTTGTTGTGTACCTGGATGTCATTTAAGAGGAGGACATGCATTTCCAAATGACTTAAAAAGAAGGAAAAGTTGGATCAACGCCATGGCCCATACGCAGATTGGACGAGAACACGATGATATCGTGGAGTCCATCTCAATCAGCTGTTGTTTGCAAGGCACGTTTTACTGAAAAAGACTACGTGCACATACCTGCCAACTTTTCAAAATCTCCATGGAGGATTTTAAGCGCAAGAGGACCTAATGCTCCTCTTTTATTGTCATAAGTGTTTTTAATCTACTACTATATTGTTTGAATGAGTATGTATGTGCTTAAATACCCCTTTAACTCATTTGAATGCCTGTTTTGAGGTGTTCAGTTTATAAAATAAAGAATTTCAAAATTCAGGTCAACACCTCTCATGGGGGATATCCCCCATAAATCAGGATAGTTGACAGGTCTGCGTGCAGGAAACTATTCATGGTAAAACTCTATTTTCTTTGTGA